ATACAATCAGTCAACCCATCTTCATTCAATCTTTCTGTCACCGTGACATCTTCAGATACTATCAAATCTGACAGCTGCTAAGAAGACCTACTAGCAATAACTGTTACTAGGCTAACTTATTTATTAGCTACTAGTAGCTGTAGTTACTATAGTAACTGCCTCCTCCTGTAAAGGAGTTTCTAGTAGAGCGATGGTGCAGTTTTGTAGTTCCGACCCGACGCGTCTCTCTCTGAAACCAATCCTCCCGGTCCCTCTCTTACTAACACCCCAATCCTATGCTCCTCTCCTACTCTAACACACCTGCTACACCAAGAAACTAGTAATCCTAGCCATCTCCTAGTAACTAGCCAACTTCAATTTCCTACTTACTAGGAGCCTACTACTAAGATCCTCAACAGTCTCTTGCTGCTTATATAAGCAGTACATAGGAACAATTACTGCCAGTAGTCCTAACTGTTAGAAACGCTGATGACGGCATTAGACGACCGCAAAGTCGTACAAGAAAAAATGAAAAACGAGGAGAGAGACAGGACGATATAAAGGGGTGAGCTTGCACTCCCGATTTCAGGGAGCTTTTAACTAGACGAAGCAAAAGTTGAACAAGCAACGCAGGCGAGTGAAGATTCATGGGCCAACGAGCAATCCACGCTTCACTAATAAATAGTCTCGTATCTTGGATTCGTCTACATTCATACAAAGGGCAAGGGAATCTACATTCCCATGCTTTTGTATGCCAGCGAACGTGCTTTAGGAAGTCATTCATGGGTATCTATATCACTCGAGCGGTTCCAAGGCGAATTAACTGCACAAAGCTTGGGGGGCTCTTCCTGTTCTCAAAGTCCGTTTGCGAGAACTTCCCATATCATAACGGAACATGCCCCAAAATACCCCATGTATTCAGTCGCACGCGCGAACCCACCTCCTCTCCCCTCGCGGTACGTACTCATGTTAATCAAGCACAACTCGCCTTTCCTCCTTCACTTGTTCCCACCCGCATTCCCAATACTAAAACCCCTCGTCATATAATCTCTACTATTCCCCTGACTCGGCGTCGCACTCCGACTTGAAAACAGACTCTTGACATTGTCGTTCTGTTGCAGTTTCCGCCGCTTGTTGCGTTCTTCCTGCTCTTGGAGGACTTTCCGCGTCAGTGAGGCGGTGGACGCGTTTTTGATGTTGGACAAGTTGGTGGTTGTAGTAGAAGAAGAGGGGTCGGGAGTGTTTCGTTGCTGGTCGGGTTTGGGAGTTGAGGAAGTAGATGGCGTGGATGTGGAGGATGGCTTATCCTTAGAGACGCCGTTCGTAGAGGAGTCGTTGGTAGGTTCTGTGGGTGTGGAGGTAGATTCGCCGTTCGCAGTCTCTTTCTCGGCATGCTTCTTCCGCTTCTTGCTCCCCGGCGCCTTCTTCAGCGCATGTGTGAGCCCCTTCTCCTTCAGCGTCTGGACTCTCAGCGTCAGGTGCGCGATATCCGTCGGCTCAACGGGAAGGATTGGAATGATGTCGTTCGACGCGTACGCCGTGTTGCACTGCAAACACACCTCGCCACTAACCTCCTTGACCACACTCCCCGCAAAAGCATGTCCACACGGCACAAGGTATACAGCCTTGCTCCCCGGCCCAAGCTCCCGCCCCGTAATCGGACAGACCCATTTCTCCGTCCTGCCTGAGCCACCACCAATCTCCTCTTTCCCATCGACGACTTGGAACTTCACTTCCACGACATCTTTCAGACTTTTGACGCGGCCTTGTAAGAACCGCTCCGCTTCCACCTTTTTCGTATCGCCTTCCTCTTGAAGGAGATACTCAATGATAGTCTCCTTGTTATACAACGTCCCCGATGAATCCGAAACTACCGGCTGTGCGAGCGGTTTTCGAGTTATCGGGTCGTGCGTCCAGGCGTAGGCTTGCTGCTCCGTTCGTGCCTCCTTGAGTTGGGTCGTAGAGAGCGCTTTTGCGGCTTCTTTGACAAGTTCGCGGCGAGTGGGGATACTGCCACCATCGTTACCCATGGTGGATTATTGCGAGTTGAGTTGATCGGAGATTGTAGGAGATGTGGTCGGGCGCAGGGTAGAAGTCGCAAGATGCGCAATGGTCGATTGTGAGGGGAGTGCAGTAAGAGTGGCAGTTATGCAATTAGGAGCGGAAGAGGAAGGTCGGTTCCTTTGTTTGACTTGGATTAAGCCTCCAAAGTGGGTTAACGAGGGTGTTTTGCAGCTGTGAGAATGTTGGTTTCTGGTGGCGCTTGTCGTTGGAAGACCTATGCTGGGACCGCCGAAATCCCTATCGATAAGGTTTCAATGTTGCAGCTCAAAGAAATTCACGTGGGTGTCACGTGCCTTGCTCAGACATGCAGGTGTAAACATTTGCACATTGAGTGGTCGGGTCTAGGTGAAGGAAAGCGCAGCAACACATGGATGCGAGATTTCACAGGTCGGTATATACAAAAGATATGTAATATATACTTGATGTATTTCGCACTACTAACTTAACGATTTTTTAATATCAGGGAGCCTTTTTCTCCAGCTCGGTGCCCTAGAGCCGGGTATGCCCGACCTCATTTGTTATGAAAGGAAATGTGACTGGCCCCCACCGTACCCGCAAACGGAAAAGAAAAGACATGATGCCAGTCTAACAAATAAACTCATACTGTCGAAGAGCAGACCCATGCACGGGACACTCTCACTCGGACCTGGGTATCTCCATATTCCTTCAGCGTTGGTCCACTGCGCTGGTGTGCCTGTGTCCGCGAGCGAAAAAGAAATCTATGCCTGAGGAATCCTACGCGGAAAGGAAATTATGTGTTAAGCACTTTCGGGACATATAGTCCACGATGTGATCAGTCGATATGCCGCAATAGAATGCAGTCAATCGATCAAGAGTGCATCTACCATCGGCTGTTGCGAAGGGGAGCAGTGTTGCTTCCAGTCCAAGGGCCTGAGACGGTCAGCATGCTTGCAGTCACGCAAGAACCCGGCTTTGACTTACGGTTACCGCCACCGCGGCCGCCTCCACCGCGGCCACGTCCACCCCATCGGCCGCCGCCTCCACCGCTGTTGTAACGGGCCATCTCATGCAACTTGGGATCAATCGGCTGCTTGGCTTCTTGCAAAATACCCACAAGATCACGAGCCTGCTTAGCGTCTGCATTATCGGTTAGATTTGGACAATCATAAGGTGGGAGTTCAACTTACTGTCAGACGTGAAGAAGGTGATGGCGGTACCCTTGGCACCAGCACGACCCGTTCGCCCAATGCGGTGAACATAGTCTTCCGAATTGTTCGGGTAGTCATAGTTCAGGACATGGGTGATGTTACGAACATCTTAAGAAGTGAAATGTTAGCATCTTGGTAAGCAGATGTATGTGGAACGACGACCAATATGTTGATCGCGTGAAGCTGTAGTATGTTGCGAGCAACTGTCTCTGTGCGCTACGAGATCACGGCATCTAGTCCAATGGGTGAGGCTGAGGTTATCTCCTGGTCCAGGAAACCTTGGAAGAAACTGCGACTGGGGCGAGTCAAAGTATCTCATCACACCTCAGAAGTACCCCGATGATACCTGAGGTTGATGACGGTGAAGAAGTCTTCACCGATAGACCAAGGATCCCTGGTAATCAGTTTCGATAAAACACTTTAAAGCCCTGGACGATGTCATGTGGAAAATGGAAGCGAGCGCACGAGACGTATCAAGCAGAGCACCTTTACAGAACACGCAGTAAGACATATTTTGGGGAGGAGGGAAGGGAAGGGTGGGGTGGGAGGGGGTTTTGCAGTCATACCAATGCCACGGGAAGCCACATCGGTGGCAACCATGATCGGACTCTTTCCGGTCTTGAACTCGTTCAATACCCAGTCACGTTCGTTTTGTTGCTTGTCACCATGAATGGCTGTAACAGGTTAGCTAATCGCTTTTGCAAAAGGAAGGTTCACGTACACAATGCAGGCCATCCATCTTGGCGGAGGAATCGAGTGATGTCGTCGGCGACACGTTTCGTGCCCGTAAAGATCAATACCTTGTTATTCTTGTCGTCCATGATCGTCTCCAGATGTTTGGCCATCCTGTCACGCTTCTCGAACTCTGAAACAACTTCTACAATCTGCTGGATACGGTGATTAGCAGCCAGATCCATCGACCCGATGTTGACCTGGATGAAATCGTGTTGGAAGTCAGCAGCCAACTGTCGGACCTCCTTGGGCCATGTTGCGGACCACATGCAAGTCTGACGGTCAGGGCGAATTTGGCTGATGATCTTGCGGATTTGCGGCTCAAAACCCATGTCCAGCATACGGTCTGCCTCATCAAGCACCAAGTAAGTGACACGGCGCAAGTTGGTCTTGCCAGCCTCCAACATATCGATAAGCCGTCCCGGAGTGGCAATGCAGACTTCGACACCTCTGGCGAGGTCGCGGATTTGGGGGCCTTTCGGCACTCCGCCGTAGACGCAGGTATTTCGGATACGAGAAGACTTTCCAAATTTGCTGATTTCCTGCTGAATCTGGACAGCCAACTCGCGAGTCGGCGCCAGGATGAGAACAATGGGTCCATCACCGGGAGCGAGGAGCGGCTGCGCGTTGATGTGAACGATGGCGGGAAGGCAGTACGTCAGGGTCTTCCCGGAACCGGTCTCTGCAATACCAACGACGTCGCGCCCGGACAAAGCCATCGGCCAACCCTGCGACTGAATGGCGGTAGGCTTGGCGAATCCTTGTGCCTTGACTTCATTCATGACGTATCCTGGAAAACCGGCTTCATCGAAGGTTGTAACGGGTTTGGGGACGTCCCTGCCGAACACCGTGATTTGATGCTCCTTGCGGAACGCGTCAACCTCAGCTTGTGTACGACGAGCTACCGCCTCATCCTCCTTGTAGAAAGACTTTTCGAACTTGGGCAGGGCATCGAGATCTGAACGGATGTCAGCAGGTTTAGTCGACAAATGCGGAGCATTGTACGCACCCCAATGTTGCTCTTTCAAGCCTGATCCGAGGGCTCCCATGCGGTCACCGCCACCGCGCATGTCGCCGCCATAACCGCCTCCCCCGTAACCGCCGCCATTGCTGTATCCGTGGGAATATCCGCCGCTACCTCCATAACCGTTGGAGCTACCGCCACCGTATCTGTTGTTAAGTTAGCATAATTGTACAGGAGTCAAGAAGCTGTGAAGGTAAGTCTACGTTAACACCCGGACATCTACCGTCGCAGCCTGCGTTCGATGCGCAAAGATGCGTACCGAATGTGGTGGATAGACCGCTGGAAGAGTCCTGTGTGTAGACCTGGGGTAAGAAAGGAAACGCGGATGAGAAGGGCAGCCAAAATAACCATGCTACTGATGCCTGGGACATTGGGTATTTCTCATACCCATACGAAGCATACTGATTGTAGTCGTACTGGTAGTTGGCTGCACCATATCCACCGCTCGAGGTGCCGTACCCGTTCGAGTAGCCGTTGCTGCCGCCGCGCGATCCATAGCCGCCTCCGTAGGACATTGTGTCGTTTCAGAAAGAATCTGACAAAGAACAAACTAGGAAGATTTTAAGGAGGGAAAAAGGTCGGCTCCGCGACCAAGTTTCGGATGATCGAGATACGGGAAGCGATGGAATTAAGTCGCTGTGTGAAATGCAGCGATTTGGATGAAGAAGGGAGAGTGGATGGAGGGTGCAGAGTGGAGGGAGAAGTGATGAAGTAGTTTTGCCTCGCCTCTGCGCTTTCCAGAAATTTTAGAGCGCCAAGGCGCTAGCCCCATTTTGCCACCAAGGGGCCGAGTGGCGCTGTGGCCACGCCTCGCCGACTGCCGCAAGCTTGTTGACGACGTCGACGGCTCCCGGCCAACATGAATTCGTACAAGAAAGTCGGCCGTTGCCATATGATTGAGGTTTTATTATACTTGTCAGTTCATAGTAGCCACACTCATGCTAACTCCCGGATCCGAGCGACGCCACAGATCTATCTTGCTACATTCGATCCTCTCATTCCCATATCCCAAAATCCCCTCTCCATCTGCTTTGAATCAGCTGCAAAGGCTTAATAGGGGTCGATTTTAGGAACTTACCTTTGTAGCATGGATGAATATATGCGCCAGCTCATCGATCCGTGACACCGCCTGCTTCACAGCCGCCTTCTCAATGAGTTCTATCCATCAATCAGCACCACAGTCATTTAAAAAGAAACTCCGGGATCCTACCCGAACCCAGTCTCATAGCCTCGCAATACTCGTCGGAGACGTATGTCTCGATCCATTTCCAATATCTGCTCTCTCGAGCCGTCTTGGGGTCGTCATACAATCTGCGAGCAATCCTGCCGTAGCCGATGAGGCAGGGCAGTAGCGCAACCTGAAGTGCCAACCAGTCTTCTGAATGTCCAGCGTCGAGCACATATCTGTATTACATCAATATGGCGGCATGATCATGGAAATAGAGAGCAGTACCTCGTATATGCCGTACATGCTGACGCCTCCTTAGCAAATGAACTTGAGAACTGGGTTTGGCATCATACCTTGATCCTCCTCATGACTCTCGATATCTGCAATCGATAAACCATATTCTTTGCAAATTTCAATGTGGAGTTTGATCTCCTCTTGTATATTCACTATCTGTTGGGCCGACTGTAACTCCAAGTTCAGATTTCCTCATGTCGCACGCGTGAAGCTGACTTACGCGACCTATGTCAAGCATCGTCTTTGCTTTGTACGAAGCCAATGCATTGGCACGAGCGAACTGAATCTAGCACACGTGAGCGCTTATACTGGACCCACTAACGGGACACTGACGAGGAATAGGTAGTCTTGGATCAAGTAGTACTTGAAGTTCTCTTCTGGCAGAGTGCCATTCCCCAACTGCCGCACGAACTCATGCTCCGTGTAGTCCTTCCAGGGGCCTCGGACATCTGCTCGTTCTATGAGGTAGTCGATGAAACCGTCGCTTTACCAACTTAGTAGCAGAAAGGCGCGATGAGGCCGAAAACTCACGGGACAAAAGGCAAGGTGTAGGTAGAGTGGAAGTGGTTGATAGGCCCGCTGCCCTTCCCAATGTCTTCGCTCGCTTTGATACCAGCCTCGACATATTTGTTCGCTTTCCTGACTGACTCAGCCATTCCCATCCCCGAAGCTAGGTTGGATGCAATGGCAGCTGAACGAGTTAGCACAACTACCTGTCCATCTCTGAAATTGAGGAACTTACAAGCTAGGGAGCATCCGGTGCCGTGTGTATTCTTTGATGTTAGGTAATCGGTCTCCATGAGAGTGGCTTCTCCCTCCCCATAGAGAACATTCAGAACAATTCTGTGTTCCGCTGCATTCTTCGATACGCGCCTGTCTTTGGTTAACGGCAGGTGCCCACCTTTGAGGAGAACATATTTGGGCCCCAGCTGTTGGAGAGCTCTAGCAAGCTGTACGATACTGTCGACGCCTTCTGGTTCTTCGAAGGGCACCCCAGCCGTCTTCAGGAGTAGCCTTGCTTCAGGCAAGTTTGGGGTGAGAATTGTCGTAAGCGGGAGCAGTTCACTTATCAGTGTCTCGATGGCGTGTTCGGGCAAGAGATGTGAGCCACTCGTTGATACCATAACCTGTATTGTTAGATTGTGTGTTGAAGGCGGACGAGAAACTGATGTACTGGATCTACAACAGACACTTGAACATGATGCCTGCGAAAGCTGTCCGCAACCACTCGAATAGCATCAGCGGATGCCAGCATCCCTGAAGTTTGAAAGTTAGTCACCACTTCAGGGGCAATAGTGCTGAGCTGCCGAATCGGACCTGTCTTGACCACATCGATCCCAATGTCATCGATGCAAGCATCAACCTGTTTTCGGAGAAACTCAGGGGGTGTATAGTGAATATCATAGACACCCTGTGTATTCTGAGCCGTTAGGGCGGTTGTAGCGGTCATCGCATAGCAGCCATGCGCCGCTATGACTTTTTGGTCAGCCTCAAGGCCACTTAACCGTTAGCTATATTCGTTCAAACTTTATAATGCAACGAGAACTCACGCTCCACCAGAGCTGTCCGACCCAGCAATCACCAATACGCGCTTAGGAGTCATGTGTTGGATGTACAAGTCGATGCGGTTCTCGGCGAAATTCTTTGTAGACCCCACCGCACCTCACAAGCGAACCCACGTCATATGCATATGCTGCCCTCGAATGGACGTCGACTTCTCCTGTCCACCAAGCGTAACCATGCCTTATTTGTGGAGACAACTTCAGAAAAGGTACGACCGCAGGTTATAAAAGCTTTATACGTTATCAAAGGACCCGTTTCCAAATTTGCGATCTTCAATGGCAGGGAGAGCCAGTTGCTCAGCACACTCACTCTACTACCAGCCGCCGGGACAGAAAAATGGGAAGTCAGGTCCTGCGCTTGAGTCAAACTTCGACAGAATGGGGCTCACGTAATTACAGAGTTTCATATATTCTGCATTCCCAATTCACCGAACCTGCAGGAAATAAACCAATGTCGAGCGGTCTCTCCTAGATACCAAGGCATTTGGAAACCTAGGGTTGTTATCTATAAGAGCCCTGCAAACACGTCTTAATCAATCCGAATCGGTCTCAAACTCAGAGACGTTAGGATCTAGTGTATCTACAGTTAGCTTTCTCGGTTTAGTGGTAACATCGTGGAGCCTACCTCTGAATGGGGTGTATTCCAAGCTGCCGCCGACCTGTGAGGCAAGGTTGTTCCGTATTATAGTAATTTCCTCGTCGGAAAGTAGAGTGTCGGGATCCGCCTACATGATGCCACAGGTAAGTACCTGTCGGTGTAGACCACGATGGGTAGGGCTAGGAAACGTACCATGTCAATCATAACGCGGATGCCTCGATTTCCAGGCCCAAGGCAAGTCCCAAAGTTGAGCAGGCCCTCGAAGGTAAATCTCGAGATTCCTGAAAACGCAACGCTCCTCAAGTTCCTCAATTTCGCCACGCTTTCCAAGGTGATGTCGTTCATCTCCATTCCGGTAACGTACAGATCTTCGAGATGAGAAAGGTTTTCAATGATGGAGATGATGTGCTCATCATGAAGAATCTCTATCATCAGAACTAATTTGAGACTCCGTAGCTCAGTCAGTTGCTTCAACGAGTCGACCAAGGCGTCCACGTCGTCCCGGAACATTCCTTCTGTGTCGCCATTGAGAGAGAGAAACTGTAGGGAGGCACGCTTATTAACCAGTGCCTGGTGGAAAACCCGGGAGTCTCTCAAAATGTACCAGTCAATGTCGAGCCGCCTCAACTGTATGTCGTCCTGCAACAAGACGGGAGTGGCAACAATGGAAGCTAAGGGGAATTTGACGAAGCTTAGGTTCCGGAGATTCTTACACTTCTTGAGCCACTCGCTAATTTCGGAAGCCTTCTTCTGGGTAAAGTCCAGGTGGGTCCGGCTGTCTGAGTCCTCAATGCGCAATGACTCAAGGCCGGTACACCTGCTCAGAATTGACAGATGCTGCAGGGCCTCTGAAGAGACACAGAGCCGTAAGTCTTTTAGAGACTCACCATGAGCGTTGAGTGCTGCAAAGGTTTCAGCTCCTGCCTCAATATCTCCTATGTTCTCAAACATTTCCAAGGACTGTTGGGGGAGTGACTCAAGGAAACGCGCCAGATTACGATCGTGATCACCACCCGAGGGCGATTTGGTGTAGATGCTGAGTGAATTAAAGTGTGGACAATTCTGAGATATCGCTGCATCAACACCCTCGTCCTCCAGAGGGCTCAGGTCGTATAACTCCAAAGAGTGGAGCCGCGGTAACCTTGGGGCCCATCGAACTAGGGCATGGGAATCCAGCTGTCCACTAATGGTCTCAAGCATAGGAGTGTGCTGAGTCACCACTTCTCCCACGAAGTCGATGATAGCTGCTAAATCGAGTCGTGCACGCCGCCTGGTGTCTCCCGTTGTCAAGTGAAACCGAACCATGGGCCCTGAAAAGAACTCCGTTGATACGTTTGCTCGAAAGTGGTCATCCTCGAAAAGGTTCCGCAGATCGCGAAGATCCAGCACTCTTATATAACGACAATATGGAAATAATGTCGCCTCCAGGGCCGATGCAATAATCGACTTCCACAATATAGACCATTTTTGGGTCAGCAGCTGCTTTGTGGATATGAGGATGGTCTCATCGTCTCCCCCGCCGCGGACAGGAGCCAAATGATGTGAGCTGTAGTGCTGTTAGAATGGAGTAGCAATGATCCAAAAAAGTAAATAAGGGATAATATTCTCGTGATCACCACCAAACCGAAAGGACCCGGGATTTCTCCAGGTTATGCATACCGATAAAGGTGTGTTAATGCGGGTACCGCAAAACCACGACTAGCGCATGCGCAATTGAAGAGGGTGTCGAACTGCTCCTGTGAAGCAAGCTCTTCACACAGCAAATGCAATACATCATCCGGAAGAGTAATTGCCATAACGAATACGGTATCGATTTGTTTTGGGTAGGGTCTGAGATGCTTCGAGATCAAGTGTTGTCGAGCGGAAGAAGGCGCTAGTCCCTTTCTGGAAAGGACGCGAAAGAGTGCTTGACGCGATGCACGTCCCAACTACATGCTCCCACTCTATCACCCAGCCCTCAAAGGCCGGATGGAACGATATGCTCTCGACGATGAGACGTGATGGTCGTTCTCAACTTTACTCTGACCCCTGAGGCGGCGGCTAAGGTCCACGATATACTCATATGCCTTGCGAAATTCAGCGACACGGTGGCAATTGAAGCGCGTCGTGAACGTGTAGGTACATAATCTTGCCGTTTCTAGTCCTTACTCTTATCGGCTCGTTAGTTCACGTTTACTGCCCTTAACTCCTCCAAATCCGCATATGCTGCCTTGACTCTGGACGGAAATCAATTCTTTGCCAGCTATGAGTTTCTCTCAAGCCATGGAGGTTCCGATGGTCGATTCACATGTAGCATGTACGCCAAGGCGTTGCTTTCCGTCTTCAAAGCCCGCTTGAACGATCCTCTCAGAAGAGATGGAGCAATCGATCGATGCGAAGTCAGCATCCAGGATAGACCGGATGCTACTCAATGTCGTTTCATTGTCAAGATGGTCTGCGACCAAGGTGTCATCAAGACATACAAACTGACGTACGAAGCGGTCGATGTTATGCATGCACTCTTTGACCGCAATGCAGCAAAGAATAGATGGTCTATGCACTCGAGTGCGATGAAAGAGTACATTGAGTACTTCGGCCCAAGGAATGAGTTACTCGATATCGTTGCCGGACAGGACGGTCGAGCCATTTTCAAGACATATACGGATAAACTACAGAGTGGAAAGGATATCTTGAAGCATAGCCTCTCCACTGCTGTTGCAGTGAACACTGGGGATTTCGAAGAATTTAAGGTGGACTCCGGACTCCACATTGTCATTAGCGCTAAGGACTTCAAAGCCATCGTCGCCCACGCGGTTACGTTGAAAACCAATCTCAAAGCATATTACTCGCAGCCGACCCGGCCGCTGCAGTTCAGTTATGGGAGTGACGGTGTGCTGTGCGAGTTCACTCTCATGACTTCCGGAGACTACGACGCCAGTGCGAATGCAACGCCAGCTCCTCAGCAGATTCCTAGCAGAACAGCATCCCAAGCGCAGTCTGCCGCAACTGAAAGGATAGAGGACAGAAGTATCAGGTCTGAAATGCCTCCTCCAGTTGAACCAGCGTCGCGCGCCGAGCCACGCCGGCGCATCCCAGGTTCGCGGAAAGAAACGACACCGAAGCCTCCTCAACCAGGGTCGCAGGGTCTCTTTGTCAGCCAAGATGATGAAGATGCTCGTTGGGAGCCTGTTGACTATAACAATGAGGAGGAAACATTGGGTTGGGATGCCAGTGCAGAGCATGACGCTGCATTGTTTCCCACCTTTCGCGATAATGCCAGCCTGTCACGAACGGAGACGGCTGAGAGCAATGATGCTGTCGCCCCGACCCAAAGGGTATCGCAGATCAAAGGGCTTTGGTAGAGAGTGATAGATCCATAAGTGGGTGGAGTTTCCTGGCGTGAGCCTTGGTGTAGACACGCAGTCAGTTATGACTAACCTCACTTCCAAACCAAATATGGTACTGCCGGAGAATCGAGCTTCGACGTATCACTTGCTGATCTCATGGCAAGTATCTCTGATGCAATCGAACTTCCTAAAACGCCTTCAAGGTCTTCAAGGTGTCGAGATGCGTTGAGGGGTATCAAACAGCCAGCATTGTATGCATACTCCTCACCCAGAGTCTCAGCTGCCGTCACCGTCCTTAACCACTACAAAACTTGTAGAGTAACCGGCTCCAATCTGAACTACCTCCCCATCGAATTCCATCTCATTGAATTGGCCCGTGACATATCCCCTGCTCAGCGGCTTTTTCAACCCCTCAGTGTTCCCACAATTCCCATGCACTGCCCACCCCCAAGCCAACACCGTGTTCTTCTCCGTCAAAGCAATTACATGGTCCGAGCCCGTAGCTATGTTCTTCAGCTTTGGCAAGTTCGGCGGTACCAGTTCCCAGAGATTTGATTTCCCCCACGCCATTAGTGTTCCATCCTCAAGTAAGACAAAGATAGCATTCCACGTTGCGCCAATTTCCTTCCAACCTTTGACGCTTTCCGGTTTCTTCGATTGAATGCCGTGCTTGTCATCGCCCAAGACGATATGCTCGCCGGACGCAGGGTTACCGACTAGGTAGGTGAAGTTTTGCCCGCACACCACTTTTCGAGCCGGGAACGGGATATCTTCAATTCGAGAGGGTGTTGAGTAGTGGGTAAGGTCTGTCTTGCCTAGTTGGCCACTCCGTGCTCTTCCCCAGCCGTAGACGCTGCCATCTTCCAGTACGGCGAGATAGTGATACATTCCAGCAGCGAAGTCGATTGCGGGTCCCGGCAGCGTAGTTGGTAAGACGTCCAACACCCTTTCAAGCCTTTCGCTGCGTATTGAGCCGGATACAGAGTAGCTATCGACCCGATCTCCTCGTCCAAGCTCGCCATGGAGGGAGCGGCCTTCAGTATATACGCCTGAATTTACAATGCCTGTCGTGCTATGTCTGATGGGAGTCAATATATAAGCCGAAGACTCCCATGCTGCGGCACAGAATGCAACGTCAAGATGAAGGTCCTTAAACTCCACAATCCTGCCGCTGTTCTCGTCTTCATCTTCCAACGGTGCTTGACTTCCCAGCTGTCCACTTCGGTCAAGGCCAGCCCCGTACACTGCACCGGATGCTGTGAGTATCAACGTGTGATTGCCACCACCGCGTATTGCCTTGTATCCATGGTCGCATGGGGGCATCTTGGGGGCTTTTGTGGGCGTGTGGAGTTTGTCGCTCACGGTTCCTACGCCGAGTTGGCCTTCGCCGTTGCTGCCGAAGGCATAGAGAGAATAGGACATCGTTGGAGGCAACTTCCCGGATGCGAGAGCACTGTTGCGGAAGAATGGATCTCCTTCAAACTTTGCACTCGAGTTTCACAGGGTAACCATCCAGTTCTCAGATATGAGGGATCGGATGCCGATTCTTGATCTCTTGGGCTGGGAACCATCAACACTGATGTGTGGCCAATGATCACGACCGCATGATATCTTAATCAACCCATTCCAGTCGGATTCACAAGTCCTGTCACTCGTGCAAGTGGCTATAGTATATAGGCATGCCCAGGTGTCTGTATCAACATAAGCGATGTCTTCGTTTCCACACCTGCAGGTCTGTCCTGACGCACGAGCCACCAATGACCCTAACCCTAAAGAAGTCTAGCGTAACACACACACGAATTCTGAGCATCTCAAACGACCTACCTCACTTCAGACCACGACGACTGTCCTCGCAACCAACGGCCCTCCGTCCACCGCACGATCCCAGGATAGAATCCAGCCGCACAATATGGCTACTCAGAGCGTGCAATGCTTCGGCAAAAAGAAGACGGCGACTGGTATGTGCCTGAATCTCGCTCCTGGGATTCTCCCACCGCGAATTTTCGCATCAATGAATGCTAACGGAATTGTCCCACAGCCGTCGCCCACTGCAAGGTACGCCGTCACGAACGCGATTCGATCCCGCACGCAGAGACGCAGTATACTAAACGATAACTGAATAGGCGGGCAAGGGCCTTATCAAGGTCAACGGAAGGCCTCTGGAGCTGGTGCAGCCCGAGATCCTCCGCTTCAAGGTCTACGAGCCCATCCTGATCCTCGGTCTTGACAAGTTCGGTACGCCTCATCGTTTCCCATACAATCCCTCAAGACCTCTCCCATCTGGACCTCTATATCCGTCTACCCATACTTGAATATCTTTGTCTCTGGGTGATAGTTCTGACGAATGACACAGCCAACGTTGACATCCGGGTCCGCGTCTCCGGCGGTGGTCACACCTCCCAAATCTACGCCATCCGCCAAGCCATCGCCAAATCCATCATCGCCTACTACCAGAAATACGTCGACGAGCACTCCAAGAACCAGCTGAAGCAGGCCCTCGTCCAGTACGACCGTACGCTCCTCGTCGCTGACAACAGGCGGTGCGAACCCAAGAAGTTCGGCGGTCCCGGTGCCCGCGCACGGTACCAGAAATCGTACCGTTAAACGGTGGGCTTTTTGGAAGGGGGAGTTTTACAAGCGTCTGGGGGTGGAAGTGGAGGCATGGCGCGGGTGCGGAAAAGGCACATGGAGGCATGGAGTGGTGTTTATCATGGGCTTTTTATGGGTCTCATGGGTCTCTATCTTCCGGGTTTCAAACAACTTCATGCTGAGCGTTGGCGGGATAGTGTCGCGGCCTGAATGATCGGCCATGTAAAAACGAATACATTGGCTGCATGACACACGACATATCTCGAAGATATGATATCTAGGATCCTTTGGAGTGTCGTTGCTTGCCACCAAGGGATGCAGTGCAAGTTCCAGAATCCATGTTCATTATTCGCTCACCATTGCCAAGAATACAGAGAGAATACGGCAAACAGCATGCTATTAGTATCTGTGACATAAAAGTGGTATCACCTCCTTGCGAAAGCCATCAAATCAGAATATGAGGCCGCGATGCCCTTCTCTAATATGCATCTCAACACTTAGTCACTCATTCAACCATCGCTTCCACTACTCCTGAACGCCGCACAGAGTGCTGCATACTGATGCGTCAGGTCCAGCACATGCTGTGGCAAGCTCGTTCCCTGAATGATACTCCGGATCTTGACCGCGCCTTCCTCCTCGATGAGTTTCCGGATGGTATACAGTAGAGACGGCGAGAACTACATCTTGTTAGCACGCCTTGTCCACAGCCTCTGATGGTGAGGGTATAATCGTGGTGACGAACCTCTGAATACCACCGATACTGCCACGTAACCAGCTTGATCAACGCGCCACACACCTCCCTGATATCATGCCTCCTTTCCCCCAGCTTAAGCACCCCCTTCATCGCCTTCGGGCTGAACCGCACTTGGAGACAGTTCTCGTAGGCCTCTACCGCTTCATCCAGATGGTGCAGTCTCTCCGCCAACTCACCCAGAATCTCCCACTCCTCGGGCGACTTCTTGTACACGAGCTGCTGTTGGCGGCACTGCGCCATCTCGGTTCGCCAGATCGTGTACACGCGGAGGTCCTCGTAGAGGACCATGAAGAGGTTGTCGAGCCAGCGTTCGCAGAGCCGCTTGTTGTGGAAGTGCGTGTAGTTGGGGGTGGATTCGGGTTCGTCGCTGCCGCCGGCTTTGACGACTTCGGAAGCGACCGTGTGGCCGGGTTTTTCTATTGATTCGCCTGCTGCTGCAGACGAAGCTTCTTTGTCGACTTTAGTGCCATCTTCCGACCCGGAGACCTCCTCAGGCTCGCCATGGCCATTGGTGGTAGGGGTGGAGGAGCGCAGGGCGGTTGTGCTGGCGTTGGGATTCTGCGTGACGTGCTGCTTTTCGTGCCGGTACTCCTCTTCCATAACAAACACTTGGCTACGTACACGGAGGAGCTGATCCCAACCGATCTTCTTCGTTATCTCGGTGAGCAGATTGTATGCTTTCAGAAAGGTGCCCTTGAATCCTGCGGCATGCAGTTTACGCAACGTTGGATGCACGAGTTCCATATCATCCATATTAGCGTCTTCAATCTCATCGCACATAGCCTCAGGCATGATGGGCAAGAAGACTTTCTGGGGTTCCGGCATCCGCGGAGCGTCCTTATCTTGGTACGTAAACATTGGACAGGAGTTCAATGTCAGAAGCGCGAGATCCCACTGCTCAAGGCTGACGTAGATTTCCGCCAGTCTCGCCCAGGTGCCGAACTCACTCGGTGCAGATATGACACTCCTTTTGGCGATCTCGAGTGCCAGGTCGCTACGACCCTTCTTGTTGCAGAAGTCGGCCTGGCAGTCCAGCAGGGAGTAGTCCATCGGAAGCTCTTGTATTGCGTCATGCAATAGTTGGACGGCCTTGACTTCCTCGTCAGCCTCAATGTAGACACGGGCAAGAAGTGACGAGATCTCCGTATCCCGGGTCCGCAGCTTCTCGAATAGGTTGATTCCGGAGGCATATCTGCCGGTGGTATGGATGTAATTCAAGAGTCCCGTGGTAAGATGATTGGAGACAAGATTGGGCACTTGAATCTCGGGATCGGATCCAAGCTGCCATCCTGAATCTTGTCAGCGTGTCGAGCGTCGAGTTTCACGGTGAGATTACCATTAAAGAATAACCGTTCAGCGGCCTCTAGGAACTTGTGTTCGCTCTCTGTAGTGGTTATGGGATTGAATCTTCGCACGCCCACGATTTTCTTTATTGTGTCTCCGGAACCATCGTCTGCATACGAATACGCGCGAAGCACGCTGCACAGGTACGTCTCCAGCCACAAATCATCGGTTGCCACTCGTTTCTCTCCACGTTCGTCTATGCAGTAACTCTCCACGGTTCCTGGAATATAGACCTGGACGCGCATGTCCAACCTGGAGAACGCATTGTAACAGCTGCCTTTGTCAGTTGTCGCCGATCGATATGGGGAGTTCGGGCGCACCAGTATAGACCAGAGACGACCTTGTGTTGTTTATCGTGGGGGGAGTAGGTGAGGGTGTTTATGTACGCAGCTAGACTCGCAGAGGATGAGGCGTCTATTCCCGTAACATGATGGTAGACTCCAACCTAGATCCTTATTCAGCGCTTTCCCAGAAGCCACAGGCTCGCTTGGTTGTATGCGGCCGTACCTGTTTGTTGGGTGATTTGATGGGCTGTTTGATAAGGTGGACGAGGTCGGGTGGGCCTAGCTCACGCAGACTCTGTAGGGACTCGGCGCGAGCCTCAATCGAAGAAAGGAGTTCATCTTCATAGATCCTGTACTCGAGCTTTGATCAGCCTGCAATGAAGACATTCGGGGGCATCGCATCAGCTTGGCACATATGATAATCAAGGTAGCTATCAATCGCCGAGGCATCCGCAACGAAGGACTCGAGACTCCCTGCGCATTCATGGGGTTGTTGGGAGCTCGATAGACGGGGACGTACTCTGGTACTGCGGGAGCGGTCACCATTGCTCTGATTGCGCCCGACGTCGGCGAGACGTGATGGCTGCAATGGGATGAAAGCAAAGAGGGCCTATTTCTGCAAGCCGGCGGTAGGCCAACAGAGCCGGTGAATTTATGGAAGGTGGATTAGCTGAGCGCTGGATACAAAATGGGAGCGTGGTGTTGACTTGGAGAAAGCACGGCCGCGGCAGCACGGACAAGGCGGCAGGGGCCAGGGGTGCGCGGCAGGGGACCAGGGAGAGATGCTGTCATGAGCCGCCAAACGCGAGACTTCAACGGTACCTCATCCAGCTTCCACCACACGGCATACACAGTACACGACGACACGACACGCTTTCACCCAACGCGCCTCTCCCCGGCTTTCGCCATCTCTACAAGAAGACTAACTCTATCGCTTCGACGACGCGTGTGCCTGCGACATTTTCACTCTCACTCGTCCGGATTCCCAGAGTTCGAAGCATGGGAACGCTCGCTCGGTCCACCCCAACAGCCGTATTCATTCGCGCCCTCGCCGCTGCCTAACGTCCTAACTCGCTACGATATTCGCAATCTCTGGGCGCTTGAGGGCGCTGAGCGGTTCCAGCCACCATGAGGTCCGGTTTCAAAGCGCTCAATGCCGATTCCGACTATGATTCCGAGGAGGAGGTTGACGATACAAAAGAAATCCAGGTTGAGGAAGCGTTGAAGCTCTATCAGACAGCCTTGAAATATCATTCCGAGGGTCCCGCATCTTTTGAAAAGGCTGCTGAAGCATACAAAGAATTGTTCGCCTCCGACATATTCAAATATCCCGAATCGCTCTCGGAATACAAACGTCATGAGCTGTACGGCGACACCCTGGTTTTTGACAGCATTCTCGAGGATGACTTCGAGTCTGGTCCGGTACAGCCAGCTGGCGCTAACGAGGCCGCCCCGAACACTCTACAGCAGATCCTTCATTTGGCTTACAAGAACCATGGCCAATTCATGGTGGAGACAATGCAGCACTGGATTAAGGAAAATGGCGTGGACGCTGCTGTACACCACGAAGGAGGAAAACACATGCTGGGTGTTCTGACACACTTCAGTGAAGCGCTGGATAAGGATGAAGCTGACTTGGACCTGTGGCTTCGGGCGGCCTCCGTGGCAGCCCTCTTTGGGAGCCGCCGCATCACGAGGTTTTGCCTGGAGGCTGTGCTCGATGAAGACGACAGACTGTTAGAGAGTGTACTTCACCTTCCCGGCCTCGAGGAAGGCTTCGCTGCACAGGAACTCAGGGAGCTAGTCGCCCGTCTTGAAGACAACCTGTCGTTTATGCAGGCACCCCTATCCTCCATGGCTCGGAAAACTTTCTCGGACACCCTGAAAAAACGTTTAAACCCATACCCCTTCGCCCCTTTACCGTCCGAGGTGGCCAAATCACAGCCTTTAGGTGCTATCAAAGGCTCTCCCGAACGGGTTATGCTGAAACCCAACAACTGGAACTGGGCTAGCGTTGGCGGAGCTATCTTGAATCAGCATCAGGCTGAGCAAAACGGATTTGCTGAACGTGCTCCGGGGGCAGCCATCACCGTTGACATTCCTGGCAATGCGAACGCCCATGTATCGATTGCGCTGGATACGGAACACTCTCCACGGGAGGATATCAATAATGGGGAAGTGCAAGACCAGGTACCCCAAGTAGAGTCACCTTCTGCAATGATTCTGACGACGAACAACATGTCAACGAATGACGGGGACGTTTGGCCCACGCAAGACGATGAAAAGGCCCCAGCGGCCACCACTGGCGACGGCGAATCCAATGCACCACCAGATGCTGCCTCGGGAAAATCGCGAAAACGTTCTACGGATTCAGCTGGGTTGCCAGAGACAGCCGAGGGTGGGCGCTCCCGCAGCAAACGAATCAGAGCTCGTGATTCGGTTGCAGAGGGACCTATGGGTGCAGATGCTCCTGCACCAGACCCGGTGAAGCAACTGGAGGAGAAGCTTTATGTGTTCACACATGCCGACAAGTGTCTATTCGAAATCATCAACGATGGCCTGGAACGACTCGGCGTTTCTAGTTTGGGCTCTCCACAGCAGATGAGAGCTCAACTCGACGGCTCACAAGCCGGAGATCCAAAAGTTGACAACTCCGGCAGAGCTCCATGCGACCTATACAATGCTTTGCAAAATGGGCTTCCTCAGTTCGCGGCAATTTTCCTGAATTCCGAGCCCGTCGACCTAGGGCAAATATCTCGCGACGCTGGATTGAATGCCTTTCTGGGCTATGCAAAGTCTAGCACGGCAAATGCTTGTGAGAAGCCGACTCTTACCAACGAGAATCTTCTAGACTTCGCTCGCAATGTCAATGAGGGGTTGTACTCGCTTTCGGAGCTCGCCTTCGCGTGGCTTGAAATGCTATTGAGCCCTGGATTGATAAATGGCCCATCCGGTTCTGGAGAAAAACAGTCGACTTATATCCAGTATCGCTGGGGAGAAGATCTGAAGCGTCATTTGGTCCAGGTTCTCGTCCACTTCGATGACTATATTTACGAACAAATGAGGCGAAGAATTGCAAAGGTCGATTCGGAAATGCTGAGGGCTCAGACGAATTCTGCAGATTACTCTTTGTCCGCGTGGAGTACTGCTCAAGTTGAGATGACGGAGACTATCTTTGAACTTCATCTTGATGTACATGCTCTCATCAAGCATCCAAACAGTGGTGTAGACCAGTCGACACAAGTCATTCAACAGGACCGTCTTAACAGGTGGACCACATTGGCACGGGATGCCATGCAACTATGCACTAGCTGCAGCCGTGAGACGGGTTTCGATCGACTGGTGCTGCGGCATATTTGGGCATCTGCCTTTCAGATGAGCGTCGATGATACGAATCGACCGGAGTACATTCTCCATGTCATGCAAGAACTGCGGGGCATCTTTCAATCCGCCGGTGAGCCAGTAATAGAAGTTCCGAACAATGCGATCATGCCAGAGCTATCCGTTGATGCTGTGGACGGCGAACTTGCTCGCATCAGCATGAAAGACTTCTTCCTAAAGATATTCGATCGGGAAGAAAAGGACCCGGTCGCTGTGATTGAGAGCCTGGAACCCATTCTAGAGCCTGTGCGCGATGCTGGAATGGATGGCCCATCGAGCATTGATGCCGACCCAGGCTCTTCAGAGATAAATGGTTATGTCGCTCGGCGTCAAACTTCACAATCCAGAGCAAAGGAGCTCACGCATCACTCGCCCGAGCAAGAAATGAGGAAATTCGTGGAAACCGCTGGCGCCCATGTGAGACTGTCTCTTTGGCAGCGTTTACGCGAAGCCTACGAAGCCATCGACTATCCGCCAATGGTGGTGTCGTGCTATCTGCGTAGTATAGAAACCCTCGTAGCGGAGTTCAGAGACCAGTCGTTCATACAAAGCTCCGGTCCTGAGCGACAGATCAAATTGCTGAGGACCCTTCGAATCATCGACGAAGTGTTTGTGAGAACACTACAGATCATTAAGAACGAGAGTACAGCACTTGATTGTCTGTCGTGCAACCATATACAAACCTCCGTGGCTGCGCTGGTGGATATCCTTCGCATACTGGCAGCGGGAAACATGCTTGAAGACTTGGTACGTGTAGGGCACATTTCTGGACCCAGGTTCGACAATTATCACCATACAACCTTCGCTTCGATAACCGCGAAACTCCATGATATGCAGCTACGCGGCTGGATGTTACAGTACCATCTGTTCAGAGAGGGCATCTCGCAGAATTCTCTCATGTTCCCGGCTCCCTCAGAAGACCTGTTCGAATTCTTGCGGCATGTTCATCACGCCACCGGCGTCAGAGGATTCTGCCACTCGGCAGGTAGATTGTTTCTGAGACTAGCGAAAGACGAACTGCTCCGACTCGAGGATGTCATTGACAGCAATACCCGCGATAGTGAACTCTCTCAGGTCTTGCATGATCTCTACGGGCTTAAGTTGTTTGTTCAGCCCGCAGAATGTCTGGACTACCACTCCGCGACCGAGCCGCTCGACAAGAAAACAGCTCTACGGTTGTTGCCATTCATCATGTCCCAGGCCGAAAAGGTCAACAGGAAAGACCTACCCAAGACGGAGATGAAAACTTCGATCGATAAAGTCCATGGGGTGTTGGGCCGAACCAAACCACATGATGATCTTTCCTTCAACCGAAAACGACTCAATACCTACCTCAAGTCCCCCATAATCAAAGTATCTCTGTTCGATTGCCTGAGAGGCATCGCAGATGTTTCGACCAGACGTGTCTCTCCTGAAGCTTCTGTGCCTGCAGCTGTCGGCTGGTTCTTCCTCATGGGCACCATCGCATTATGCAAGTTCCGGTCTCAGAAACGATTAGCCCCAGGGCCTACTGAGGATCTTAGTTTCGCACAAGCATTCTTTTTGCAGGATTTGGAATATTCCGTGGACCGGTGGGAAACATGGTATCGCCTTGCTCAAACCAACGACGCACAGCTGGAAGAATGTGTGACTTGGAGTGCCGAGAAACTCAACAATGAGAGCAACGAGCTAATTCGCTATCAACGCGCCGCCATACACTGCTACGTAATGGCTGCAGCATGTGTTGCACGGGAGACCGATAGAACACCTCAAAGAGAGGCCAAAGTTTCGGATATGTATACCGACTTCGGCAATAGGATCTATGCGTCTTCTCGAGAGCCATTCGGCATGACCGCTTTCGAATTCCGGGAGAATGAGCAAATATACTACTACGACACCAACCAGAACTGGCTCTACCCAGAAGTTCCTTTCGTCCCATTGTCTCCATACGGAGCTTGTAAGCTCGCAGCCGCTTTGTTTCGACGCGCAATCAAAGGGAAACCGGACAGGTGGTGGTAAGTGAATCGATTGTTCCCGTGGGCCTGGTCGCTGACTCTTCATAGGAATCATTACATGCTTGCCAAGTGCCTTTGGAAGATGTACTGCTACCAGCCTGCGCGTCAGTCCAGACCAACCCCGCCAAGATCACCCAGCAGTGAGAGTCGAACATCGCTACCCCCTCCTCATTTATCTTCTGCGCGAGAGACTGATAGCACCGGACCCTCGCCAACGGCAAGCTCACCCATTGCGTCCGCTCTGGATATTGTTGAGATGCCCCATCATGTTTTGCACAGTCCCACCGAACGAGACGTACTTAATGCACTATGCAATGCCATCAACACACTTCCGGAGAAACGAGAACGCGGCCGAGAACCAATATTGGAGCCGCATTACAAGCTTGTTTCCATTGCTCATAAGCTTGTGCAGCGAAAAGCAATTGATTACAGACGAGGCGAGCAGTTCATTCGGCAAACGTCCTTCTCTCAGAACATCCCTGGTCCCGAAGATCCTGACGATTGGGAACGATATATTCTTGCTGTGCTGAAAGCCCTCCGAAATGCTGACAAATCGTCGTGGCATCATCGGATGATAGCTCGCACTTCTCACGTTCTATACGAGGATCCTAGCGCCCCCATGGTGGCTTATGCCGCCAAGCATGAGCTCACACAGCAAATGTTCACAAAAACGATGACCGTGCAGGTGTGGAAGCCGGAGTACGAACGTCCTGGCCGACATTTCGTTTACACGACACGTTATACGCGCTTCTTCATCAATCTCCTCGATCAGACGGGGGACAAGACAAACCTAGAGCTACTGGCCAAGCGTGTGCGAAAGAAGCAAAATGATTTCTTCAATCACCAGGAGCTCTGGCACGAAATTTGTGAACGCTATATCAACATGCTACGTCGTTTGGGTGGCGGCATACCCGAGGGCCGCGAAGAACCGGTCTTTAGGTTCGTCAGGAAGAAGGACTTTGAAACTACTGCACCTGAACTGGAGAAATGGTGTCAAGATCCCTCAAATAAACATCCCATATTGGATGTTCTTCGTGACGCCCTTGAGTTCAAGCGCCTCAACAACGGGCTTGACAAGAAAGATGGGATTGACAACTTCATCGGGGACGCTTATGCTTTCCTATATGAGACGAAGGTGCCGGAGTTACTTCCAGAGCACTGGCGACAGCAACAGCAGTGGGCACTGCAGTACGAGTTCATGCTGGACCGAGAGCGCTATGAAGAAGAGAAGCTACAGGCGGAGCGGCAAGAGAAGGAAAAGCGGGATCGAGAGTTCGCAAAGATGGTGAGAGAGCGCGGTGAGCACGGCGGTCCACACCTCGTGCACTCGCCTGATGCGTCTCTGGGACACTTGCAGGCGGACGGTGTGAGCGAAGCAAGCGAATACCCTTCAAATCAGCCATTCCACCTCTATCATCCGAGTCAACTACAAGGTGGTCCAGCCTCGAAGACAAAGGAGCAACCAGGCCTGGTCTTCGTTCCTGCAGAACCACAGTCCTTCGGACCTCCCGGAGCTGGCGAAAATCCACCAGAAGAGCCGCATAAGAGGCGGAAGCGAAGACCCAAGATGATTGGTATCAAGGAGATACTTCGTCGAGCGGAGGCCGCTACCGTCAAGGTTACGCCTACGCCAGCCGCGCCCCCACCGCAAGTACCAGGAACGCCGATGCCGATTCGCACACCCTCGATTTCTCATCCCTCTGTGGTGATCCCCCGCATGTCATCGACGCAGAAAAATACGGTTGAACAAGCCACGCCGAGCAAGGCGCATGGGGAGGGTCCGGCGTTGCCATCGCTGAGTGCCCTCATGACTGGATATATGGGTCCCAGTTCGAACCAGATCAGTTCTGAGGATGAGAGTGAGTTGAGTGAGTTGGATGAAGATGAGGTGAGGGAGATGCAGGAGGAGTTTGGTGACCATTATCATGATATGCATGAAGAAGAGGAGGAGGATGATGAAGGAGAGGCGGGAGGCGACCAGGGAGGCGATGGCGACGACGAAGAAGAAGGAGAGGGAGACGGGGAAGAAGGAGATGGAGGCGATGGCAGCGGTGAGAATGACGATGTCATGATGGAGGGTGATCAGTAAGATTCTCTGTATTTGTATATGGGCGTTACATACCTATGATTGTTGGGTGTCTGGTTATGGCTCTTTGTTCTCTCTTCTGCCGCCAAGACGAATTGTGTACCAACACTTGCGGTACGCTCAAGGGATCGGAAGCGAAGGAAAGGTCTTAGAATAGATGACGGCATGGTGTTCTAAGGGTACGTAGTCTCTCTTTGTTGTATAGTATACCTCGATACCCCTTTTTACTATTGGGGTGTTAGTTTGGAATCATTCCCATGGTATCCGTTTTCGGCTCGTGGGTGGACGTTGGAATGTTTGTGGACAAAGAGCGGTGTTAAGCGCGGTGTCTACCCCAGCGAATGGCAATTTAGTTCCGTGAAGGTCATTCCAGACTACTGTCCATTTGTGCGCCTGAATGACGTTGGGTTATTTCTTGATGTTATGTCGGCGTTCATGACGAAGACGATGTTGCTCACTTGACCGATTCCTTTTGAACAGCACACCTCCAGACCGACATTCGACACTGGAAACCACATCGTATTTTCCGATCCACTACGATATCCATCCACCAAAGCATTTGGTCTTCGCCCTGATCGGGGTCTGACCGCTCGCGCCCACCAGAGCAAGCACCACACTCCCACCCCCTGCTCGCCGGAGCAACTGCATGGGCTAGGCAATCACGCTCCTCGAAGTCTCGAGACTTCACCACGTGAGAAGAGATCTTGAGTTACTGGTGCAGAGCAATTGCGTGTGACCAAGTCTACGCCGTTTCATCGCCAGTGACGGGGTTCAACGTGGATCGTGTCGCACGGGTCATTTTAACGACACTACTGCCTTTGGAATTTGCTGCTGCACATGAGGACAGAGAGGAATTTGGAAAATAGCATGGGGTCAGCGCAGGTGCTGTGTACTTGCGTGTAGTTCAAGCAAGCGGCTTGGGCGTAGATAAGGCGGATCGAAACGGAGCGTAGAATCATATCCAGCGCAACAGAGATACGGTAAAGAAGTGTGAGCTTGGTCAGAAGCTTTCAAATAACAGCATGCCAATAATAGCTCCCAATCACGGTGGCCAAGCCCTAGGAGCGTATTTTCACTGAGGACGTCGGTTCCCCTTCACCTCTCCGCCGTCATTGTTCCCGAACTCCCTCCTCGTAAACGCAGCCCTCGAGATATCCACAGATCTACACCGCATTCCCTTGTCCCCGCCATTTGCGCTTCTTTCCCCTTGCTTCCCGCTCCTTCCTTCTATTTCCATAACCCTGGCGGATTCGCTAATCGCAGATCCGCCTTTCACTCCCGCGGTTCCCGCCTCCCCGCTCCCGCTTTTGCATACACAACCGCCCACCGCCAGATAACCGCGCGTCAAGGGACGAATCAGAGGATGTGGAAGCGGGAGGAAAGGGAGGTGAAGACTAGTATCGAGCTAGAAGGGAAAAGCCCCTGGCAGTGAAAGAGGACGTGAAGGCGATTTTGGGTGGGGATTGGGTGGAGATACGGGGAAGCGGTGGCAGCAGGGAAAGGGGAGGGTGACTGGTAGAGGGAGGAGGGAGGAGTATATAAGACTGGAACTCCCCCAGTAGTGGAAGATTCCTTCGACATCGCGGATTCGAAATCGAGTTTGAGTTTGAAAGTATGTTTGTTCGAGGAGTTGCTTGCATAATAGTCACTAACACAAATGCTTGGATAGATCCCATTCCCACGGAGAACCGAATGGTTATCAGAACACAAGTCAAGAGTATATACTCTCCTTTCAACCCTCGAGCTTCAAAGTCTCACATCGAAATGTACAGATCACGTCCTTCATTCGTCATGAGCCACGGAAACTCGTCCTCGACTGGTGGCAATAGTCATCAGAACTTCAATGTGGTCCGCGATGGGCGCAGTCCCGACACTGCCTTACTCTCGTTCGGAATTCGCAACCACCCGGACGAAGAGTTCAGATACTTGGCCCACCACTTGGGTCAATGGATCCTCGTCAACGCCGCCGAGGGTAGGGAGTACACCCAACTGGGTACTCCCGTCTACAATGTTGACACCCTGACACCTGTGGAATGGATTGCACCACTCCCTGAACTACCGCAGACGACTGCCTTCAACCGGGAGTTCGAAGACATCAACGAGGTCAATCGTCAGTTCGATGAAACTGATCGAGGTCAGGAGAGCTCCAAGAACAAAGGTGGATTCTCAGCAGCACTAAGCCCTGGTGATACCAACTGACCGTCAATACAGACAAATCCTCCAAGGCCGCCAACCTCAAGAATGCCGGCAAGGAACCAAAGTCCGGTCCTGGATCTGAGGATCGCAAGCCTGGCCCAGACTTGGGCGCCGGGGGCGATGGTTCTGCTGGCGTCACAACTTAGAGCGCTTGCGTTGGCACTCACGGGCAATGCGGTTACTGACTGAAATGATCACGGATCCTTAATCGGCGGATAGATGTGCGATCTTATGGGACTCAAGCTTGCTTTATTTCGGAGGTATCATGGTAGAGGCATTCTCATCTTTCTAGCATATGATATACCCATAGAAACTCAGGGTTATACAACGGATCTACTTGCACTCTTTCATATACTCCTTCACCTTCTACTCCTTGGTTCTGAACATTCCGATGACGTATTCCTTTCCTCCACGAGGATACCAATCTTCTTGCTATTGACGCGAAATATATTAACCTCGACCATATATACCGCTTGAACCTGTTAGAGGTCGTCTTCCTTCTTGAAGAAATTCCCGCAGTGACGGTGATTTTACCTGCCGGCGTTCCGGGCATTTCGGGTCGGAGTTGGCCTTTCCGGAAATATATACCCACGGAAAGAGGTTTTAGGAATCAGAGGCTTTATAGTCGAAAAATCAGATTTCCTACTTAATCTACTCTTATTTCTATAGACTTTGTCTTCTCTTTAAATATACAAGTTGCTGCCTTATTTAAATTATTGTAAAGCCTCTGCATTGTAAATAAAACTGAAGATTCCCTACAAATTACCTCGATTATTCTTAGGCTAACATACCATGAATGACAAAAACTCCGCCTCGCCCGGTGGTCAAGGCCCAAATAACCCTCGCGGCTCTGTTCCAGTCAATAACCTGCAGAACTCCGATGCCGTCCGTGACGGGCGCGCCCCCAAAACTGCGTTGCTCTCCTACGGAATTTGCAGCAACCCAGAGGAAGAGTTCAAGTATCTAGCCCACCACCTAGGGTAGGTCAGTGGATCCTGGTGAACGCTGCCGAGGATAGGGAGTATACGCAACTCGGCATCCCCGTTTATAACCTCGACACCCTCACCCCGGTGGAATAGGTGGCTCCCAGTCCCTGAACTGCCGCAGGCCTCCGCGTTCAACCGGGAACTCCAGGAGATTGATGCCATCCACCGCCAGATCGAGGAGGCTGAAGATACCACAAAGAACGGTAGGTTCCAACTCAGCAGCAGTGGGCCTCGAGTATATCAACTGACCAACGATAAAGGCAAGCCCTCAAAGGTAGAAGATGGTGATAATGAATCAAAGTCTGCTCGTGGACCCGAGGAGGGAGAGGGTGACCCGGACTGCAGCACTGGCAACAGTGGCTCATCTCTCGCAGCCTGAGCGCAACACTGCCCTCCCTGAAGGTGTTTCCATATAGCGGGTTACACCTTACTCCCAACTATTGCTGCACGAAACGTTATGAATGTTGGCGTCTTAGGAATTTCAGATTAGGATAGACTACGGGAAGAATTTTTCGGATAGAGGGCCTATATTCTCTCACTAGAGTCTCTCGTGCAAAATCAACTCCTTTCCGTATAATTCTCTTCTCCTCTTCGATTATACATCTTGCTGCTATTTGTAAATCTTCATACAGTCCTGCACCTTTACTGAAAAAGCATATCTCTTCCTGTTTAACTTGGAGCTTCTTAGACTTACACTAGGATATACATAACATGTCAGGTGATAGATAAGAGTCGCAGTGGAAAATCGCCCTGTTGACTATCTACGGAGGCAGTAGAGGCTCCTTATATACCCTATTTCGTCCAGATTTAGAAATAACAACCTTAGGAGACAAAGGAGCTCAATTTAATGAGAGACCCACCTGCAAATTACGAGCTGAGTCGTCCTGAAACAATGGAGGCGTCAGAATGAGCCTCCGAACCTCCACATAACAGCTACGGAATACTTCTGGCCGCTATTCGCATCTACTGCGAAAGTTCGGACGCTATAAGTGTTTACTGCTGTTCCTTCTGCCCAACAAACCGACTTCGTAGCTCTCGCTACCTAGGTACTATATCAGCAATTAGTTTCAAAGCTACAGTATAGACCTAGGCCTCAAACGCAAAGTGCTTGGAGCTCACATCGAGAAGTAATGCTCGAGTCCATCATGCCGCCGGGAGGCTCCGAGCCCCAGCACGGCAACGACGGCAGAAGCCATCAAGGTCAAGACTCCGTCAATCCACCAGTCGTTCGGGACGGCCGTACCCCAGAAACTGCCCTACTATCCCCGGGTTTGCGCAACAATCCTGACGAGGAATTTCGGTACTTGGTCCGTAACATAACCGCCGGACAGTGGCAACTGGTGAATGCGGAAGAGGGCGATAGTTCACCCAGTTGGGCTACGAAGTCATTCACACAGAAACGCGTGAGCCCGTGGACTGGAGATGTCATCTCCCCAATTTCCAGGTCGCGGAGGCCTTCACTCATCAATTGGATGCCGTTGAGGAAGCAAGCCATAACTACCATGGTACCTCCTGCAATCGGACGAAGGAGGTTGTCTACTACCAAATAATGCTATGGGTAGAGCTTTGTCTTAGAACTTGTTATGCGTAGATAGAGGCGCCGAAAAGGTGGTTGCAAGGGCTGTTATATTGCCTCACCTCTAGACTGTTGAATTGGACCTGGAAAACCGCAGTACTACGGAAGTGCAGGGGAATGTCCAGTGGAATGTGAAAGAGGCGGTACGGTACTGACTGAAAAAGTTCCTATACTGTATTGCCTATCCTGGGGTAACACGATGGAGTCGAAATTTGAAGAAGGCAGTGTATAAATTGTTTACTACTAAGTGTATCACTGAAATTAGATCTTTTACTAGGGTCAACTCGATCCCCTTCCCTGCCGCACCCGATCATGGATTGGCAACTTCCCTCGCACCACTAGCCAGTCTAAGACAACGCCTACGTCTGGTCCAGATGAACCGGTTCAATTGGGCACCAGCGTCGAATGGTTGGACCCGACACCTTTCAAGATGAGTAAGAAAGTCCGCAGGCGTATATAAGGAGTCTTGCTCTGGTGTATAGAGACAGATTGCGCAGAAGACTCCCATCTCTGCACCGTTGCTAGATATCCATGGTGCAATGATCGTAGCCATGGCGCGGCGACAAATAGGCGGGACAAGGTGGGGAGGAAATACGATAGGCCCTTGTTGCGTATCAGCTTGCCGGCGAACGAAGAGGTAAGCGTCTCTGTCATTGGATTGATGTCCTAGTGGTCGAACTAAAGCACCTGTTCTCTCGTAGGATAACTGTATGACAACCTGAGCGTCGTAAAGGATAGGTTCTCCGAGAACCTGGAAAGTGTTCGTCTCTCCCTTCTCAACTAAAATGGCTGGTAAAAAACGGAAAGATGGTATAGATGTAAGATCGTTTTCTGTTAACCCGTATTGCTGAATTTTTTCCTCCATTTTAAGGGGTATTGGTCCACAACGGGCGCATCGAGAGCACAAGCGCGATGGCGTAGGTAGCCACAAGTGCTGTGCTAATTTGCCGCAGCGGTCGCAGTGTCGTTGGCGTAATTTCTCGAACAGAGTACGTAAGGTTACTCGCACCTTCGTTTGTACAGCAAGTACACCCCTAATTGCCTGGGGTGCTTGCTCGACTATAATCTGAAATTCTGGCATGGTGTCGACAATACGATGCGCGAGCCGATGCATGTTCCGGAAACGGATAAGTGATATCAATGGAAGCTCTTCCAGTATTGAGAGAAGAATTTCCATTGGGAGTCTTCCGAGATGACCCAGGTCAGAGTTTTCTGGCATTAGACTGATTTGACCGAGGTTAAGGGGGAGCAGAGTCTCCAGTTGGGCATCGATCAACGGGGAGAGGTCGGCGTCGCTATGGCCGTAAGAATATTTCGCGACAGACATATGCATTTGGCTTGACATTTTTCTTGGATGCTGTTTCAATTGCAAATTCCCACAGATCCCAATCCTTATATAGTGCGAAAACGAATTTTGGATGACATCGTGCTAGCTAGGCAGCCGCTTACGTACTTACCCTAAGACGCGTGCATCTACACATGATAGCGATTTTGCGGCTCAACGCTTACGATGTGAAGTATGACTGACGTTGAAACGCATGCACTTCGGATAGATCGTAAGCTACGCCAAGCGCCTAGCACCTAGTAATCACCGAGCAATCACCCAGCGATCACCGAGCGCCACCCGCATAACCCTTGCTGAGCGCCTGACTATCTTGAAATATCTATCCATTGGATCTATCGGTCTGATATTGGAATGCGCCGACCTACTACTAGGTCCTTCGGGGTTGTATCGACATTCTCGTTACCGGCGCCAACAATCCCGTTGGACGCATAGCAAACGGATGCTTCTCACGCCTCGAACCTACTCCCTTGCCCAGGTCCCGGACGAAGGCTGCCGTCACGCTCGAACGTCATACTTCCTCTTGACACCATCACGAAAGGAGCGCCTTATTGAAGAGAAGCGGGCGCGCAGGATGCTGTTACTCCACCAGACTGGCGCCGTCAAGGTTGGAGAAATTGTGCGGTAAGCACCCTTTGCCGGACATCTATGCGCGTGAAGTGAAAGTATACCCGGGACCACAAGCTGACGCTAGGTAGGTATACCCTGACCTACACGCCCTCCGAAGACCGCATACTGCCCTCCCCGCCCTTCCTTTACGTCAAGATCAAGAACACCGTGTCGGTTGCGTTGCGCGCTGCATACATTCACGGCCCTTATACTCTCCATGTCGCCGCTTATCCCTCTACATTCAACCCAAACAAGAAAGTCGAATCGCCCAGACGAGATGGTATCCCGGAATTTGAGCCCAACCTCAAGGCGGGGGCCTCGTGGACTGCCAGGTTGACGGTGCCAGAGTATATAAGGGAGGCTGCATCCGATCCGTCCGACGATGCGCCGAAGAGTGTGACATGGATCATCGAAGTAACTTCGCAGATCATTTTCTCTCGGACAGCATCTGTCAGCTACGAATTGCTCATAGCAAGGGATCAGAAGTCGTTAGATCTGGGCTTCACAGCCATAACGGGGAACAGTCAGGGGTCGCCGGGACAGGTGCAGGATCACCAGCAAGGGAAGAAGTCGCACACCTCGAATCATCCAGCCCAGCCGAAAGGGGTTTACTCGAAAGCTGTTAAACTGGTCGTAGATGATACGACGAGCTTATGGAACAAGCCGGCACTTCCAGAGTGGGATGAGCAAGAGCGCTCGCATCGCGGGTCAGGGGATGCCCATAACGGCGGTCCATCCCCGAAGAAAAAGAAGATCCATCTCGTCGTACTCACACATGGCTTGCATAGCAATCTTACCGCGGATATGCTCTATATGAAGGAGAGCATTGATGCGACCGTGAAACAGGCTCGCGAGAACCGAAGAAGGCGGCGGCGCGAAGCCAAGGCAGGTGAACCACGCAAATCTGGGGAGTCCAAGGATGCTGCCACAGCGCCCCTCTCCGGGGGTCAAGAGGATATCACCGAGTGTGACGAAGATGACGACGAGGAACAAGTGGTTGTCCGCGGTTTTGATGGAAATATGACCCGCACAGAGAGGGGCATACAATATCTTGGGAAAAGGCTAGCCAAACATGTCCTTCGCACAACATACCCGGACCAACCTTTCCTGCCCGTGAAGAAGGCGTCAATAGGAAAGAAGCTCTCTGGAACTTTGTCGCCAACCAAATCAAAATCAGAGCATGACTTTACCGCGCTTGAAGGGCGCTTGCACCACCTCCACCATCACCAGTATGAGAGGGCGTACCAGTATACAAGTATCAGCTTTATTGGCCATTCATTAGGGGGACTGGTACAGACATATGCGATCGCCTATATCCACAAGCACTCGCCACAGTTTTTCGAAAAGATTAAGCCCATCAATTTCATCGCCTTGGCTTCACCGTTCTTGGGATTAAGTAATGAGAACCCGATGTACGTCAAATTTGCGCTCGACTTCGGACTTGTTGGAAGAACCGGTCAGGACCTCGGTCTCACCTGGAGAGCTCCTAATATCGCGAAAAGCGGATGGAGTGCTATTGTCAGATTTGATGGTATCTGAAGATGTCACGGTGACAGAAAGATTGATTGAAGATGGGTTGACTGATTGTATTCAGGTGTGTGCCTGTGTGTGTGAGGCTGAGGCCTGACACCGGTTTTGATGTTCCTTCTCTGGGCACCAAGGCTGTGCAGGGCACTAGCCACTGCAGAATCACTAGCCACATGTCCTCAGACAGTACCGGTACAGACAGTTTCTCCCAGTCCTCCTCTTCAGTCCCAGATGGGATGTCCATAAACTGGCTTACCATCTGACAGCTATGGTCGGTGGTCTTGGGCAAAAGTCGCATGAGCAAGGAGACCCTGGAGCGAAACCACTCCTGAGGATCTTGCCTACTGGACCGGCCCATCAGGTCTTACGAATGTTCAGGAACAGAACCGTCTACTCCAATGTTGTGAACGACGGTATCGTGCCGCTGCGGACAAGCTGTCTTCTGTTCCTTGACTGGAGAGGTCTTGGAAGGGTTGAAAAAGCTAGGCGAGAGAATGGTCTTATTGGGACCATGGTTGGATGGGGTTGGGTTCAAATGACGGGGCAGAATTCGTCTCCAAATCCATCACGGGTTGCTAGCAATAAGGGCGACAACAAACAAACCGAGTCTCCGAATGCTTACGAGAACGATACCACGGTTCCGCAACCTGGGGCTGACGTCACTAATGAAGACGATGAAGCACAAGGGCGTGCTTCAATGGAGCCTTCCCACTACCAGTTCCTCGACGTGCAAAAGCGCGATGCTCCTACCGTCGGTTTTTTATCGCAAGAGTCGACGCTTATGACATTATGGAGCTACATAAGGCCATCAGGAAAGCACACAAGTAAGGACAAGAAGATGTTCAAGAGAAGTCAAACCATGAGGTTGGAGCCGGAGGAGCACAGCAGTGACACGGTGGAACCGTCTTCATCGCAAGAGAACGGCTCAGCGCGCAAGAGACCTGCAGCTACTCGCGGGGACTCAATCGATGATCCCTCAAGAGTGTCGGCACCGCCAAAAACAACCATATTCGAGTCTGCAGGCGACCTTCTCAATCCTCCTGTTCCTCCGACTTCATGGATCATCGACCCCTCCACACGGGCGCGTACCATCTTTCATGACCGCATCTATCACCCAGAGGATATTCCTCCGCCACCTTCAAAACGGCCCAAGATGGGACGATCCGTCTCGAGCGAGAACAGTGCAGGGTCTCAACTGTCAGACACCAGTACCGAGGAAGGTGGTATGCGGGTTGAAGAAAAGATTGCTCGCGCCTATCACAAGGACCTATCTTGGCGAAAAGTCCTAGTCAGGCTTGAGCCTGATGCGCATAACAACATCGTGGTGCGGCGGATGTTTGCGAACGCCTACGGTTGGCCTGTGGTTAAGCATCTGTGCGATACCCATTTTGCGGACACTCACACAGCGGAGACCCCCGATGAGTTTGAATCAGCACAAGAAAGAGCTAAGCCAATGGATGAACCAGTTAAATAAAACGGAGAGCATGTCAAAGGGCAGGAAGACTCAAAGGCTCCAGTCGTCCCCACTGAGAATGACTCTAGAGAGTCGGCTGATGAGCTCTCGCCGCTGCAAACAAGTGGGAAGCGTCCTCAGAGGTTACCAACGAGCCATTCTATTCTCAGCAAAGACTCTGCACAGTGGGATGACAGGTATTTCGAAGGCACCTCGGACGAAGATGAAGAATATGATGGCGACCGCACAGCTTTACAGAGATTCCTCCAGCTGCAACCGTCAAAGAATAAACCGTCAACTCCGCCCACGCCGCGAACACCTGAAGGGGTTGGAACCAGCGATGCAGAGCTTGCGGACTTCCTTTCTGCCTCCCGACCCAAGTCAATAGAAGGTGACCGTGGGCTTGGCATCTCTTCGGATCCGTCTCAGGAGCGCGGACGCGGACGTGAACCAGACTCTGTCGAGTCGATGGGGGGAATGATGCTGAGCAAAGGGCGGCAGACGACCAGTCCACCGCGGACCCCCTCGGCACATTTGGCTGACGTGGGACTTCGGAAGTCCCTCGATCTCAATGCTCAAGGCAGCCCAGAGGCAGGTCGCGCGAGAAGCGGTAGTGGTGGGGTAGCAGAGCAAGTGGCGCGTTTGTCATTTGGTAAAGAGCACAGGGATGATTTATGATTCGATGGACTGAATGCTTGCTTAAATGCATACGCCGGGAGTTAGGTTATGCCAGGGATTGTTCGGATATAGGTTTGCTTCTGCTGAATACCCCAAGAATGCCATCTCTAGGTTTATAGCATGCTCTGTTTCCAGATTCATCGTTTCCTAGAGTCCAGTCCACCTTCACTACGTCTCTCCAACGGTGAATGACAACCCCTCTGTCGCTCTGGCATTTCCCCGGCCAGTGCGTTTGCCGCAACAGAAGCATGGCAACCAGCTTGTTCTTCCAAACGCGCTCCTCTCTCTCTCGTTTCTGTGGTCGTGCTCCCCTGTGTTTGCGGATCTCGTCGTCACGCTCCACTTACCGCTCCTTCCCTTCCCGCCGTCTCCTTACCGTCGCTGCACAATTTCATTCACGTCCACGCCGCGGCAGAGACTTGTGGACTTCAATTATCCATTCGCCTATTCAAGATGCTCCATCAGCACCTGGCCCAATCGTTTGCGGAGTCGCTTTTGCAAAAGTCAGTCCCCGACGACGACGGAGAAGCAGAGGAGACGCCTCCACCTCCGCCGGCCCGCTCTAACAATCGCCCTGCGCCTGCAGTCTTCACGGCAGGACGACGTCGTCGCCGCATTGCTCGAGACTCGGCTCGTCCGCGCAGTGGCACTGCCCCTCATCTGACTTCAGAGTCGCAGCAATCGGGCTGCGTTGTTGAGCTTTCTCCTACCTTTGCTACAAGATACCCAGTCATGGACACGCCAACCAAGGGTGCGCTTGACCCCACGTTCAACCCTTCACCGACCGTGACCCCAACAGCAGACGGCAAGAAGAAGAGTTATGGTCTCTTTGACAAGTTCAAGTCGAAGGAGTGCAACGAAAAAGAGGATGCTACAAAGATGGTGCCCACCTCGCTTTTCCCAGATGATGCGCTCAAGTCCCCCAAGGCTCTCCGCTTCCTCGACGTCCCCGGCGCAGCCGAGAGCTTCGCCCAGGGCCTTGGATCATATGAGGACGGAAATGTTTTCGGCGTGGGTCGCTCCCAGGCGCAGACTCTGAGTCCTATGGGGCCAGTCGGCGAGCAGAGTGACCTGGGCGTACGCAAGCCCCTGCGCAAGAGCCCATCTCTTTCCTGGCTGACTGGTAAACAGGGAGGGGTGACCGCAGAGCGGCAGACAAAGTTCAAGGAGGAGGACATTGGAGACTCGACTATTTCTGATGCGACCGCCTCTTCCACATCCAACCTTAGGTTCTGGAAGAAGGACCCCAGCAAAAAAGCGCTCAAGAACCAGGTCCTCGATCTGATCACCCCATCACTTGGAGCTAGTCGGCCCAAGACCGCCGGTCGGGAGACAGAAAGCTCTTCCCAGGACGAAGACTGGCAGGACAATGGTGTCGGATACCACAGTGACGGAGACTTGGCTCCTCAGCCTCGCAGGCTCAGGTCTGATGAGCTGGCCAATCGCGGAAAGCGCCGCCAGAAGAAGAAGTATCCAAAGGCTCTACAGCGTATGACTCCTATCAGTGAGGGTGCTTCTCCCCTTCTCCAAAATGACTATACTTATCATTCAGCCGGCGAGGACGATGATGTGGAGCTTGATCTTATTTCGGAGTATGGTAGGTCGAGCCGTGCCGGAACCAGGCCAGGTACAGTGCCCATGACGAGGTCGTTGACTATGTCGGTGATTCCGCGCATCGAGATTACCGGTCCTGAGGCCCAGGGCTACGAGGAGCTGCACGATGAACCGTATGGCAGGCAGTACGAAGTTCCTAGCAGTCTTCTAGTAAGGCAGAATAGACTTGAGGATCGCTATGCAGTTCGTAAGGTGGTCGCGAAGGAAGAAGAGAAATACAAGCAGCAAGGTATGTCCCTGATGCACCAGGGTCTCGCAAAGTCTTCGGAAAGCAGCTAATAGTGTCTAGTTGATTCAGCTTCCTTCATGGCCAAACGCCCTGTCCACAATGTCTTCGGCGAACGTTCTGCCTCCAATTTCTTCGACCAGGCCCCTCCCGTGCTCGCCCCTCAGAGCTCCCTCCAAGAAATGGAGCGCGTCCTGTTGACCAACACCGAAGAAAGGACGAAGATGGACGCGGAGAAGGATCGTCTCGAGAAAGAGCACCATAAGCTGAAATCTGACTTCGACAACCTTAAGCACCGCAGCCTCATTCCCTTCTGCAATAAGTGCAACCACCCGCTCGGCTCCGACCATGAACACAATACAGGCGTCCAGGAAGCCAATGGAGACAAGGACATCGATGGGCATTCGGATGCCGGTAGCATCGAGTACGGCACCGACGAGGAAATCGAAATCTGCACCGCCAAACCCATCTCCGTCATGCGCGTCACACCAGGTATGGTCAAGATGGTTGACATTCCTCCGCGTAAGAAGGCAGTTCCCGCGCAAGCTCCGCAGCAGTCTCAGCAGAACCAGAGCCTCGGAGTGGCGAAGGCCAAGTACAAGCTTCGCCCTAAGCATCCTTCGTACTACAAGAACCAGGCCAAGTGGGAGCCCCTGGCTCCTGCTCCCGTTGGTGGTGGGGAGGAGCACGGGGTGGCACCTCCGGTGCCCCCCAAGGATCCGAAGAGGGGGTCCGGGAGGAAAGGGGAAGGGAAGGGAGGAAGGACTTGAGCGGGGATAGGAGTGTAGAGAGGAGGTAGGTGATCTTTTGCGGGTGAGTGGAAGGGTTGGGAGGGGGAGGTGTTTCCTGCTGCGTTCCCTGGAGACAGGGATGTGCAGCTGGATGGAGGGGTGAGGGATGGGGAAGCTAGGTACTGCGGATACTCCAACTGGCTTATGATGAATCCAATCCGTTAGTGGACTGCTTTCTTGTACAGGGGTTGTGATGTTTAGTATGCGGTGTGAGGCTATTGCACATGAGCATGTTTGTAGGCATGCAATTTCTAGTGAGAAGAAACGAGGGTGATAAGCAAACCTATAATAACGGACGCTGTATAAATCGCTAAACGTGTAATCATTTCAGTTTGCGAGTGAAATGTGCTGTTCTCAAGTACCGTTTCTAGCGGTAGAATGGGGAGAGGGGAGAGAATATCAATATCGATTCTGAGCGATTTGGTCTCGAGGTCGACGTCAAAGGCTTGGCACTCTTTGGATTCGATCTGGCGCTCGGATCCCCTCGCTTAAAATTCTCCGATGTTTATCAGTGGAGCTGCCCCAAACCTTCCTTTCCTCCTCCAGCCAACACCACAAGCGGCTCCAAAAGAGCACCATCGCCGACAGCCAAAAGGTACGATACTACGCTGATCGTGTGCTAACCACGCAGTTACACATTCTACGTTCAATACAAGGGCTTTGGAAGAGGCTCGAAATGCAGAGCTCCGCTCGTACGACGCGCCGGGGCTGCCCATTGCGCTTTGGTTAATCTGTGCTGACACAATAGACGCCGGGGCCTCCCTTTTGTTCCTGTAGGCGACAGAAGATGCCATTTTACCCTCACAGTTATTTCTAACCTCAAATTGGCTACAATCAGTTGTTTTGGCTGCAACAGAGCTCCTCGAGCTCTCATCAGCAGGCAAGCGCGAGCGCTAAACAGCACGTGAGGGCGTCGCCAAGAAACTTAGGCGAACTCGGATTGACCTCACTTCCAGCCTTCCTCTGGTATCACCTCTCCACCTCTCCAGCTCATCTGCACCTTCCCCCTCCCCCTCCCGTGCCATCGGGTGTTCCTATCTATTCCTACATCAACCCATCACTACTGCGCCTCTCCCTCCCCTCCAAGCCAGTTCCCATAGCAACTGTGAAATCGCTTCATATACAGTCAGTTGCAAGGCAATTACACGTCCCCAAGAAAAGACCCGAAGCTGACCTTCATCCCCTTGGCGTTTGAAAGCAGAAGATTACGCACAGGAGTTTCTCCCTCAACCGTCGAAATCATGTCGAGCGACGCATCTACGTCCGAGGGCGAGATCGTCGAGAGTCCGCACAAGGCAAACACCGCCACTAGCCGACCCCAAGAACCTGGGATTGACAACTCTAGCAGAGGATTCGGTCTAGATGGAACCTCCGACGCATATGGTAAAACTTACCATGCCTATCCACTGACTTCGCTGACCACTGTAGACTACCGCCGTCGTGCGCTGAGTCGATCACCCTCTCCATATCGTCACAAGCGTGACCCTTCTCCGTCCCCATACCGCCATCGGCGCTCCCGCTCCCGCTCGCCTTCACCTTATCGTCACCATCGAGATGGCCGCAACTACCATGAGAGAGACTCGAGGCGTTATAAGCGCAGGGCAACTCCTCCGCGCCATGGGCGCCCAGACAAACGACAAGTCGTAGGTCGCGGCGACGTTCGTGAGTACAGGTCGCAGAAGGAAAATGCGCGCATGGAGCATTCCGAAAAGCCCAAACCCCTGTCCTATGCAGACAACGAGCACTATGCTCCGATTCCGAGTCTGATCCCGAGTTTCGAAGCTAGCAAGCCCGCTACGAATGGCGCCTCACACAAGGAAACTATTTTACACCAGAAGACAACCTCAAATAAGGAGAACGCCTCACGCATGGAGACCACCTCACATTCAGGAAGCTCCGAAGCGACTCCTGCTCCCGCCAATCATGATGAAACAGAGTATACATTGGAGCCTGTGGTGCAGGAACAGGAGATATCCGAAGAAACTCGCGAGGAAAGAAGGCGCAGATGGGCTGCAAAACGGGCTCAGCTTTCCTCCCGGAATACGCCACTCCTTGAACAAGCTGTCACAAATGCTGCAACTGCAACTCAGGGCCACGTTGCGCAACCTCTCTCCTCGCTCGATACTTCTGTTGCATCCTCACCTAGATCACCGCAGGTACCAGACATGGAGTCCACGCCCGTGTCTCCAATGGACATTGATAAGCGCGAGAGCCTTAGCAGAGGACCTAGCCCACAACAGGAGGGTCCCTCGGCAGCGAACTACGACCCAACTCAAGACATGCTTGAGGATCGGGTGCGCGCGGAGCAGAAGAACCAGCAACAAGGTATGGCCGCTGCTGATTACGACGAGACTAGCTCGCGGGCACTGTCTACCCTCCCCGCTGAGAAGGCTGGGCCCGCACAGGAAGCCGGTCCGGCAAAGAAGAAGCGGAAGAAGGAGATCGACATGTTTGCCGAGAGCGACGAGGAAGAAGAGGAGAATGAGGATGGTGAAGAGGAGGAAGACGCTGGTCAGCCGAAGGGCACCGTGCTCGACGAGAAGCTCCTCGACAACTGGGATGACGCCAACGGCTATTACAAAATCATCAGCAACGAGCTTATCAATAGTGGCCGTTACCGGGTGATCAAGTATCTGGGTCGCGGTGTTTTCGCCAATGTGGTCAGTGCTGAAGATGTAAAGGAGAAGCGCGGGCAGCTAGTCGCCATCAAGATCGTCCGCAGGAATGAGGCGATGAAGAAAGCGAGCCAAAAGGAGATCGACTTCGTACTGCGGCTGAACGAGGCCGACCAGCAGGACAAGAAACATATCGTTCGTTACTTGGGCTCTTTTGATCACAAGGGTCATTTCTGCATTGTTTTCGAATACATGCAAAAGAATCTGCGAGATCTCTTGAAAGAGGACGCTAGGGGCGCTGGCCTCCCTCTTCCGGCCGTCAAGGCTTATGCTCGTCAGATGTTCATCGGGCTAAAGCATCTGCAGGATTGTCAGATTGTCCATGCCGACCTCAAGCCGGACAATATCCTTGTTTCGCAAGATAACAAGACACTGAAGTTGTGCGATCTTGGTACCGCGGCAGACAAGCGGGATAACACGGAGCCTACACCCTACCTGGTCAGTCGGTTCTATCGCGCACCAGAGATCATCTTGGGGATGGACATTGGCTATCCCATCGACATGTGGGCGATTGGATGCACCATCTACGAACTTTGGACTGGCAAGATACTCTTCCCCGGCGGCTCCAACAACCAGATGATCAAGGTCTTCATGGAGTGCCTCGGATGGCCTAGCGAGAAGCATCTCAAGAAGGGCTTGCTCTCCGGACAGCATTTCGAGCCTGGACCTCCCTTGAAGTTCATCAGTCGCGAAGTGGATCAGTTCGGCAAGCCTTTCGTCCGCAAGATCGAGCAGCAGCGAATGCCAAGCCGTCCGCTCAAGACCCGGGTTGCCCAAGCTGCCCAAGGGAGCGAAAGCCCCTCGGAGCTCAACGACCTCACGGACTTGCTCGCTGCGTGTCTTCACTGGAACCCTGAAAAGCGGATCCAGCCGAAGGACGCTATCAATCACAAGCTTTTCGTGAAGCCGACCATGGCTCCGCGTTCGGCTGTGATTAGGCCTGCTATTGGCAAGAGGCCTTATGGAGCTCGCTGAGTTCCCTGTTTGACTGAATCAATGGCACTCGAGCTTTGTTCCGATAGGCTTTCTTTGAGGGGCTGCTGGCTGTTTGTCAGGTCGCGTCTCATCACGCGCATGCTTGGCCGCACTTTGTGATTGAGCGACGATCCGGATTGAAGAAATGAATGCCGCCTGAACTTTGTAATGATACTTTTGCTGGGGAACTGGACGGAACGATGTACAACTCGGTGACGCGCCCGCTTGACGGAATGTCACTTGAGTTTTGTTAATGATGGGCGTTCTCTGAGGAGGGGCACGGGCATTGGACAGGTTGGGGGTCGGCAATCGCGGCCTGTTTGAGGGAATTGAGTGTCGTCTGGTTTCTCGTAATGATTACTGTCTTCGTGGCTACATGCTGAATAGGACGAATATACACACTGTGCTCAAAACCTATTTCCAGATTTCCACTTGGAGCCTGTACACCACCGTCTCTCACATCGCTATGAAATGATAAGCCGTGCGCGGATCAACCCCCCGATGACCTGGCCACAGCCCCCGCCCTCCCGTTTCCACGATCCGGTTTTCAGATTCATCATGCCCACCAGCTCCAGGCGCTCCAAACCGACAGCCACAGGGTGTTCCGACACGAATCGCCGCACCCCCTTTTCGTTGACCCCCGGTAAACCTTCCAATCGCAAGGTGCGCAGTCCGAGGGCATGAGGGAGCGACATGAGCGTCAGGTTTGTGAAGGAGCAGGCGGGGAGGGCGATGAGGCCGAGGTGCCGGAGGGAGGGGAGGAGGTGCAGGGTTCCGATGAGGGCGCGGAAGGTGAGGGGTGTGGTGATTGCATTCGTCGTCGTTGTTGTTGTTGTGGAGGTGGAGGTGGTGGAGTTGGTAATTGAGGAGGAGCAGTAATGGTAGTGTTGGCGGATGGTCAAGTGCGAGAGGTGAGGATGGCGGCTGTTGAGGTCTAGGAAGCGCTCTGTCGGGTCGTTGCTTGGGTGGTAGAATTTCGTGGTTGGGTCGGCGCCGAAGTCGTGGAGGTCTTTGTTGTGCTGATACTGCGCTTGGAGTCCCATCTCCGCTTCTGAGTAACCGAAATCTTCTTCTTCTTCTTCTTCCACGTCTGACGGATCTGGATCCGCGAGTATCCACGTCTTCTCTTTCAGATGCCGGCGTGTGCTGAGCGCGTGCTCGTATCTGGAGAAACGATGGGTGTATTTGAGTGGGAATCCGTGGATGCGTTCGAGATGGGGGCAGGCCATGATGAGGCTGGCTATGGCGTTTGTGATGGTTTCCTTTTCGATGGTGGCGACGAGGTAGATTGGGTGGAGGAGGGTGAGGTCCAGGGTTGTGACGAGGGTGGCTAGGTGCGGGGAGGAGCGGAGGGTGAGGCGGAGGAGTTTGAGGCGGGTTAGGGGGGGTGTGAGGAGTGGGGGGCGGTGGTGGTAGGAGGAGGATGAGGAGGAGCAGGAAAAGGAGGGAGGGAGGGAAACGGCGAGGGAGATGTGGTGGTACCTGTTGGAGGAGGATTAGTGTTGGTGCGGTGAATGGGGGTATGGTTGTGGGTTTTGCAGGTAGGACCCTGAGGATGAAGGAACCCAATGGATGAGATGGAAAGGCGAGGCAAGTGACGTACATTCGATCAGTAGCAGCTCTATTCCAAGCCCTGCTCGTCAAGGACAAACTGTACAGATCCCGAAGATAGGGTGACGGTCTGCCACTCCAGCCCTCCCTCTCCGTCCGCTCCTGAGGCTGGCAATGGTAGATTTGCTCCAGCTTTTGGAGGATCAAATCGTACACCTCCCGGGGGAGTCTCTTGAACAAACTACCCGCGAACGATGTCTCGCGCACTATATGGACATGGCACTGTACAGCAACGGGATAATCATGATGCTTTTTACTTCGCGACGGGAGGTTAGAAATCTCCCAGGGTACGCGGGTGATGTGCAGGAAACCGTGACGATGGGGGTGAGCGGTCTTGGTCCGTGAGGTGGGCAGGGAGAGGAGACGGGTGTGTTTCTTCTTGTTCCTTTTTACGAGTCGCTTGCCGGACGGAGATGGTGATGGACCGCGTATCTCCGAGTCTTGAAGAAGCTGCTGTCTCTTTGCGAGGTACCGCTGGCGAGCTTCGTTTCTAGTGAGTGTTAGGGCGACACTTCTCGTCCCAAGAAGTAGTCGATCTCTAATGGTGAAAGGAGATATGGAATCGGTATAGGAGATGAGACTGCACAAACTCAAACTTACAACTCAGCTTCATGGTGCGTAGACATGTACTCGTATACACTCGACGGCGCCAACAACGGCAGCATCCTCGCTAGGTGTAATGTCTGAATACAAGTGTCAAGTAGCTCCAGTCCGACTTCATCAAATCGACACACAATACCCCCCAGACGGTGGTGTGGTGACTTCGCCAGAAACGACCTCGAAGATCAAAGAGAACACTTATTAGTATTACTGCAAAGAAATACGAGCAATCTTAAACACCCACGTCGATTCACAAAGTCCCCCCAGAAACCCCCTCAGCGCATCCGCGCCCCCAATAATATACCGATATCTCCCCTCTCCCCCCTCCTCGAATGCACCACGGACATTTTCCCCTCACCCCTGCCCTGCCTCTCTCGCTCCGGACACTAAAGACGGCACGGCAGATCTCCGTCGCAGGGCCCTGCGCGCAATGGTGCTTCAGATAGATACGATGGGCGGAGGTGGTGGGCGAATGGGAAGTGCAGCGTGTGAAGCGGATACGGATCCGGGGTCCGGATAATATGTATATGGATCTACCTATGAAAGGTGTAGGTATGTATAGGCTTGCGGATAATGCATGTGTGTGTGCCTTTTCATCCCTATGCATGTGTTTCCATCCCTATGCAGCATGCAGGTGCGCGGGCGGAGTTGGGTAGGGGTTAGGGGCGGGAATTGTTTTGCTGGTTGTCGGGAGGGGGAAGGTGGTGAGGGGATGGATGAGCGAGGTGACGGATTGCGATGCGTACGTATTGCAGTCATGTTTAGTGGACTAACTTCTCCCCGTCCTGACATATCCATTCTATCCGGAATTGCATTTGGGTTTCTTGGGTTAACAAGACTGGGCAAGTTGTCGCATCACAGAAGATGAGATCGTCAACGACTCCACGTCGTGCCTCGACCGAACAATATTTGATTATGTGCTCATACCTACATCATTGGCGCTTTGATTTCCGGCTATCGCCCGCTAGAAGGCGTACACAGTAAGGGATCGAAACCAAGAATGATGTTCTCGACTTTTCGATTTCATCCTTCATACGACATCGGGCCTTACGACGTCGCCGGTTCTCTAATCTACGCCTTGGTATCACATCTACGGCCGCGGGTGACATATTCTCCGTCTTGCGTAGGTGTCCGAGGTGCAACAATGTTCCAGTTTAGATAGCAATATAGAGAGCTCCATCAACCTCGAATTCATATCATTATCATTGGGATTTGACTCAAGTAATGGAACTGGAATTACAGAACAAAAGAATGCAATTGCGCTGAAGCCAGCTCATCTACAGTCACAGCCATGGTATCTCAAACCTCACCGTCATCATTAATCATCATCCTCAACAGTGCTACCATTCCACTCACTCAGGATCCGGAGACCTGGCCTCCCCCTCCTTCTCCTCGGGCCAAACATCATACCCAAACGTATCCTTCATATTCACGAACCTCGTATGCCGTCCCTTGGCCACACTCTGAACCGCCTCGAAATCCTCGTCGCTCAACTCGGGCACCAAGAAATTGCTCTCGATGCGCTCCGGCGTCGAGCTCTTGGGCAGAACCACATACCCCCTCCGCAAGCCCCACGCGAGCAACACCTGAGCTAACGTGTGGCCGCTCCGCGTAGCAACCTCGTTGAGCGTCGGGTCCGTCCGGACCTTCTCGCCCGTACTCGGGACCTGGTTCTGGGAGCCCAGGGGCGAGTAGGCGGCGGGGAGAATGTCGTTCTTGAAGCAGAAGTCGACGAGGTGCGTGTTGGGCAGGAATGGGTGGATCTCGATCTGGTTGACGGCGGGCTTGATGTGCGCGAAGCTGAGGAGTTTCTTGAGGCCGTCAATGGTCCAGTTGGAGACGCCAATGGCGCGCGCCTTGCCGGCTCGGTTGAGCTCCTCCATGGCGCGCCAGGTGGGCTCCGGGTTTTCGGTGAGGTCCCTTTTGATGACGTACTTCCCATCTGGGCCTATTCTTGGCATGTGGTTGTCGTCGGATTCGGCGGCGATAGGCCAATGGACGAGGAAGAGGTCTACGTAGTCGGTTCGGAGTTTGTCGAGTGAGTTCTGGAGAGACCATTTCACCTCGTCGGGCTCGTGGAGGTGGTTCCAGACTTTGGTGCAGATGAAGATGTCGCTGCGTTTGACGGAGGGGTTCGACTGCAGGAAGTCGTGCACGGCGTCGCCGACCTCGTCTTCGTTCTGGTAGAACCAGGCGCAGTCCAGGTGTCGGTAGCCCGTCTTCAGCGCATGTGTGACGGCAGCGTATGTCTCGCCCTTGCTACCTTCGTTGGCAAACGTGCCAAAGCCGATTGCGGGAATCTCGACGCCATTGTTGAGGCGGTATGTCTTGGTGTTGACGAGCTTGCGCGAGCCGGTCATGGCGATGGAGGTGGGCGTGCTTGTCCGCGTTGTTGAAGAGAATGTGGTGATGGGAAATGGTTTCGAAACGGATAAACGTGGACAGAGCGTTGGAAGAATCGTCGAGAGACTAGAGTACTGTGTACCTGCTCGTATGGTCGGCTGAGGGAAATACTTGTAAAGGAGATTGCGAGATGTCGATCTAATAAATAAGCTCATCTGAAAAGCGTCGTCTCCCGTGTCCTTTTTGCCATCAACCAGCAACAAGCAAAACGTCTCAACAGAAAATCTCTTCGGGCATACTTATTTTTGGATCCAGTCCAGTCTAACCCCGACGGCGATCCGAAATGTTTCAACAAAAGCTGCTCGAGAGTCTCATGCCATGACATCATCATCTCACCCGGGCTTGGCTGCCGTAAGAGATCCACCTGGTCCACTTCGCAAAGACCTGACCACAGCACAGAAACCGTTGAGAGCATCTTCGCGGCGCCGCAAAGAACCGTCTCGTAAGAAGTGGGGTTTCGGCCAGGCTTCTTAGTCGCCCGCCACCCACCATCCCACTTTTCATCACCAGTCACCTCGAACCAGCAAAACATAGGCCGCGCTAGCCGTTCAGGGCCGTGCACGTAGAATCCCCTAATGGAGGAGAATGATGTAGGCGGTGGAGCAGTCCAATCTAGGAGCGTTTCACTCTTCGGAGACGACCGGTCGAGAGAGAAGGCGCTCAAGGAAAAAAATTGCCATCCGGTAAACCAGAGCGGACGAATCCACGTCTGTTCGTGCCTGAGTGAATATATAGCTTGCCCCCCACCAACGTCGAATACAGTATTCATTCATCCACCTTTCTCCATCCCGTCAAGCTTGCTGCTGTAGTATACTCGTTTCGTCCCGCCCATATCCTCTGTCAACGAACTCGACTGTCCTTCCCACAAGCCCTCCATCTTTGCAACATGCCGACCTTTGACGATTCCGATTTGGGTCCGCAGTCACCTCTGCAAAAGACAGCCTCCCGCGACAGCCAACGACACCAGCGCATCCCCAGCCGTCATGGCAGCCTTGCAGTCGGGAGCTACGGAGCCAACCTCGCCATACCCGACGACGGTGAGGGTCCCATCGAAGTCCCCGCTACCAGGAGCTCCATTGCCGATGCCCAGGCATACATGCACAGCCTCAGCTTGTCGCCTTCCATGAGGGACCGGAGAGGATCGCGCAACTCCTTTGGAGCCGCCCTCCCCATTCCCCGATCCAAGAGGCGCTCTCGTCTGTCCTCGGTACACTATCTCGGTGAAACTGAGCAGAGACCGGGCTTGCCCCCCGTTCAACCTTCGCGGGAAATCCTCGCTGCCCAGGTCCAGGATCTCGCACATGAGAAGGTCCGCGCCGCCAAGGACATGGCCTTCGTCTTCGACATTGACGGTGTCTTGGTCCACGGTGACCGTCTGATTCCCGAGGGCAAGCGTGTGCTGGAAATCCTCAACGGTGACAACCAGCTCGGCATCAAGATCCCACACATCTTCCTCACCAACGGATCAGGCAAGCCCGAAGCCGCTCGTGTCGACCAGCTCTCCAAGATACTCCACTCTCCCATCTCCACCGACCAGTTCATTCAGTCCCACACCCCTATGAGGGCCTTGGCCGAGTACTACAAGACCGTGCTCGTTGTCGGTGGTGAGGGATACAAGTGTCGCGAGGTTGCCGAGGAATACGGCTTCCAAGACATCATCGTCCCCAACGACATTGTTGCCTGGGATCCCACCATTGCTCCTTACAGAGTCTTCACCGAAGAAGAGCGCAAGACTGCCAGACCCCGCGACTTCTCCAAGATCAACATTGAAGCCATCATGGTCTTCTCCGACTCTCGTGATTATGCCACCGATATGCAAATCATCGTTGATCTCCTCCGCAGTGAGAACGGCAGGCTCGGCACGATTGCAAAGGATCCCGTCTCCCAGAGAATCCCCATCTATTTCTCCCAGGGAGACCTCCTTTGCCCTACCGAGCACCCAATTCCGAGAATGTCGCAGGGCGCGTTCCGGATCGGACTCGAGGCCATGTACAAGGCCCTGACCGGTGTTGACTTGGAGCGTGTTGTCTATGGCAAGCCTGAACTGGCCACGTACAAGTATGCCGACGAGGTCCTGGCCAGCTGGATGGAGGAAATCCACAACGACCAACGCCTGCCCAGCAACATCTATATGATCGGCGACAACCCTGCATCCGATATCATTGGTGGCAATATGTACGGCTGGAACACCTGCTTGGTACGCACCGGCGTCTTCCAAGGTGGGGAGAATGACGAGGAGAATCCCGCCAGCTTTGGCGTCTTCGCCAACGTCTTGGAAGCAGTGCAAGCTGCTATGCGCAAAGAGTTGGGCCAAGACTTCAAGTTCAACTTTGATGAGCGCATCAATCCCGTGCTGCATGGCAACAGCATGTCCGCTATCGAGTAAGACTCTTTGGGTGGTCGGCATTAGCAGGCGTTTTCCCTTCTTCTTTTTTTTTTTCTTTCATGGCATATATCCAATGAGTCGGACGTGGCTGTCCATAACACAACCGTCTTTTGCTTTGTTTCGAGAGGATTCCGTAGCAATCCAGATTTAATGCCTGACTCCTTAGCATTTCCTGACTTCGATCAATGGTACATGTGATTATCTTTCTAGATAATTCGCGTGAGAGTACAGACTCATGCCAAAGTCCGAATGCCAATCCGGTCCCGTCATCTTGTGCTTTCTCGTGCGTGCTGCGGTTTGGGAGCATTCTCAATGTAATGGAATCTCGTCACGAGCTGGTGGAGCATTAGTGGATGTTGTTCCAAATCGAGATCCAATCACGCCGTGGGAAGAAGCCGGTCTATCATTTCCAAATTCTTGTCTTCGTTGCGTAACCGCTCTTCGGCCTCAACTCTCACATCATCGCAAGCAACGCTGCTAGACGATTTGGTGTTTACCAACTCGGGGAAGGTGTCCCTTGCAAACTCCAGGGCGAACTGAGCATCGGCAAATGACTGCTCTTTTAGGCACTGGCGAGCTGCCTCCAGACACAAGTGCACAAAGAACTTCCGCCTGCCCGCCCATGCATACTGCAGCTCTGAGGCCATCCCTTTGGGGTCCTTGATGTAAGCGATCGCCGGGCCAGGAGTAGCTGAGTGAGGATGATATAGCCAAAGAGCACCTTGTACGCTACGAGACTGGCTCGTCGTCCATTTCGGTACGTATCTCAGGAATTCTTCGTAGACCTCCGGGGATTTGACTGTGCTGGGGTGTTTTAAGATGCGGTTGACAAGGAGGAAGCCTGCTGGTTGCAAGGTCTTCCGGTCCAGAAGAGCTTCATGGTTTGAACGCATTTTGCCGGCTCGAAGAAAGATGGATAACGCCTCATCGATATATTGTGAAATGGTGGATTCGGCGGTGACCATGGTTGATAGGAGAGAGCGTCTAAACGCCCTCACTTTCTCTTCTTCAAGACCTGTCTCCTCCACCCGTTGACGAGGGTGACGTGTGAGCCACCCCCATACAATAGCAATCTCGCCCTCACCGAGGAGTCTTCCAACCAACGGTCTGAGCAAGCGGTTCACATCATAGCAGAGGAACTCCGGTGACCTGTCCATTCCACTCGATTGGAGCCATTGGGCTATGTGAAAAGCGGGTCTCGGGCTATCCGAGGCTCTGCAGGACGAGTCTGTTCTAGTGGCATCTCGTGGCATCTTGTGGAGCATTTGTAGACACATGGCTGCTTTGGGGAGGTCAGCCAGCCCAAGCGCTACTTGATCGAGAAACCATCCTAGAGGATCCCGCAGCACGGATTGGGCGTCGGTCTTGGTTCGCTCAGATGACCTTCTCTGTGGGTTGACAGCAAACAGTGGGTTCGTCAATATGGATTGTATGTGTTCCCTAGCGGCTAAGTGCGAAGAGTCACCATGCGAAGAGATCGAGTTACGAGATCCCGCATGATGCTGGCGCCGAGCTTCGTTATCTTCTGGGGTCCCTTCTGGAGGGACCAGAGGGTGTGCGCGGTCGAGGTGGGCGCGAAAGGACGTGGTGAGGATAGCCAGCAGTTGAGCACTCTCGCGCGGCGAGAGCGGCAGCTGGGGGTGGAGCTTGGAGGCGAGGTAGCTGAGAGCACGTCGGCTGGCGGCAGACTGCATGGCTTCTGTCAACGCTGGGCGGCACGGATAGGATGATTGGGGGTGAAGAGCAGTAGTGGAGGCCGTCGTAGCGCAGCTGTGCGTGACGTTGGACGGTGAGTAGCCCGCGTTGGTGGTGGCCGGGCGGCGGCAACCGGCGAAGGACGCACGTGACCACTACACCCAACTTGGAAGAGAGCGAGAGGCGCGCCGCGCACCAGCTCTTTGACCGCCGCCCTCTGCTTCTCCATTCCCCAGCCCACACACTCTGCGCACACACTCTCACCCGCTGCACATGCTCCACACGCTCGTCGTCCTCGATTAGAATCGCGACTTTCGCCCTTCGCCGCGAGTCAACCACCGACTTGCCGTCCTTCTGGTCGCCTATCCGCCAAGCTAGCCTGCTCTTTTTGCTGCCCCCGGCCTAACCTCCTCCCTGCCATCGTCATCTGCTTCCCGCCCTCTCTCCTCACACCACCACAGTCCCAAGAGGCCTTCACAGAAATCTACAAACACACACATGTCTGAAGTACAGTCCCGGCCTGCCCGTGGCAGGTCCACAGCCCGCGGCGGAAGAGGAGGCGGAGCCGGCTCACGAGGCACGCGATCCAACAACCAGACGAATGGAGATCATTCTGCATCAAACATCGACTCTTCTGCAGACCAGGGCGAGCTCGGTGAGCTCAAACGCAAATACCAATCACATTTGGCCACTTTGAAAGAGCTGTTCCCCGGCTGGACCGATGCTGATTTTGTACTCGCACTGGAAGAATCTGATGGAGACCTCCAGAGTACCATCGAGAAAATCAGCGAGGGTAAGTGCACTCGTCTGCGGCCACGATGCATGCCATCTTTTACCTTAGGAACTCAGCTGCACAAACATCGGCACCCTTGCGCAAATCGCTAACCATCATTTACAGGTACTGTCTCTCAGTTCGCCGAAGTCAAGACGAAGGATCGGGCCCGCTCAAAGGTGAAAGAGATTCAGCCTTCCGGTGACGCTACGAATGCCACGCGTGGCGGCGCCCGCGGAGACCGTACGGAACGCCGCGGTGGGGACAGCATCCGTGGTGGTCGTGGACGCGCCACCGACCGTGGTCGCGGAGGCTTCCGTGGAGGTGCTCGTGGAGGAGCAGTGAACGGTCCCCGTCCTGCCGGCGCTGCTGGCACCTCCATTCCGACCACCGAGTTGTCTGCATGGAATGTTTCAACTCCTTCCACTGACGCAAACCCATCCGGACATGACAACAAAGAACAGGCTGCTCCCGCGCCCGCTTCTGCGCCGAAGAAGACATGGGCCAGCATGTTTGCAACGCCTAAGCCTGCACCGGCGCCATCAAAGCCTGCCGCACATGCTCAGCCGGCGCCGACAGAGCCATCACAGCCATCTGCTGAACCTCCTGCTGTCGAGCAGCCGGCAGATGTAGGGGAACAGCTACCTACGCCCCCTGCATCAGACGAATCCGAAGCAACCCCAATTGCGCCGGAGACCTCTTCGCATGCCGCAACAGACAAAGAGGAGGTTGCAGCTCCTGCCGAGCCCGAGATTTCTCCCAAGACCGATGAGCTTACCCAAGATAACGTTGCACATCTTCCTGACGATACTCATGGACCCCCGACCGAGACGGCTGCCAGCACCGTCGCTAGTTCGGTAGCAACACCACTCGCCACGACCGGCCAAGGACCAATTGGCCGTCCTGTGACCGGCGGATACGCCACCACTGCGCTCAAGGCCGCTGGAGTCGCGGTTCCGCGTAGTGCTAGTTTCCAGAAGAAGCTCCAAGAGCAACAGGAGGCGGTCGTCATGCCTGGAAATCATGCAGTTGATCGTGCCGCCGTTCAATTTGGTAGCTTGGGCATAGACGGAGAGGAGGCAGACGTTGATGAAGATCGCGAGGACGCAGAGACAAGGACTCAGCCCCCTCAGCACTCTCCGGTTGCTCAGCCGCGGGCTTCCCTTCCACCTGCTCCTCGTCAAGTTCCCCAAGCCGCCGAGCCGCAACCCCAGGAGGCGGCTCCCACGCTCAAGCAAGCCCCTGGACTGCCACCAGCACCTCAACAGCAACCTATCTCCCAACAATCACCGTCCGCGGCTGTGGGAGCCCAGCCTGCTCAACCTCAAGCTGTGCAATCCAACCAAGGATACAACCAATTCGGACGCTATGGTCAGGGTGGCATCCAGCAAGAGACCAGCGCATCCCAGAAGCCATATGATCCATTTGGACCCCAGACTGCTCAAGCCAGTCAATTCGACTACACGACCCAACACACCCAGCTCCCCCATTCCCAAGCCGGCGGCTTTTCTTCTGGCCCCGAAAGCTTTGCTTCCCAATACCAGTCTCTCGCGACAGAGCAGCAGCGGAATGCATCTGCCTATAATAACTACTACAGCTATAATCAACAACAGACGCCCAGCCAACAAGAGGCTGGTGCTGCACAGCCACGCACCGGCAGTGCATTCGGTGCCGGTCCGAACGACTCGAACTTCCCCTCGAGTCAGCAACAGGTGAGTTTCTCATGTTCCATATTTCTACCTTGATATCAACAGCTAACAAGTTCTTGCAGGGCCAAGGTCGGTACGGAGACGCTCAAAACAGCGGACATACCACTCCGAACCCTGCACTGGGTGGTCAACTCCCTTCCGGGCCAGCCTCTCAGGGTCATGTGCACCAACCCCACGGTCAACCAGGACACACTGGTGGTTACCCGTATAATCATCCGTACTATGGCCAGTATTATGGGAACTACATGCACCAGTACGGCAATTACACGCCCGGCGGTTATGGGAGCTTTGGTGGCAAGGGCATGTATGGTCAGCCTCATCACTACATGTCTCAATTTGACCAGCACTCCTCCTCCCCGGCCAACGTTGGCGGATTCGGCCAGACCCACGGTCGTGAGAGCGGACTTGCTGGAAGTCTAGGCGAGTATGGCAGGTCCGCCTCAAGCGCTGGTCAGACTGTACATGGCGCCACGGCAGGAGGATTTGGAAGTCTCCCGGATGTGTTCAGCCGCTCCCAAGGCTACGGTGGCCAGGCCTCCTCATATGGCCAGCAGCAAGGAGGCCAGCAAAGCGGAAGCGAAGACTCATTGAAGCCGTTCGGCGACACCAAGAGCGGTGGCCCCAGCCCCGCCGCACTGGGAGCGCAACCCGGTCGTCCAGGGTCTGCTGCCAACAACGCTCCTGGTCAAGCTGGACAAGGCCTCCCGCCCCAGACGCATCAGCAGGGCTTTGGCGGCTATCCAGGGCACGTGCAAGGTGGTCAGAACAGCCAATATGGGGGACTAGGTGGGCTGGGCCATCAAGGCGCCGGTCATAATCAGGCTGGCGGATATGGAAATTATGGCGGTTTCGGTGGCGGTTATGGCAGTTATAGGGGCGGTTGGGGCACCAACTACGGGCAGCACTAGAAGGCCGAAGCCGTGGTATAGCATCCAGTTGGGAGGATGTTCAGCCTCGTCCCCGTCTTATATATGAGAAAGAGATACAGATAACAGCTCCGCTTAGGGGAAAGGAGAGCAAGAATAGGGAAAGAAGCAAGCTATCAATCTTTGGAACGGCTTTGGTTGGTGTCTTGACACTCACTCTTCCACATTCTCGTTTCTACTACGCTGGTTCTTATTGATTGCGTGGTTCAAGTCGATTTCTATCTCAAGTGATTTTCTCAAAATGGGGGGAAAATCTATCGGGGATACCTAAGGGTGCTTCTATCAATCAGTTTCGGGTTTTCAGTTTTTTAAATCTCTTTATCGATGATTTCTTTTTCTTTACCGCGGTCAAATCTTTTGAGGATGTGAAGTGAGTGTATGGGCTGTTGCGTTCCGGGGTGTGCGTAGGCATGCTCTACTTTTTGTGTCTTATTCGCCTTTATTTTTGGGTTGCAAATGGGGCAAATTCATCTAAACTCTACTCTACCTACTAAACAAATCCTTGTATTATGAGGTATCGGATGGGGGCTCACGGAATGGATGGATGGAGGGATGCAAGGCACCGGAAATTGAATGGAAATTAGGGCCTTTGTGCTCTTGATTTGGGGAACTCTGTGTTTATTTTGCGGTGTGTGATTGCATGTGTGAATGTCTGTCTACCCATGTGCATTGTTTGGGGTTCTCATACTGGAATGTAATCGTCGACTCTGGTCAGCGTTAAGTGACGACACAAGCACGAGGAGCGGGTTTTGCAGATGATCAAAAAACTCGCATTCTCAATAAGTAGGAAAGAATGTCTAAGGGAACTTGCGGGCCGCCCAGCAAACCGTTGGACATATTCAGCATCCGCTCACTAAGCAAGCAGCATCCATCAACCAAAAGGAGCAGGAATAGCAGAGCAATACCGCGACCAGCGCCCTGCTAACACTACGTCCCTCCAAAGGAATAAAACCCTTCTGCCCAAATGAGATCGCACAACCAGGAAAGGCACAGCAAAAGACAGACAACCGCCTCCATCTCCATTCCCATTTCCAACCATCCGTCCTCTCTACCCGTGCCCCACTCCCATCAGGTCATATATCCCCACTCTCCACCCTCAATCAAGCTATGGCTCGCCACAAAGCTGAACCCGCCAAACGGATCCGACCCATCAGGTCCTCCCTCGTCAAAATGCAACTCCCTCCTCGAAACCACAGGACTAAGCGGCAAGTCCGTGAAATCCGAGGAAAAGTTCTCCGCCAACTCCGGATCCGTGACGAGCGGTTGGATGGGGGGCTGCAACTCCCTCAGCTCCAACTTCTTCCAGTCAATCTTCCTGAAGAAGCGGTGTGACTTTATCGTCTGCAGATCCTTGGGCATATTGGCACCGAGGCGTTTTTTGGGGTCCTTGCGGAGCAAGCGAGTGAGAAGATCTTTAGCGTCGGGGCCTAGGTAGTAGGGCAGGACGAGTTTCTGCTTGAGGATTTTCTCCTGGATCTTCGCATTGTTGTTTCCCGTGAAAGGAGGGGAGCCTGTGAGAAGGTCGACGCCTAGAGCTCCTAGGGACCACCAGTCGACGGCCATGCCGTATTCTGCGCCCTGGATGACTTCAGGAGCCATGTATTCGGCTGTGCCGAGGAACGAGTGGCATTTATCGTCCTCGTCCACGGCGACTTTGCTCAGTCCGAAGTCGGTCAAGAGAAGATGGCCCTCGGCATCCAGAAGGCAGTTTTCGGGCTTCAAGTCCCTGTAGACGACACCCACGTTTCGATGGAGGTGATCCAGAGCCAAAACCATCTCGGCCATGTAGAAGGCGGCAACTTCCTCGGAGAACATGCGCTCGGTAGCCAGATGATGGAAGAGCTCTCCGCCTTGCGCATATTCCAGGATGAGGTACAGCTTCTCGTGGTCCTGGAACGCATAGTATAGCTTAACGACAAAGGGGTGTCGATTGACACTCTCCAGGATGGCACGCTCAGTCTTGGTCTGCTCGACGAGCTTCTTGTGAACGGTCAGAGACGCCTTGCGGAGCTGCTTCTGCGCGTAGAGACGGCCAGTACCGCGCTGCTTGACGAGAAATACAGTGCCATAGCTTCCCTTTCCAAGGCATGTCAGAGGTGTGAAGTCTTCGGCGCTCATCTTGCGCACGTACGACTCGGTTCGCTCAAGGGTATTCGACGTCAGGGTCGATGTCTTCGAAGGGACTTCACTACTAATAAAGTCGGCCTCCAGATTGACTTGGTAGCTCTCCATCTCTGTTTTGTCGCTGTCACTCTCCAGTCCTGATGTACTCGCATTGCTGGAGACAAGGCCGGACTTGAATAGGCCAACAGGCAGCGGCTTGGTAGGAGAGTCGATCCGGCCACCGATGCTAAGAGCTTCCAACTGCTGTTTAAGGATACCATACCCGCCTGCTCCGGACGTGGGTCTCAGAGCAGGGCTACTAGTAACACTGGCGAATCCGGAGACTGGTCCAAAGCGGGGTGTATTTGCAGCGGACATGTCGGATTCCTCGCCGGCCGAAGTCACAGGGGTCTGAAAGCCGCGTACAGTATTCACTGCCGGAGCTGGGACTTGCTTCATGGCGTTCCTCTTCTTCTTTTTCTTCTTTTGTGCATTCTTCGCAACCCGATCGAAATCCAAGTTGTCGGGGAGCATACGTGCGCGTGTCTCTTCGATTCGCTTGGGGCCGGGTGTGAAGGGCACGGGGTCTGCCCCAGAGGCGTTCTTGGTGAGACCATCTGGCGGACATACTTGCATAGAGTCCGTCCTGTCCACGCAGACGGCATCCAAATCATCTTGTTCTTTTTGAGCCGGCTGAGGCTGAGTTCCGTCCTCTTCAAAAGCGAATAGCGCCATGTATCAATATTGCTCCTCCTCGAATATACAAGTAGCCCTCTCGCTATCCAAGGTGTGCGCGATCCTGCGCGGCCCGCGTCAGCAAAGGAGTCCGCCCGTCCCTGGGGATTTGTGCACCTTCGATCCAGTTGATAATGTCTTGTATATTACCGTCCGCCCGGTCAAGGCGGACCGTCCACAGCTACACACCAAACCACGGCGGCGAAGCTGGCGTCCGTCTGCGAAAGGCCGAAAGACAGGGTGATCTTGGGAACGGTGCTGACAGCCAGATTGCAGGTGCTGAAAGTGGGAAGGAAAGTGGTCGTGCTGCTGGAGGTGGAGCCCATAGATGGTAGTGTCGATGTGTATACTGCGCGTGTGAAGAAGCCAGGCGCTGTCCCTGGCTATGTGAACTGTAGGTGGTGATGGTGAATCTGTTCAATATTGAGGACACTGAAGACAAGAACGATTTGTCGGGCTCGGGCCTGGGGATAGCGTCTTGGCAGTAAATATAATCTATGCATATCACTAGGAGGAGAGGCCCGTCCTCTATCTTTCTTATTCGATCAAGAACTCTTTAACAACATCGCAATGCGAGATCTGTCTGAAGGTGCAGTCTCTTGTTCATGGATTCCGATCGCGCCTGGTGACCCGGACACTCCTTGGTCCTGTTCAACCTCCGACAGGATTCACAGCACTACTAATCTCCAACTGAACGCCTGACCATACTCCAACTTATACAACATGGAAGAGTCTGCTATCAGTGAAAAAGATTCGTGGTAGCGGTTGATTTCCTCGAGAAACAAGTGGAGCCGAAGCGCCAATACCTAGACGCTTCCAGCAGTGACTAACTGGTCGTCGTCTCCACCATGACTGGCCGAATGAGTCGATGATCGATCCGTTCGGGCATGTCTTGGAGCATCATGACTTGTGCCATCCGTCCTTGTGTTCTCTTCAACTTTCAGCCTTGTCTTGACTAGACCCTGACAATGAGAGGCACACCAGAAAACGGGACCCTATTCTTGCGACAAGCTCCAGCACGCGCATGTACCCGCTCCAGGGGCCTCCGGGAGCTCCAGAACGACAGTAGGTTGGGAAAGTTAGTGCGAAACAGCACCTCGCAGCTTTCGCAACGCTTGTCTTCCGGATAGGTGTGGGAAGTGGCTGTGGTGCGACGTGTGAGTAGCAGATTAAGTCTGTCAACCCCAAAGGGGAAGTTCGAGAGCTAAATTCAGAACCACTACGCACGAAACAGGAGACTTGGCGGTGTCCAGTCGCGACTATGGTTTGGCGCTCAGCATGAGTCCGAAAGCCTCTACTGTGTAGGCGACATGAAGTATTGGACCTGCTGACGATGTATCTCAAAGGTGCACCACTCGGCCTTCTCGCATCCTCCGCACCTGTGCTCATCCAGTCGCGCCCTATTTAATCCAGCGCGTTGAGGCTCAGTTTATGGAAATTCATTACCCGATTGGCACCTTGACCCTGTTGTGCTTCTCGGTCTGGGGACGAGAGCGGCTCGCCGGCCGTTGATTGGCGCCGTGCGAGCGCTGGGTGCTGGTGTTTCAGAACCGCTTGGGACGTTCGCTTGGGTGGCAGCCGCTGCATGGGCTTGGAACGTCCGTCTCCCGTCAACAGACTTCCAGGCCGCGAAGTAGGCCTCCGATTGGAAAAAAATGGCGCGCGACAAGTGCAGAGTGGAGCTTTCCTCTGCTTCGACTGACACCTTTTTGGCCGGTTCACCTTGCCCGAAACCCCCCGTCTGTCTTTCCAGTGTCATGCGTCCGCATACCTAGTATAACTAGGGCATCCTCCCTCCCTGTTGCGAACCAGCTGTGGCATTGTGTTTTTTCTTTTCTCCATTCATTTGGACTGCCCAAGAGTCAAAGTCATTCGTTTTCTTTGCTCTTTGGCATCGCCTTTTCTCTTATTGCACAATCGTTAAGCAGGGCTTCGACATTCACTTCTCTTCGTACTCTACTCCACATCATCACTGCAGATCAACATGAAGGTTTCCGTTGCTCTCCTGTTTTCTGGGCTCGTTGCCCAGCAGGTTTCTGCCACCTGGAATCGTCGCGCTGGCCGTTTCAATACTCCTCAATACAACAACAACGAATGTACGAACAAACAAAAGGAGGGCTACAACTGGATCGATCTCCCCAGGGGTGACTTTTCCGGCTACGAGGACTTCAACTTCAAAGGTGGTTGGACTTGTGCAGAAAGGTTCGGCAAGCGAGATTCGCTGACCAAACGAACCTTCAATTCGAAATGCATCAAAAACAAAGTTCGCAAGGAGAAGCCAGCGGCCTTTGACTGCAAGAAGAAGGACGGCTTCTCCGTGACGGAGTTCCAGGTGTCTGTCGAATTCGACACTGACCTTGAGTTTCATTACAAGATGCCCGACAACTCCATCTGCAAACAGATCGCTCCTTGCAAGAAAGAAGGGACCATTGTCCGGAACACACAATGTGGTGGCGCCCGAGAAGTGGAGGTGTATCTGGGCCGCCACAATCAGAAGGACCGCGAAGACTGCGAGATTGGCTTCCACCATATTGGCTTCGATTGCAGCCCTCCGTACGTTCCATCGGAGCCCCCTGCGTCCTCTCCGCCTGCACAAACATCTTCTCCGTTATCTCGCCCTGAAACTTCAGCTGCGCCTCCTCCGGCCTCCGAGACGTCTGTCGTGACTTCTGAGACCCCGGCTCCAACCGAGACTCCCAGCCCACCTGTACAGACACCAATCTACAGGAACAGCACGTTTACAACAAGGACTCCGGTTGAGACTCCTGTTCAGACTCCGGTTGAGATTCCGGTTCAGACTCCGTCGCTGGGCATTGGGACTACTGAGACCACCACCAAGACCCCTGAAGCTGTGAGCAGCACTACTTCAGAGTCTTCCTCTCTTGTGGCTCCCCCGTCTGTTTCGTCCTCACCGCCTGCGAACCCGGGAGTCACCCCGCCCGAGTGTCTTCCGAAATGCATGAACACCTGGTTGGAAATCAACTCAAAGTGCAAGGACAACACGGACGCCAACTGTTATTGCAAGAATCCGGAATTCACGAAGTCGGTCATTGAGTGTGTGGCTGCCTGGGCAACCGACGCCGAAACCCAGCAGGCCCTTCAGTACCTCCTAGGCATTTGCGCATCTCATGTCCCTGAGAACCCGGGCTTGATCACTGACTGCCCTACGTACATCCCACTGAACCCACCGACTCCGCCCGCGACGCCGGCCCCTATCGGCAGTGCACCTCCAGTTCCCGTCACAACCATCACTTATGATACCACGCTCACCAAGCCTTGTTCTTGCGCTGCAAGCACTGACGTTACCTCTACAATCTCTACTACTGTCACGGTCCCTCAAGTTATCTTCACGACGGAAACTCCGGCGCAGCCTCCTGCACCAGGCGTTACACCCCCCGAGGCGCCAGTGGCTCTTGTTCCGGGAACTCCACCCTCGGTCCCAGCCGTGACCACTCCGCCAGTGGCTCCTTTCCCTTCGAACAATGTGCCCACTAGTTTGAGTACTATCGCTGCCCCAAGCGCCAGTGCTAGCTTCAGCCCGCCTCTGGAGTTCCAGGGCGCCGCGTCTACAGTTCGCATTGGCTTTGTTGGCACTGTCTTCGGCGCTGTCTTTGCCATTATCGCTTTGTAAATGATCGAATAATGTGTGAATATCTGGTTTCTGTAGAGTGTGTGTCCGTTATGGCGTGGATCGGTAAGAGTTGGGAATAGTTTCCTTAGTAATGGATGAAGCTTTGGGCTTAGGCATTGGGAGCCTGGTAATATGTCGTTGTTATGCACAAGCACACGTTAAATGATTTCTGTATTTCTGGCTTCAATATCATCCATAGTGCTTTGACCGTCTGTGATTGGCTCATCTTTCTTGATCTGCGCTAACCCACTTTGGACCACTCACCGACGTCATCCGAGTTTTGGAGGCGCGCGACAAAGATTGTCGATTGATCAACAAGCACCACGCATCAAAAACAACCCCCTCGCTTCGAGGCGATCAGACCCAGGTTTCAACGCGGCGGCAGCGTTCCTTCGCAATGTCGTTCGTTGTCGAGTGAGTAGACGCTTCTTTTCCTTTGTGTCACTGCACAGTGCGTTTTGATTACATGCAGCTTTCTAACAATCGCTCTTAAACAGCCAGGTACGGCAAATTGACAGTCGTCTCGACGCGCTCCACCTTGCGCGACAACAGCCTGGCGACAGTTTCTGGGTTACCGAGGAAGAGGCCCACGATTGGTCTTCTGCGGAACGGTTTGCTCACCTCCAGCGGTTGATCAAGAGCCTCTCGGCGACCTCAAGCCCCAAGCAGTCTTTGGTGGGGGTAGACCGTATTGTCGACATCCTTGACGAGGCAAAGCTTGGGACGCAATGGCAGCCTTTGATACAAGGTGGAGGCGACACGAGATATCAGAAGCCCCAGAGAGCGGAGACTTCGTATGAGCATGAGCTGGAATGGCTGCTGCTCAGCAAAGCAACCGCGCAGGCATACGGTGCCGTGCTGAATGCTGTCTTGGAGCAAGCCCTGCCTCTAGAGGATCACATCTGGTACTGGGAAGATATTGCGAGCTCATACCGATACGCCGGGCTGTACTCGATGCAGACGTCCCCTATTCGTCTCTGGAACTGGTATCTGGATATCGTGCACGATGTCAGGAAAAGAGGGGCCAGGAGAGGGATAGCGCTCACGGACGGATGGAGGCAGTTCTACGGCCTCGTCAAGGAGGCTGTCACAGAGAGATCCATTGTGCATATTCAGCGCAAGGTTGTATCACCGCTTGCTCTGGCGCAGAATGAGGCGAAGCGAAAGGCAAAGGCTCTCAAGGGGATCCGGTTACGATGTGCGAACGCTTTGGGCTTGTTACTGGGAGAAGGTCTCAGCTATGAAAGCAGCCATGGAAAAGGTCTGGAGGTGTTGGATGCCGAAAGCACAGAGCCCGAAAACCGACACAAATGGAAGGGAACCGTCGCAAGGAATATATCTCTGATGGATGCCGTTCTTCATACACTCAACGATGGTAGCCAAGTGAAGTTTGACGAAGCTGTAGCAGCCATCACCGAGGAAGATCATTACTTCGAGCCACATGAGGCTTCTGGGGAGGAATTCAGCATCTCCACAGTGTTCCTTCAACCCGCCGACGTTGCAAGGCGCCTTCGTGGCGTCCTTACCCAGGCCTTGCCTACCTATACCGCGACATACCGGGCCCGCGTAAAGAGGAGTGGGCGGCCCTCTCGTCTCATACGGTACTGGCTTCCTGCTTCAATACTCTTGGTGGGTACCGCCCCTTTAGCCTTGTCGGCCACCATTCTAATGGCAACCAGGTCTCTTCGACAACTATCGTCCGCATTGTTGTAAACCGTAAAGAAGATATTCTCGCCTGGATCCGCGAATTTGGGCGAACATGCATTGACTTCTGGTCCAACTGGGTTGTAGAACCGGTGAAGAAGGTCATTGGCACGATACGGCATGACGAGGGAAGTGAAGTCTCCATCCTCAGCAAGAGGAGCCTGGAGGGTGATCGCGCCAGTCTCGAACGCATGGTGATTGATTTTGCCGTGGCAAACCGCGAGGGCCCTCCTCTCACCGAGACGCACATCGCCGCCCTACGCGCCAAAGTACGCGAGGGAGACTTAACGCCCATCTTGAAGGCATACGAGAAGGATATGCAACGACCGGTCATGGGCGCCATCCGGGGAAATCTCATCAGTGCGCTCTTGATCCAGGTCCAGAAGACGAAGGTGGATGTGGAGGTGGCGATGGCTGGGATTGACTCGATATTGAAAAGTCAAGAGCTGCTGTTTGGTTTCATCGGATTGACGCCTGGACTGCTGGTCACGGTGGGGGCGTATCGCTGGCTCCGGGGCGTGTTCAGCAACCAGAATAGTCTGGAGGCGTGGCGGCGGCAGGGCCAGTTGGTGATTAAACTAAGGTGAGATGATGTAGCTATCCCCACTTGGCCCGCATGTGATACTGATAAAGTATAGGAATATTGACCGGATCCTCGTCGGATCAATGGGCAATACCAATGAATATGGGGAGATATCATACGAGGATCAGGGCCTCCTTCTGTTTGAAGTCCATCGTCTGCGCCAGACAGCCAGCGGCATTCTACCACGCCGCATCTTCCACGATTTACTGGAAGATTTGAGCGAACTCGCTGAGAACAGGAATGGGCTGGAGAGGCAACGCAGAGTGGTGGAACGTATCAGGTGGGCGTATAGGAAGTGGTTCAGGTGAGGTGAGGAGGGTAAAGAGGCTTATGATTCAGGTAGTTGTAGATAAATATAATGGTCGACAAGAGCGCCACGCGGCATGGTCCAAACCACGACAACATACAGTACATGAGCATCTTTCACTCGAGCACCTCCCCTCTCAATCATCATTGTCCTGTGGCTGTGGTCGATGCAGGTGGGAGTGGTGGTGTATCTACCTACGTATGTTGGCCGTGACGTTCCGTTTGGTTGCCCCTGCCTTGGTGTGCTTGGCATCCATGCCCATGCCCCCAATGTCGGCTCATCGTCCGCCTGCATCTTGGCTCTACAAACCGTACAACCCCATCTTCGACGTCTGCCTGGTAAAAGTGCGCCTCACGCGTGCAACAAGCAATCCACCCTCTGACCTGGTCACCTCCTTCCCGACGCTCCGCCTTCCGGAACCCCGCTCCCACGTCTCTCCGCCGCCAGAGGCCTCCCCAAGGCCTCTACAAGAAAGCCCCCCGCGCCGATTGACGCGGACTGCACCCGCCTTCCCCAATATACGGACTCGCTCGCCTCCGCAGACACCATGGCGGGCACTAGGAACTACGACTTTCTGGTGAGGCTCTCCCAAGCTCGAAGCCGGGCGGCTTAAACGAACCCGTCATGCCCCTGTGTCCGCCTCCTGCGCCGTTCCCCCGACCCCCTCGGAGGCATATTTCCCGCTAACATGTCCACTTCTCGCAGATCAAACTCCTCCTCATCGGCGACTCGGGCGTAGGCAAGTCGTGCTGCTTACTGCGGTTCAGCGAGGACTCGTTCACGCCGTCCTTCATCACCACCATCGGCATCGACTTCAAGATCCGGACCATCGAGCTCGACGGCAAGCGCGTCAAGCTGCAAATATGGGATACCGCCGGGCAGGAGCGGTTCCGGACCATCACGACGGCGTATTACAGGGGCGCCATGGGCATTCTGCTGGTCTACGATGTTACGGATGAGAGGTCGTTTAACAGTATGTCTAGCGTTTTCCTTGCTTCTGGAAGGCCTTGGAAGAATAACGGTTGGCTCATATGGCTAGCTGGGATGAGAGATCGAGTTTCCAAGCGCTCCATTTCCCCATGTCCGCCCGTCTGATCCATGCTGACAACCCCTCCAGACATCCGCACCTGGTTCTCCAACGTCGAGCAACACGCCACCGAAGGCGTCAACAAGATCCTCATCGGCAACAAATGCGACTGGGAAGAGAAACGCGCCGTCTCTACCGAGCAAGGCCAGAAGCTTGCCGACGAGCTCGGCATCCCCTTCCTCGAGGTCAGCGCGAAGAGCAACATCAACATCGACAAGGCGTTTTACTCGCTCGCGGCGGATATCAAGAAGAGGTTGATTGACAGCGCGAAGAACGATGGGCCGTCGACGAGCGTGAACGTCGGGGATGCGGGACAGGGTGCGGGGACAACGGGAAAGACGTGCTGCTAGAGTGGTTGCGGGCGGCCAATGTTGGAAAAAGTCCCTCAAAGCAATACGATGACGCCCGATACTGAGCCCGGGGTGGGACCTATCCTGTCGATGCGGATTGCGAGTGCACGAGCTGCTGGCTTTTGTTCGACAGGCCAGTTTCCATCCGGTGAGTGCCAAGGCGACGAAGAGTGTGGAGGGCATGCGGACGATGGGCGTGGCGTCATGTATGAAAGGGAGCAGGGAAACGCGGCGATATCCCATCTATCTATCTACACAGCTCGCTCTATTACACTTTTCCTCCTTTTCCTTCTCCTTTTCCTTCTCCCTTTTTTTCCCCTTCGGAGTTCGAGATGGTGGGACCTGTGCGTTTCATTTTCCTTTTCTCCCTTCCTCCTTTCCTCCAAGTCAAGTCTATGTACCAGTCAGGCATAGAGTCTATGGACGATAACGACGCGCGTTGGGGGCCTCGTCTTCGTCATATACTCTTTTCCCTCGTCTGATGTATCTGTTAATGGTGATAATGGCATCTTGTACATGATATGATGCAGTACTACTGGCTTGCTTGGGATTGGTCCGCAAATGTGTGTAGTGTTTCGTGCAGACGGATGAGAAGAAACCCGGAGCTGGATGCTTGACGTGGCTTCTAGGTAAGTTCTTGATTGTCTATCTAGGTATATATGAATGGTGACAAGAAGGAAGCAGGGTAGAAATTGGTATTCCTGTAAGGCTAGAACACCATATCCACCACACCTCCTCACCACTTCAGGCTCCCCTGATTCCATCTCCCCACATCCCCTACACTAACCCTGGCCCTCCCTCACATACTCGCCCTCCCGCGACTCTCAAACGGCAAACCCCACACCAACAACCCAGCGCCCACGAACAAGGCACCACTCACATAGACAGGCACACTGGACCTTAAATCGGCAAACATGGCGACAATGGGCGCCATGACGCCAAAGACGCGATTCGCGCCCGCCGTGACGGCGTTGCCCGTGCCACGATCCCTGGTCGGGAAGATCTCGGGCGTATAGGCGTAGAGCACGGCGTACATGATATTCGCGACGAAATTGTAGGCGCAGTTCCAGCCCAGCAGGGCCGTCGAGGTGAGGGATGTGGTGCTGGCGAAGAGAAACACGCCTGTCAGGATGGTCGAGAGGGAGAGGGTACCTTTTCTGCCTATGTAAGGGAGTTCGACGAGCAGGCCGCCCAGGAGGCACCCCGGGACGCCGAGGACGGCGATGATGAGGGCGTTGCGGTAGGTCAGGTAGGTGGAGGAGTCGCCGAAGGAGGCGCCGCGGGTGGCGAGGGTGTAGGGGAGGAAGGCGTTGTAGAGGGGGAAGGAGAGGCCGATGAGGGCCCAGATGAGGGTGATGAGGGTCGTGGAGAGGGCGAGGCGCGGCGTGTGGAAGAGGGAGCGGATGTGCGTGAGGGAGAGGTGGGAGAGGCTGCGGTAGAGGGCGGCAGTTTTGGAGGTGGATTGAGGGGTGGCAGCAGCGGGAACAGGAGGAGGGGGATTATTGGTGGGAGAGGAGGTCCTCGTCGTCCCGGCGAGCTGCTCGCACACCTTGAGATCCTCGATGGAAAGGCTCGTCGTCTTGCCATTCCGTCTCGCGACTTCATGCACCACGCGCACGGCCTCTTCGTCCCTGCCCCTGCCCATCAGGTACTTTGGACTCTCGAAGATGGTGAAGCACACGAAGCGCAGGAAGAACATGATCATGGCCACGCCACCCATGACAATCATGAAGTACCTCCATCCCATGTTGGCGGATCTGCTGCACGTCGCCTGAGTCCCGTCTTCTTCATCTGCCTGCTGGCAGGTCAGATTGCCCAGCAGCGGCCACGCGACCAACGTAGCAAACACCTGCGCCAATGCCCAATCGATACTCAGCACGGTAAGCAGATACTGGTGGCTGGCGGGCAAAAACTCCAGGAAGATGGCCGAGTCCACGGGTAGATTGCCGCCCACACCGACGCTCCAGAGGGCCGCGAAGGTGGCGATGGCGCCGAAATTGGGGCTTCCCGCGGCCACGAGGCCAAAGACGGCGGTGATGCCGATGGTGAGGTTGAAGGCCCAGCGGCGGCCGAAGAGGTCGCAGCCGAAGCCCCAGAAGAGGGCGCCGACGAGCAGGCCGAGGTTCTGGGCCAAGGTGAGGTAGGGGGGTCGTTGGGGCAGGAATTCGAGGGTGATGGGGGGTAGGATGAGCGACGTGGTGATGGGCCAGAGGTTGTCCGAGGCCCAGCCGAAGCCGATGACGATGAAGAGCTGGGAACTGTCAGCATTGTTCAGAATGGCGAGGGGTGTTGATAGCTGAGGAGAAAAGACATGGCGTTACGAAGAAATAAGGGCTGTGAATATAGGAATCGAATTCAAGTGCTCACTTGGAAAATGGAAAGAGTGAATGTATACTGACCTGCCACTGATACCTCCCCATGCCAATCTCCTGGATCGCCTTATTCAGCACCCTCGCCTTGGCCGCGTACACGGGATCCCCCAGAGCGACATCCTCGAGCACGGCGACGGGCGCGTCTCCTACCGCGGCATCGACGTCCACATCGACATCTTGGGAGGCGTCGAGTTTGGATTTGGTTTTGGTGCTCGGAGTCGGGTTGTGGTCGACGTCGGTGGCTGGGGAGGAGGGGGGAACGGCGGCCATTGGGTTGTTGGAGCGCGAAAAGCTGCGAACCGGGACGGAAGAAGGTTGGTTGAATTGGACGTCGCGCAGTTTTTTCCCCTTTTGCAACTTCTCTTCAAGACGTCGGGTTCAATATCCTGCACTGCTATACGAAGGCGTGAATCGAACCGATCGAATGCCCTCGAATCCACAGGAAGGCCAAATGCCAGTCCCCAAAAGTAGGAACTTCAGAAGAATATAAGAAACCTTTCGAGCTTCGACACAGCTTCCATGCAGCAACTTTTTTATACTGTACTCGGTACGTCTGCCACCAACCGGTATCCTTGTCGTCGCACCCTAGGCGAGTTGGAAGTTTGTTGACGGCACCATGATGGACTTGGCCCCCGCTATATAACTGTTAGAACCGTGCTATCCCTAGTCCGCCGTATCCCGCGTCCGTATATAAGCAAGGAAGGTCCCTAGGTCCCAACCTATCAGAATAATCAGAATAGGACCCCCGCCTGTCGCCATCCCCGCTGATGCTGTCGCAATACGAGAATGTATCCCCGACAATGCCATGTGCGACCACATCTCCTTGTCCTACTTATCTACCTTTGTAGGTAAATATAATTACTCAAGTAGTCTATGGCAAAGATGCCATGGGCGTGGGATGATGGTGCATGGATAAATCTGTATCTGAATGTATTTCCCGAAACATGCAGGTTTGTATGCACAAGTGCCAGAAATGTACATGGGTCCTGCTAATCGATCGAAAGGGTGAAAAAGGAAACAACCGGGGTGCGGGAACCAGAGAAAAGTAAGAGAAGAGAAAGGAAGAAACATCGACAGGGTATCTACTCCAAGCTTACACACATGCACGCACGCTATAAGCACATTGCACCGCATCATCTATGCCCCGCATCCCATATACTGTGTAGTCGCACACACCCAGCCCTCCCTGCCATCGTACTTCCCCCGCAACATCTCCCATTCGCAATTCCCCTTCTCGATCCAACCACCTACCGCGTAACCCGCCTCACCCAAATCGCACTCCCCGCGTTCGGATCCTCCCTCTCCCTCTTCCTCAGCGCCCGATGCAGCCGCAACCCCACCCCATGCTCCTCGGCCCTAATCTCCGCCAACTCGTCCTCAAACTCCTTCTTCCGCTTCTCCACCATCCGCGCCGTCTTGAAGTCCGTAATCAGCGGGTTCGGAGGCGCCTGGTTGTTCAGATCCTGCAGCAGCCGGTGCACGTTGGACCGTCGGATGCGCAGGTCCTCCATCTGCGCTTCCAGGATGTCGACGTGATCGGCCGCCGAGAGTTCGGTCGGGGGACGCGGTAGGGCCTTTTGGGTCTTGGTGGAGAAGCCGGAGGGGGACCGGGGGGAGGGAGGGTCGTTGGTCCTCATGGTAGAGGATTGTGCGGATGGGCTTGGAGTGGTTGACGCGAGGGGTTTACGCGCCGTGACTTTCTCCGACGCGGGTGGCACTGGGCGGCGACGATTGAGGATCGAGGATGCGGCAGGCAGGGGTTGCTGGTCGAGCGCTGCGGCGGAGGTAGGGAGAGGCGGAGGTGGTGAGGGAGGAGGCGAATGCTGTGACTGCTGATACGTGGTGCTGGAGTTGTAAGTCGTCCAGCTGAACCGGCTGACGGGCCCGTCTTTGCTTGCAGCCGTAGAGCCGGGAGTTTGTTCTTCGGTGGATTTTCTGCTGATCTTCTGCCCCGGTGGTGTCGCGGGTTCCTTCGGTATGTTTCTCTCTGTAGATTGTTGCTGGTCTGTCTGGGTCCCTACTGGCGGATTTGTGCTGGGCTCGGCATATGCGCCGGAACTCGGAGGTCCCCTAGAAGGCGCCGACGCCAGAGGAGGGATCACAGGAGTATGCGGTGTCCTTGGAGAAGCGATACTTCGAGGAGGAGAATTCCTTCCGACTTTGAGGGGTACAACGGGCTTAATGGGGTCGTCATGCGCGCCATACGCTTGTGAGCCATCTGCGACAGGTCCGGTGTCAGCCGCTGCAGGAACGCGGCCGGTAGGCGACGCCACCGGACTCGATATGTTCCTTGGCCCTCCTTTAACTGCTCTGGGCTCGGGCTTCCGCTGGAAGTTGAGAGGTTGTTTTGCGGGTTGATCACGAAACGGCTGCACGATTTCCGCTCGGCCACTCGCCCCCTTCCATGGCTCTCGAGGAGTGAAGGTGATGTCAACGAGTGTTGGCTTTACGCCTGTATAACCTGGACGCTCAAGTCCAGGAGCCATCTTCCTTGTTGCGTTCATCTGAGTCCCAGTCATTGTGTCGCGCGAAGTAATCGGGTGAGAGCGCAAAGACACTGCTTCCTTGGCGAAAGCGAGCGGATTGACCTGCCCAGCTTTCCCCGCATTCCCAGAAGTAGGCTCCCCAGAATACTCATCCCATCGCACTTTGCCGTCGGGGGCGACCTTGCCCGGCCAGAACTTCTGAGTGCTTGCCCGCGGCGGTGTGTTGTCGGGCACTCGGCGAAGAACCGGGATGTTACTGCGCATGGTGGTGGGCTGGCCGCGGCTCTCATCTAGAGGCGATACATCTCGCATGGAACGAAAGCGCCGTGGTTTCCTTGGGTCGCGCTCCTCATCGTCGGGTTCGGGGGAGCTGGGTGGTGATATGTCGGCGGTCGTAGAATACGTGGCACTTCCCTTTGTGTAGTCTAGTCTCTGTGGGGGAGAGGATCGACCGTAGGGAGGCGAAACAGAGTGCGTTCCTGAAGGTTGATATGCTCGGGGGTCATGAGGGGAATATATGTTACTTAGGAGCCGTCAGTGGTTGAGATGATATGCTGCCAGCCGACGGGTGGACTTACTAGGAATACGTTTGGATCGGTGGAGAGAAGGATTCAGCCTGGTAGGCGGCATTTTGTGCGTCGGAAACCGTGGGTATATGCCTGAGTTGGTCTTGGTCATAGGTGGTTTCAAGGAGCACCGGATTGCCGATTTGCTTCTCCTCTGCGCGTCGGCCCATTCGTTTCCACATGTTGGCCTAGGAGAGACTGTTAGCAATGCTCGATACATCTTCAGCCATCATACTGTGAGTCGGAAGGTCTGCGAAGCCAATCACGTAGCAGATATTGCCAGGGTCCACTATGGAGAATGGGGAGAGGAAAGGTGGCATGCGTATAGGCATATGGAAATTTTGCATGTTGACAAGAGCTCCAAGGGCAAGCAACGCAAAGTCCAGTTTGGAGGTAGAAATCGTCAAGTGAGGGGAAGTATTCGCATCCACGAAACCCAGCCTCTTAGGATTGGATCCAATACCGATATGTCAAGGTGTCGAAGTGGATACAGGCGTCCAGTTTCAGCGCATAGCTCCAGTGTCCAGGGTCGACTGGAGAGGAAATTTCCAGCGAAGAAGGATGAAGCCAAACCCACGCACACGTCCATAGATACTTACCGGAATACTGAGAGTTGAAGAAAAGTGTTTGGGTGGGTTGGGAGCACTTCTTGAACCAGCAATGGGTACGGAGTACTCGAATGCCAAACAAGCAACTCGAAATGTGACAAAGGAAGGGACGGAAGCACAGCCTGGAAAGGAGCGAATCGGGCCAGATAATCAAATGATGAGAAGACAGACCAGCTGAGCAACAAAGCGCGAGGACTTGTTGGAGCTGTGCGTGCTAGCGTGCCCTCTGCGAGCAAACCATCGGCGGTGGTCGTGAATCGCTGAGGTCGCGCGACACGATACGGAGTGTCAACTGACGACGACGCGCAAGTTATGCTTCCCCCAGGCTCCCTCGGCCTCGAAGTGGAGAGGAGCAGGCCAAATGAGAGGCTGCTGCGAGCCGGAGCCAGTTGGGTTGCGATGTTTCAGGGTTATGGTTGGAGGTTTCAGGGCCAGAAATGGGTCCGGGGGAGCTGGGAGCTGAGTGTGGCGCGGCTCGTGGCGCGGCAGGAGGAGCTTGTGAAAGTAGGAGAAGAGACTACCTACTGCTCTGTCACGTTCTGTGTCCGAGAGAGCCAGCAGTAGGTGTGTTGCGCTCGGCGAGCAGTGAATACCAAATGGCGGCACAGATGGATACAGTACCGTGGTAGTAGGTAGCATTTATCATTAGTATTAATAGACTGCCGTCAGCTCCGGCTTTGGTCCCATCAGATCTCCGTCCCTCACCCTCTATCCCACCCCTCATCCACCAAACAGAAGAGGCCCCCAAGCACCTCCATATATTGCGACTAGCTTTGACTTCACATCTACTCGTTCAAATGGCAGACAGTGAGTCCACCCCGCCTTGCTTCCATCATCCGCTGACGTCCAGCAGCAACATCCTCTCCTCCACCGGCGGCCACGGCGTAAGCTTTCCGGTCCGGCAACGTCCCCAGCGCTGTCCATCTAACAGCAGTTCTCAGTGCCTCACCCGTCACGCCCATCAACCTCGTTCTTCTCTCCCTCTTCGTGATCCTGGTCTACTTCCGCCTCAGGCCCGCAAAGCCGCAGACGCTGCCTCGCGCTCCTCCCCCCACCGTATTCCGCACCTTCACTCCGCCCGAGCTATTTCCCTACAATGGTCTGAACGGCATGCCAGTCTACCTGGCGGTGCGCGGACAAGTCTTCGACGTGACGGCCGGCAGGCAGTTCTACGGGCCAGGCGGTCCCTATGCCAACTTTGCCGGTCGCGACGCCAGTAGAGGACTGGCTTGCGGCAGCTTCGACGAGGACATGCTGACCAAGGATCTGGACGGACCATTGGACACCCTCTCGGACCTGGGCGAGGAGGAGATGGAAGCTCTTCGCGGCTGGGAGGAGAGATTCCTGGAGAAGTACCTCGTCGTGGGCAAGCTGGTAGCCGTGGGCAGCGAAGAAGCAAAGGCCGCCGCTGCCCAAAAGTGAGGAAAAGGGAATGACTAGTAACAGTATACGGGGGATGCACCGGATAGGGCCAATATGGTTCCCCGGTGAGGCACAGACCATGTACTCTCAGTTACGCATGGCGCTACGGGGACAGTATACGATAGAGGAGGCCCGAAATAAACTGTGATCTGATCTCGACAATTGAGTGGTCACGCGACGTCCATTGTTGCTAGAGTGCAAGTATATTGGATCGCCATCTGATTATTGAGTCGTCTCCCATTCTCTACTCCCGCGTCGTCAACTCATGCCATCCCGGTCCGGCGCGCCCCTGATTTACTTGCAGGAGAGCAACTGCAATGTTACATACCCAGCATCTGTAGCTGTGGTCTGCGGTTCTGGTCATACGCGAGAGTTGCCGCATGATTCTTCCGCTTATAGGCACACTGTGGACATGTTGAGATGCCAAACAGATCCAAACCGCTCGGTGAAGGCAGCTCAAGGATGAATAGATTGACGGAGCAGCCATTCGAACCCGTCTCGAGTCCTCGACGGCAGCCAATGCTCGTCTAGTCTAAGCTAGCAACAGAAGCATGACCATAACCAGGCCCCGGCGGTTCCCTGCATCTATTCTGTTTCAGCCTCGCCTCGATGCAAGGCGGCTATCGGTAGGACTTGGGACTACTGGGAGCACTCGTTGCCCCTCGGTGTAGGGCAAAAGCAAATAACAATAATAATATGGTTCGCTCCATTCGGACTAGCACCATGTGCTCTTTCCGGATGTTGTGTTGACTCTCCCTCCTCCTTTCCACCTTTCCTTCTTTCCTCTCTCTCTCTACTCTCTCTCCCTCTCTCTCCCACTCTCTTCTCTATTCCACCAACCAGACCCCTCTTACCTTCTCACTCATCTGTTCCATTTGACGAGTACTCAACTCCTGTGTTTACCCGTCCTCGCTTTCAACTCTTCAGCAATGGCTCCTACTGCTACCACGACCACCAAAACTGCGCCCTCCAAGACCAAGGCTGCCAACGGCTCCGGCGTCAAGAAAGCCCCAGGTGGCCGCAAAGGTGGCAAGAACGCGAACGCGAAGAACGCCATGGTCAAGATGCAGGCTTACTGTAAGAGGATCACTCCTTCCCTTCACTCATTCCCCCATCAAGCGCGTATTGAACGCGTTTTAGACGCGTTTCCATCATGTTTCCAGGCTTGTAGAGGACCAACTGACGCCGCTCGCAGTCAAGGCGCATCGCCACGAGTTCAAAGATCTCCCGTTCAAGGAGCAGCAGAAGGAGCTCGGGAAGAAGGTAAGCGGATTCTCCTGCAGGTGGCACAGCGATGCCCCTTCCTTGTCTCGTGCAGCGCCAGGCTCCGCTATTGATTCCTGATTCCTCCATTGGCCCACCGCTCTCGTTCATTGTTATACCATTCTGTACTAACTCGTTGCAGTGGAAAACGGCTCCCGAGAATCCCAAAGTGAGCGCTTAATCGGGACCATTGCGCAACCTGCAATCTATACCAAAAGGTGTAGTTGGCGCACGACATGACCGACAGGAGCCGTTCATCTTCGCCGTATGCATGTTCCTGCGCCGTTCTCAATCTTCAACACTCCGGACCCATGCTCTTCAGGCGGACCGCCTGATGCATATCTTGGTCCACCAAATCCATTTCCTTGCTGTACTTGCTGTAACTCTTCCATCGCCACATGGCGACAGACGATTATTCCGGGCTGGAGTTTTCTCTTTTCTTTTTTCTGTTTTCTCTTTCCTTCGGAGGGTGAATTTCAATACGACTCAACATGTGACACGAATTTCATTTTCAAACGGCAGATCGAGTGGCGCTGGGAGTGGGACGGCCATTATTGGGTTTATACGAGGCTTCGAACAGACTTTCCGGGCAATATGGATGAATTTCAAATTAGCTTCTTAGCGCCCTCCGCACGTATGGCTTGCATTGTGCTTGCGGATGTTCCTGCGTTGCAGGCTTCAGGCTAATTGGATGCAGAGAGATGCATGACGGTGTTGGCTCGGGTTGTTTGACGACATGCGCCCCGGAACTGGGTACAGTTCATCCAAGTTTGGAAGTGTTCGGAGTCGATGCAAGTTCCATGAACTGGTGTTGCCAAAGTGTGAGCACGCGACAGCAGCCAGACTACACTTCCTAAGGTTCGTTTTCGCAACGTGTTCAGTTCCTAAACCTGCTGGTTTTATGGGTTGCCTGCTCAATCAGCAGGAAATCTAAGCACATTTGAACTCCCTTCGGATCGCGTTTCCCCCAATCATCCTCTAGACTCTGTTGCTACAATTCAACACACTTCCCTCGGGCACCTCCTAATCCACATCCGGCACCGGCAACCCATCCACAATCCGCCACCCTTCACCCCAGAGCCCCAACTTCTCCATGGCCTTCCTGGCCTCGTCGTCCCTCAGCTTCTGCGTCTCCTCCTCGGTCACGAGCACAAAGTCGTACGTCAGCACCTTGCAGGGCCCGTCACCCTCGACGCCGTACATCTCGCGCTGCTCGGGCGTGATGTCCTGGAGGTCGACGATGAGCGAGTCCTTGACGCCGAAGACGGCGTCGCTGGTTTCGTAGGGGTCGTGGCGGAGGTAGAGGGCGCTGGCCAAAGTCAGTAACTTGGAGAATGGGAGGAGTAGTTCTCTCTGAATGGGTGAGGAAGAACAACAGTACCGAAGGTACTTGATAGTGAAGAAAAGGGAGCACCCACGTAATCAACGTCTCGAACCCTTCCCCCTCCAACAAGAAATGCACATGGCTCGGCCTCCACGGATGCCTCCCCAGCGCGTGCAACATCTTGCCCACGGGCCCGTCGTCGGGAATCCGATACGGCACGGGCACAATGGCCTTGAACCAGAACCTGCCCTCGTCGTCGCTGCGCAGCAAACCGCGCCCGTTCGGCTGCCCAGCGTAGCTCGCGTACTGCACGTCGTAGACGCCCTTGGAATCCGTCTCCCAGACGTCGATGGAGATGTCCTTGAGGGGTTGGCCCGAGGTGGAGGAGACGGTGCAGAGGCAGAGTAAGGGGGTGCCGGAGGGGTCGTGGGTTATGGTTGCTCCCTGGGTGGAGGATGGGGATGTGTGCGTGTGGAAGGGGCCTAGGACGGTGCCTTGGGTTGCGGTTGAGGGTTTGGGGTGGGAGAGGGAGTCGATGAGGAGGGAGAGGCCGAGGGTGTCGGAGAGGAGGATGAATTCCTGGGGGAGGAATGTGAGTTTGGTGGGGTTTGATTATATATGTTTGAGGTGGAGGGAGAATGGTGGATTGAAGATGTGCGAATGGGGACGATTTTGAGAGAGATTGGACGTTGAGATCCAATCCCAATGTAAGGAGAGAAGACAGAAAAGACAAGACAAGTAAAGAAAAGAAAAATCCGATACAGTTCTAGAAGGAATGTATCAACGAATTCCCTTTCGAGCCTCCCAAACGACATCCCCCTTCCATAAACGCAACTACTTCTTCCAACCAACCCCAAAAAGAAACCACGGAGAAATTATCAGTAAGAAAGCATACATACCTGTCGGACATCACTACTCATCTTGCCCACCTCGGTCAAAAACTTGACCCCTTCCATCCACTCGTCCGTACTCAGCCGCGTCTCGCGTGCGAAATCGTGCAGGTGCGTCACCAGCCGCTCCATGATGTAGCGCAGGCGCGGGTTCGACGTCTGCGCGTTGATGGCGTGTACGTTGGTGGTGATGTTCTCGATGGTGAGGTCCTTGAGGTTGGGAAGGGGTTTGGAGGAGGCCATTTTGGGCGGTATTGGGATGGGGTTTGTAATGGGGATGGGAAGATGGAGGGTGGGCGGATGTGTTTTGTATGCGATATGAGGTTTTTGGAGTTCGAGTTAGAGTTGATGCGACTTCGGCGGAGAATGTTGGATGGGGGTTATTTCTCGTTTTTTTTTTGGTACCGCGGGAGTACTCAAAGAGTTGTCGGGAATGGAATAATCGTATACGTGTGAAACGAAAGAGTAAAGAATCCCGAGTCGTTGGTGGTGCTGTTGGTAGTTATCGAGGAAGATCCCTTAACGTTGACGTTGACGGATGCTGCAGGCTTCCGTAATCGAGCTATCCCAATGCTAGTCCACAAAACAATTGAAGAGGAGAAAAACCAAAGTATTCTCAAATCAATCGAGTATCGATGGTTAAAGACTATCTCCGATGTTTAGTCTGCCCCGCATGAATAGGCCGCCGAGGTGAGGTTCGGAGGGGTAGCTCGGTATTTCTTGGGGTACTTTTGGGTACTCGAGCGAGCTATGTGGGGCAGGGAGGTGTGCATTGCTATACCCACCATCAAAGGGGAAAAGGAATGGATTGGAGCTGAAGGAGGGGGACAAGCATGTACGGTGCGGATAGGACATAGAGTAAGAAGTTTGTAGCCTTGTCTTTCCCATAGCCGATTTCTGGGATTGCAAATCAATCATGGTTAAATGCATTGGACAAAACTCAACACAAAAGACTGAGGGATGAATATAATTCTCAATTGCATTGCTTTGCTGCAGCTAAAATATTCGAGTCCTGAGATGTAACCAGCCCCTAGACCACATCCTAGCTCCAGCCAGGATCAAGTCTAATAAGCTAGAGATAGCCGATAAAAGACTGGATGTTGATACCGAGACTCCACGGATACCATATCCCATAGCGTAAGAATCCGTTAGGCATAACCAATGATCTCATCATCGGATTGTTATACAATCCATTTTCCTTTTGTAACCATCGCGCATTGCAACACGCCGCCCCCAGATGAATCCGGTTGTAGATTGAAGACTCCCCAGGACGCCGTGCTGATACCCTATCCTTATCCATAACCGAAACAGTTACCTACAATCCACAACCGGCATGCTTTGAAATAATGAGACGGGTGTGATACCTGGATTCGCCAGACAGAATCTGGAGCCAGTTCCTGGATTCAAACCAGAGACCACGAGGAGCTGTTTCCGTCATCTACGTCAGTCGAAGGAATTGGCGCTGAGATGACCTTGGGAGTGGATGGAGCGGAACACTCAAGTTGTAACCTGGCGCATGCAGCGAGAAGGTCAGGATCGAAGACTAGAGTATTGGGCGCCGGATGCTGCGGCACATCTACGACGGATGCGGCATCGTCCGACTCATCAGGGCCAGACTCCTCGCTGAAGCCCTCATCATCACCTTCATCAGCGGAGTCATAGGCGGTTTCAGCAGCCCTCGCACCACCCTCTCCAACCGCGCTCATGCTGGACACGTTCGAAGTATCAGCGTGATCATCGAATTCGCGAGTGACGTTTGGGCGGTGCACGAGCGTGAAACCTTCCTCGGCACTGGAGAGGTCGCTGTCCGAATAGACACCAGCTCCTTGACCGGCACCGTCTTTCTTGAACCGACGAACGAGGGCGAAATTGAAATCGCTTTGAGTGAGCGTCTTGCGCCTCTTCGTACGAAGGCTGCCGAATGCATCGCCGTCCGTGTCAGTGCTGTCAAGGCGGTCAGGTTCAGTGTCGTACCAGCCATGTGCATAGTGCTCGGACTGCAAATCACGGGTTTCGATCTCCACGGAGAGGGGTGTGTTTTCACAAACAGGAAGTTGCATGATGGCGGAAGCACCTTGGGATGCCGTCAGCACATAGGCTGCCCTTCAGACAGGATAGAGCTATACCTTCATCAATGAGACCACGCTTGAAACTGGTCTGAACCAGAGCACGATGGAATTCGGGAATCTCATACGCGACTTGGCGGAATCCTGCATTGGCACCCAGGTCATGGTAGGCAAAGCACGAGACGCAGTAGTTCAGAAGACAGTCAAGCAGCTCAGGACCAGCCGTGGGATATCGATAGAGGAATCGAATCGTCTCACACAGGTCGGCGGGAGGGCAAGGAACGCAGCAGGCCAGTTCAGTGTTGCTGAAGAAGTGCATACGCGCAGCCACCCTGAGCCTCGGGAGGTCGAAGTCCTGGGCCACCTTTGACATTTCGGCGTGCTTGAGGAGCGAAGGAGACGCTTGATCTCTCTCTGCTGGGGTGAGATAGTCGCCCCATTGCAGATAGCGCATCAGGCCGTGCACAATGTCCTCGGACCTGACGTCGATGCCTGCCTGGCGGCGGCCTTGGGGCCCATCGCTGAGAGCTTCTGCAAGCACGGGGCATGTGCAGCGTATCAGGCCGGCGGGAAGGTTGGTGATGCGCTTGGAGGTGCCATCTGGAAGGAAGACGATCAGAGTTGCGACGTCGTGAGGATCGTATGTCCAGGACAGCTGCTGGGCCATGTCCGAAGCCTGCACACGGCGCTGGTGGATGCAAATAGCCAACGCGATGCGAGGCGAAACGGGCGCGAGAGGTTGCGATGCTGCAAGCAGAAAGATGGAGGAGACTCAGACAAGTACGATGAAGCAAACGCCGAGAACGGGCAGCTGGTGTAAGTATGCGACTAGGCTGCCGTCTGCCCACGGGATCTGCTCCGCTCTTCCTGACCGTCTCCTTGTTTGGCGTTGACCATCCGCAGCTCTCCAATTGAGCGATGCAAAGCTACTGTCGGCGTGCGCAAGGAAGTTGTGGCAGGGAAGTGAGAGAGTAGCTTCGCCAGGTAGATGGTATGTGGTTCAGAGAGTCGTTCGATTGCATGTGAGAGCTGCTGCTGCAGGCGCACACCTGGGCATGCAGAGAGTAAGGTCACATGACGTCGATGCGGGACCCTTGGACCGCCCGTTGGATCGGAAGCGAGCCGTGGCAGTGCATGGGGGCAGATGGTGGTCAGCAAGATTTGCTGGGCGCCACAACAATGGACGGAGCTGAGAGAGGGACATTGTCTGATGAAGGGGCGATGCGAGATCCGAGGCGACGAGAGAGTGTAGGAGGGATGGATGTCCTGTTCGAGGAGATAGAATTAGTCGGGCTGTTAGGGCTGTTGGTGGGTCCGCCAAGTTTGCAGGAAGCCGCGCCACACCTTTTCTGCCCCTGCTGTGGCTGCGCTCCTGCTCTCCTTCGTATCTCATGTCTCGGCAGGCCTCCGCACTCACTCCCTTTCATCTTCCTCTTCCAGCCTGGCATTCCACTCCGCGTGCCCCTTGCGTTCGTTGCTCTCCGTGGCCCCCTGGGTGCACTGTATACCTTCGCCATGCGTCACTTCTCTCTCCTTCCGGAGCAGTTCAGCGGCTTCGAAACCTGGGTAACCCGAGTGTCTGTACGAAGCCAGCCAGACATTTCCCCGTGCTGGGGAATCCATTGCTAACGATACTGCACCAGCTCGCTCTAGCCGCTTTCTTCATTGGTCCATTTATCCTCCTGCTCATCTACGATTTCATCCTCTACCTCTTCCGGTCTCTGACTTACGAAATCCCCGTCATTGGCGGGAGAGCACGTGGGGAGAGGCGCCCGCGTGCTCCCAGCTTGAGAGAACGTCCAAACGGCCATCTTCGCAGAATCAGTCTTTCCCCCCTCGCTGACTCCCCCGCGCAAACAACGGGAACGTCAAAACCAGAAGGAGTGGATGAACTCAGATGGCGCGACGGAGACACTGACCATGATCTCACCGATGACGCTCGATAAGCCCGTGCTCCTGGGAAGAAGTACATGTTCTCCCATTCGCTATTCTAGGGCCGGTTCCTGAATTTCACCTTGTCCGCAATCGATTCTGCTCATTTAATCCATTTGCGCGGTCCTGGATAGGCCGATGCATATCATTCCATGCCCAAGTTCATGGCAGGATTTCCCCACTTCACTCATTCGAACGGACAGACTCCACACTCTCCAGCATACAAGCCCTTCACCGGTCGTGATGATACTGCTTGGATTCTCCTATCATTTCCCTACTTCCTTCGGCGTGCGCAACATTGCTGTTGTTTGCTCATCCTGTACAACTGACACCACGCCCAAAGCGGCATATTGTCGCCGACTTGGTAACATCGGTCCCGGATGTCTCCTTATATCCGCATATGAGCGAGTGTCGCTTGCCTGGTCAACAGATGCCCTAGGGTGCTGTCAACTTGTCCCACAGCCTGGACGAAACTATCCCTCAGAGCATGGCATTGTGCTGTGTCACCCAAGGTGCCTCCGGTTCCCAACAACTGCACGTGGCTCCCCTCCCGCTCGAACCCGCAGCAAATGCCTCGCCCCCTGCATGGTGCACCGTTTTCTGGACAGTTAAATAGACTCCGCTCATCCAAGGTACCTACAGAATGGGAACCACGTCAATCAATATCCAATCCGATGACCCAAAGAGCAATGCGCCCTTCTATGCCAGTAAACGATATGCGAGACTCCTTCCAGTCGCCACCATTCGCCATGGATCAGAGGATGGGACCCCGGCCACCCGATCCCATAAATCACGTCCCGTTCGAACATGAGCAAGAAAATCACGCGCCCGATTATTTCACCATGCGCCCTATGCGAGGCCCGGCATCTCCACCACCTTTTTCGCCTCCCAATTTTGAGCCAGACCATATGATGGAACTCGGCCAGCCCAGGCAAAGTCTTGAAGAAGTCGTCCGGAGGTACCAACAACCCCATCGCACAAACAGTCATGTCGCTTATACGGCGTAGAACGAATCTCCAGGTACAGTTCGTCAACGGCTTGCTGTCGCCTGCGGCACGATACGGTCAGCTACATCCGAAAATGTGCAACGATTCCAGATTCCCAGCTGACTTCAACGCTCCTCGTACGATTGAGGAGGTACGAGCCATGGATCGTACGCTCTTTCCCGTTCACCTACACAGCCGATACTGATGACTGCCTAGCTTCAACAATCGACCGGATACTTCGATCATACAATCTACCAACTGACTTGCGCACTCTGCGCTTACCCGGGCAAGGCACAGTGACTCCACGGATGGTGCGTCAGGCCAAGTTGTGCACTTTGTATGATTTCTTGGGCGCAGTGCAGCTGGCAGAGAGACAGCGGATGAAGACGCAAGGGCTGCCATTTTGATGTGCACAGGTGTTCGCAGAAGTGCGGCCAAGGAGAGAGGTTGAATCTGATACAGTAGGGTATGGTTGTTACAGACGCATTGGCTGTGGACTTGTACTTTGGCGCACCTTGACGTCTCTTCTCTGTGTCTCGCCACCCTAGTTAGGCCACAGGCAAGCCCAGGCGGGTTCACGTGTTATCAAATGATTCAATGGGGAGGACTTTCCAGTCCGCCAACATCGGTGTTGATGGCACACAGCAGACTGGGAGACCACTGCATCTATCCGCCGCGACTCGTCACCCCACATGCTTTCCGTCGGGAAGTACTACTTAGGCAATCAGAAGCTCCGGCTAATGAGTCATCTCGTAACCCTGTTCCAGATAATATAACAAACATCACTGCACAACCAGAATCTTGATGTATCGCCATCACGAATAATCTTGCGGTTGTGCTCAGTGATAAATCCCTTGTCCAACATGATCGACTTCGACGTCGTGAGGTCGCCGCATTCATGGCTCCTGCTCTTGCTTGGATTGGCTCTGTACGCATATAGGAGGACTCGCAGCCGGGGACATTCGGAGGTGAGGCGCAATGTTGGTTGTTATTGTGACATGGTAATTGAGTGTGGTTTAGAGTGCCTCGTCGTCAACTCCCATCGTGGAGGAGAAGAAGATAATTCCCGAGTATTCAGAAGATGCATACTATCAGATTGAGCCCCTTACGGACTTCGACCTTGATCACACTGAGCCGGAGAAGCTGCGACCATTTAAGCCAAAGTATTATCTTACGATGGGTATGCCTCACGTCTCATAACCTTCTTGGGCCAGTCCAGTAGACCGATTTTCCCTTCTATACATCAAACCTATACCACCCCAATACCCTCCCACCCTAACATTCCCCAGCCATCCAAAACATCACCCCCTCGGAACTCGTCGCCATGGACAAAACCTACGCCTCGCGTGTCGCTCTGCGAAAACACCTGCTCCAAACCCGGCAACAGGACGTCTTAGCCTACACTTCTGATCCCCGCATCGCGCCCGCCGTCCGGGAATTCTACGACTGGATCATGGGCGTCTACCTGCCTCGCCGCTTCCCCACCCTTTTCACACTGACCGAGAAGGGTCTACGGAATCATGTGACGAGCGAGACAATCACAATATCACCGACGGACATCGAAGAAGCCCTGCGCCTCCTAGGCGAGAACATTGACGACGATTTCCTATTCCTAATGCCGGACCCTGCGCCCTCATCCTGTGATACCAGCACCACTGCCACGACGCAGGCACCACCATCCCAAGGCCCCTACCGCCTCCAAGCCTTCATCACGCTCTTCCCCTCTGGCTTCCGCACCCTATATAAACTGGGCCTCACGCTGTCCGACATCCACGGCCCGGTGCCGCACTACAAGCCCGTGCTGGAGAAATCCATGGACCGGTTCTTCGCGAGCCTGCCGACGGGGAAGGTGATTAAGAGGCATAATTGGGGGGTTACGAGGACGAGGGAATTGCTGCTTTTGGGAGGTACGCATTTGAGTGGGGAGGAAGGTGATGTGAGGGATGCGAGGGAGGGTGGACTTGATGAGGGGGGTAAGGCAGACGAAGAGCAGCAGGAAGAAGAGCACATCGACATCAATGAGACTGTCGTGCGATGTGAGCGGCAAACCCTGCACCGGCTTCCGCGTAGCAGGGCGATCGTGTTTGCTTTCAAGACCTATCAGTATGGGCTAAAGGAGTTGAGGGATGAGGGTATGGGGCACGAGATTGCGGATGCGATTGAAGGGTTGGGCAAAGGGAATGCGCCGGGGATGACGAGGTATAAGAGTGCGGTTGTTTGGGGGAGGCATGTTTGTCGGTTCTTGAGGGGGGAGGGAGAAGGGCGGGAGGGAGGTTAATGGTTGGTTCATATAGCGACTGTTAGATTCTGCTACTGTATCTGAATGTCACTTGTACGACTCGTCCATGTTATGGAGGCGAAACTGCTCAGAAGAAGGAGTACATGCTTCCCATTTTCTAGAATTGGATATGTTTGTGATGATGGAACTTATCTCCATACCTCACCACCATGACATAAACGTATATTTGAGCTTGCCATAATGTACTACCTAGGTACCCACAAGCTAGGAATCACGACCTTTCTAAGTTGAGCTATCTAGGTAATTATGCTTCTTACAGCTGTTTGCTTCTTATAGGCTGTATATTAAGAACACGGACGTTGTAGAGCTCGTCCTCAATGCTTCAGATGTCCGTAGGAGGAATAATGAAGCACTACGTCTCTGCAGAATTCAATGCACGGAGCCCAAATGAGATTTCCCACGGGCAATCCATTTATTGAAGTTGTACACATCCAAAGTTAGGCCAGAGTCACGAACATGTCCTAACATGATATCCTGAACATCGAAAGTAGATCCTCACGGGACATGTCCCAATATGCCCGTCCAAACCAATCCGTCATGTCACCCCTGTGCCACTCCGGTCCCCTTTGCAAGTTCCACAGATCCTCATCATCACTAGTAGCCAAAACCAACACCATGCATGCATATACACCGAACATGTACCATCTCGCGCCACTTCCCCTTCCCGGCCTCATGTCGCCACTTACTCGGTGTCCGAACCAGACGTGCTGTCATCATCAGAAGATGAGTCTCCCAAGGAGATCACCTCCGTACCAGGCTGCGCACTCTGCTGTGCCGGAGCCTTCCTCGCAAAGCCGCCCGTGTAGAGATACGGGTCATGCCCAGCATTATCCATCTTGAAATCGTCGCCCACATAACCTGCTTCGTAAAATCCGTCCTCAACGTAAGCCATGGCTTGATCCTCATCTTGCGGCTCCCCCATGGCTTCGTCGTCGGTTACACCCTCGGCATCCTCCAGACCCTCACTGTCCTCCTCCTTTTCCTGGTCCTCCTCCCTCGCCTCGACTTTAAGGTATTTGCGGTCGAGTTCCTCATCAGTTTCCCTTATCGCCTTTGCCAAAGCCTCCTCGTACGCTAGACCCTCCTCGTCCACCGCCTTCCAGACCTTGCGTGCCGCGATCTGATTATGCGACAACCCTAACGTTCGCTCCCCCGACGTCGTCTTGCGCTTATAAGGCCTCCTTGGTTTCCACTTCACAGGACCATGCGTCTCCTGCCTCACCACCGCACCCGCAGGCATATAAAAGTCCATGAGGGTACGCTTGCCAGGTCCACGAATGTGAGAGCCACACCCAGGGCACGACCGCTTGTCGCCCGCCATGTAATATCTTCCAAGGGCATGAGCTGAGTCACAACGCCAGGCGACAACCTCATCGCGATTAGCCTTTTCAAAATAGGCGCATTCGGGGATACTCTGGCCAAGCTCCATAGTCGTAGAGCCACTGGGATGAGGTCCAAGATCAACGACAGGTTCCGGAGTAGTTTTCGGCTGGGGAGTTGGCTGAGACACCCTCTCAGGCTTTGGCTTCGGCTTGAGATATTCGGCCAGGAAGTCGACGGCTCGTTGACGCGCCTCATCTTCTGTGGCACCAGCATCGACGGCTTCCCAAAAGATCTCCTTGCCAAGGGAGTTATGGGACCTGGTCAGGCACTTGAGGGGTTTCCCACTCCTTCGTTGAGGTTTCCAGAGTACGTCTGGGGCTGGTTGGGCGAACCATGTCCTGGAAGGCATATAGAAGTCCATCTGAACGGCATGGGTTTGATGCTCAATATTGGTGTTGCATCCGGGACATGCCCTACGGTCTCCGGCGTTGTAGTAGTGTCCAAGGGGATGCTTGATACCACAGCGCCAGGCTAGTTGCTCATTCTCGTCCTTCTTCTCGAAGTACGCCTCAGGGGGAAGGGCCTGGTGCGGTTCCAAAGTCTTTGAGCCACTGGGATGTTCTTCTTTCTTATGGGAGTTACTTGCGTTCTCTGCCCCAGTATCATCTTCAGCCTGAAGCAATACACCGGCCTCCGGCACCACGCGAGTACGCTTGCTGAGTCGCTCTCTAGATGGTACGCGCTTGCGCTTAGAGTTGGCCTGCTTGTTTCTGCTCTGCAGCCTTCCTCGCCTTCGTTTCAACACGTCCATCCTGTTCCCCTTGCTAGTGTGTGAAGCAGAGACTATCCGTGTCCTAAGCTGAGTGGGAAATTCTCTTGACAGCTGCTTTCTAGCAAGCCTGTCAATTGTACTCTGCACCTCGGGGGATGGAGGCTTTAGAATATTCCGGGAAACAGCACCTGCAATGATAGATCCAATGTCCTGGGGGAGCTTATTAGATTCTTTTGGATGACGGCGACCCCTCTCCGCAAGCTGCTGCTTATAACGGTCTAGGACCAGACTTCCTAAAGTCGGCTTGCTGAGATGTGCTTCAAGATGGGTTAGGTTGTAATCAGGAAACATCTCCTTGAAGCTGTGCAGTGTGTCCATCGCGGATGGGCGCGGTGGCACATTGTCATCGTTCTCTACGCGCCTGGTACGGGTCGATTTTGAACGTCTCCTTGTTGCGGGTGTGAGTGTCGAATATTGCCCAAATACCCCACTCATTATGTCTTCCCTTGAGCCATCCTTGACTGCAGGTCGATTTTCTCCATACTGGAGAGTCGGATGCATCGGAGGTACGGCAGCTGAGGTACGCCTTTGCCCGTGACCAGTAATACTATCAACAGCTTTCGATGGGGTCAAGGTGAACACGCGACCCTTAGGCATCCTCATTTCAGTTGCGTCGTATCGCATTAGAGCTCGGGAGGCTTCCTGGATCTCTTGGAATGGCGAACGGGCAAAACCTTGCTTGTCGAGCGGATAGTCAAGAGCCGAATACTGTACCATACCTAGTCGGTGACCGGTTCTGTGCCAGGACTGGTTCAGCTTCTGCACAACTGAATCCAACCGGTGAGGTGCATAGTCGCCAAACAAGTCTTTCTTGAACCGGTCAACATCAAGGAACGGAACAGCCTTGTTGCTGTCCTTAGAAAGAACATTGACAGTCTTGTAGTGTGTGTTCCATACAATCCTGTCAGACAATTGCGCAACATTTTCCGACACGCTTTGAAGATATCCCTTGATCACCGCGAGGGCGTCAGGGTTGCTAGCAAAGGCTTCGAGGTTGAGAGTGTTGCTATCCAGGGCATGAGCTACGAAGGTCTTGATAAAGGTAGCTTCGTAGACCCGTTGGTTGGCTTGATACAGAATGGCGTCCTCCAGAAACTGATCGTTGTTTTGATTGCTCTGAGGAATCTTTGTGTTGTGGTTTAAAGATGCTGCTGGCACAGATCGGATGGGTTTGGGGACTTCGCGACTGCCGTCCAGTAGTTGTTCTAGCAAATTAGCAGATTGCTGCTTGCCAATGTGCTCATGATCTACTCACGCAGATAATCAGGGAGAGCCGGAGGTGATGTCATTGTCTTCTGCTCCACCGTCGTTTCCCTCAGTTTAATGGGTTGTACTGCTCCCGACAAAGAGGCCAGACCTGGACGAGCTGGAGGGGAGTCGAGGGTACCGTCACTCCAGTCCACCTCGTCCTCGAGAGTTTGCATGTCGATATATGCCATGATAATGCTGCTGCGCAGCAGAATTGGGTTTTCGAAGCCGGTGGAATATGTTCTCGCGTCCAGATGAAGTCGTAGATGATCAATATGTGGAATGTGAGGAAGAGAATATAGAATACGGCCCCCGGAAAGAACAGATGTTTGAAAGGACCCATGAAAGTCCCCATGCACCAAATTTCGGTGAGCCCATCCGTGGGATTCCAGTCCACCCCTGCCATCTGCTGTGGCGGGTCACCCGCCGGCCTGCAGGGGCAAAAGGACGGATGCTTGTACATGTTGCTTCTCTAAAAATATCCCACCGCCTTTTACCGTGGGGGACTCCACTTGTGCTGGACGCATGACCTCCGAACTGAGCGGAAGACAGGTCCCGGCCAATGATGAGCGTTTGTTTTCTTGACGGATCCTCATCCAGAGCTCCATTCGGCATGCATCGCAGAGAGAAAAAGAAAAGATTCATTGTCGCAGGATGATGCTACCCGCTGGCCTGATGAAAAGGGACAAACGGAAAGAAAGAGGAAAGAACATGACAGGAAGAGCGGAGATTTGCCCAAGAACTTGAAGAGAAAAGAAGATCCAATACGTTACCGTGGCAGTCATTGATTTGCTCAACGGCCACGATGGGCGTTCCCGTGATTGGGGTGTCCGTTTGCGGATAACGTGGAAGCGGACGGGCACTTCAGCTGTCGCAAGACGCAAGAGGGTACTCAATTAGTTGCCGTCGCCACTCCGCAGCTGCGCCTTCACGCGCTTGTTTTAATGACCCTCCAAAAGATCGCCTGGATCGAGCAAAGTCCGCAGAGATCTTCCATGTCCTCGGCGAGGTCAGTCCCAGTCCGCCCGGGTTCCACAATCGCTGATGAAACAGGCCGAGGAAACCGCACACGAGACAAACTCATGTGGGGAGCTGACACATTGAACAATTTCTGCATTTTCTGAATGGACAGCAGGTCATGAGATCTGCAAACAGAAGGATTTGAAATACGCAAGTGATGCGCAAATGCTGTCGGAGTCTCTAGATTCATAACGTTGGTAAATGTGGGGTTGCGGCAGCGAGCGGGTGATGCTAAACATCATCGGCAGCATCACTGGGCACAAATGTGGAAAAGGAGCCCCAGGGCATTATTAGAAGAGAAAAAGATTGTCCAATTCGTGCTTGAAAGCGAGTTCGATAGCACGGATGTGTCGTAAGAGAGTGAGAGGAGAGGGAGAGAGAGATGTCGTCTGATTAGTGCTCACCCAAAAGCCGCTTAGCGTCCGCCCTGCGCCTTGGCATGAAGCCATCCCATAACGGGTTTACCGTACCTTAGCGACATGTGGCATGTCGACGTCCGTCTTGAGCGTTTGAGCTCCAATTCCTTCTCAGACACGCAGAATGGGGACGCCGACCCTATTTACCATTGCAGCACTTCTACCGCTGCTTGCACATGCAGCCTCAGAAGCGCCGCGGCCGCGCGGCGTGGGCCCAGAATGTACGTAGTTGTTCTAACCTCTCGACCCAGAGGGAAGCTCCGTACGCTCTTCACTAGCTTCGCCTGACTGACTGTCAATTCTCCTAGTTGCCAAATTCTACAAAGATCCCAATACATTTACATGCATTTCCAATCCCTCGATCAAACTGCCCGTTTCCCGCCTAAACGACGATTATTGCGATTGTCCCGACGGCTCAGATGAACCAGGCACATCGGCCTGCGCCCACATATCTCCATTGTCACCACCACAGCCTGCCAAAGCAAAAGATGGGGTCATCAACAACACATTGGTACTACCTGGATTCTACTGCAAGAACAAGGGTCACCTGCCAGCGTACCTCCCCTTTACCAATGTCAACGACGGCGTCTGCGATTACGAAGTATGCTGTGACGGGAGCGACGAGTGGGAAGGAGTTGGCGGGACCAAGTGCGAAGACCGGTGCGCACAAATTGGTAAGGAGTGGAGAAAGCAGGACGAGGCGAGGCAGAAGAGCCTGACGGCTGCGAATAAGCGGCGGAAGGAGCTCGTAGCTGAAGCGGCCAGGCTGAAAAAGGAGGTGCAGGATCGGATTGAAACGCTGAAGACGCAGACGCATGCAATGGAATTGAAGGTGCAGGCGCTAGAGAAGAACTTGCAGGAGGTGGAGAGGCGGGAGAAGGGAAAGGTGATTAGAGGTGCGGGGAATGGAGGGAAGGTGACGGTACTGGCGAGTCTGGCCAAGGACAGGATTCAAGAGCTTGAAGATCAAGTGAAGAGGGTGAGGGGTGAGCGCGACACGGCACGCTCGCGCATCGAGGAGCTGGAAGGCATCCTGCGCCGCTTCAAGGAGGAGTACAACCCCAACTTCAACGATGAGGGCGTCAAGCGTGCTGTCAAGGCCTGGGAAGACTACGCTGCGACGGAGCGCCCAGCTCCCGAAGCCGCCAAAGACCGCGATTTGGACGATATCCTGAACCCGGATTCTGAGAACGCCATCAAATGGGAGGACTACGAAGCCAACGACGAAAGCGATGTCGATGTCTGTATGTAGTGTCTTGCTGTCAGCAGTTTCTCCCGCTGCTACCCTCGCTCCTCTCTCCTCTTTTCCAACCGCACCAGAACTAACACGTGTCCTCAGTATACCAATTCGAAGCCTACCTCCCCATCCCACTCCGCAACTGGGTCGACGCCAAGCTCCGCTCCCTCCGCGTCATTCTGATCGAAAACGGCATTCTCGCCGACCCGACCAAATCCGACGGTAGCCAAGAACCCAAAGCTGTGACGGACGCGCGCAACCAACTTTCGTCGGCGCAGACGGAGCTCCAAAACGATAAAAACGAACTACAGGGCCATGAGGAGGATCTGAATAAAGACTATGGACCTGAGGATGTGTTCCGGGCGCTGAAGGGCCGGTGTATCGAGCAGGATTCGGGCGAATACACGTACGAGCTCTGTTTCCTCGACCGCACGACGCAGAAATCGAAGAAGGGCGGGGCAAACACGGGCATGGGCAACTTTGCGCGCATCGAGACGATGCACGTCGACGAGCCCGTCTCTGCAGACGGCAAAGGGCTAGGGACGGGGGAGCGTTATGTGCTCAAGTATGAGAACGGGCAGCACTGCTGGAATGGGCCGGCGAGGAGCACGACGGTGGTGCTGGCGTGTGCGGAGAAGGAGGAGCTTTGGAAGGTGGCGGAGGAGGAGAAGTGTGTTTATCGAATGGAGGTGGGGACGGCAGCGGTGTGCGAGGGGAGGAATGGGAACGGGGGTGCTGGGAAGAAGGGGCATGATGAGCTTTGAGGTGGCAAGATTATTGAGGAGTGGGTTGTGGGGCATGGTGGTGATGTGCATCTAGCGTTGGTTCCTCGTTGATCGTGAAAAAGAAAGGAGTCATGTGGCGCTCATGGGGCATTTGAATATTGTGAAGATAGATGTGAGGAGCTGATGCTGGTGGCCGAGGATGTTCGAGCATCAAGCATGTCTGATGGAGATGCTTACTTGCCGTTGTAGATGAAAGACATAAAATTTCTCGAAACATGCACAGAATGACGGCAGTTTTGGAGGGATTTGGTGGCATTCTGTGGCTTTGTGTTAGAGTGTGTTGGCGGCACTCGCAGGGTGCGCACATCTGTTGTTGGATAAAAAGGTGCCATAAGGATATGTTCTCAGTAGAGACGATCTGTACTGAGGTTCTCGGAGTCGTACTAGCGTAGACGATTTGCGTTCGAGCCCGGGAGCGAGATCACAGCCCTACAGAGGTTTCGCGGAAGACGGCTGCCGAGTAATCCTGGTAATGAGGACTGAAACAGCACGTTGATGGTGATCGTCGTCGACGTCAGCATCCATCCGTCAACAAAGGTGGTGGTGACTGATAAAGCATGTGCACAGATCATCAACACGAGCAAGCCCGCCCGGCGCCGCGTGTTTTGGGTTTCTCCAAGGCGACCAATCGGTTGGTAACAATAATGGGCAAAAAAAGAAGCGGGAAGGGCAGGATCCTGAAGCAATTTCGCGGTCCACAATAATGATTTCATCATGCCGGCGGTTGCTGTTGCTGCATCATGGTATTGTGATGGGGAGGATAAGGGGGACCCTGCAAGGCCATGATTGAGATGACTGCGTTATTGGAGAAGGGAGCTACATATTGGTGCAACGGAATCAATATCAAGAAGGGCCCGGAGGTGGGTGGTGCAAACACGGGTGTCTGCAAGGGCCGACGTTTGCAGCTCGGGCAGCGGGTGCTGAAAGTTTTCACAGCTTGTCTATCTCGCAGGAGACACGAATGATCTCAGGTGGCGTAGGGAGCGCAAGTTGGAGGCGAAAAAGCCACGAGGAATCTGGGACGATGAGGTTTCAAGACGCGAGCCAGTCCAGAGTGAGATGAGTCGTGACCTTGGGGTGGAAACCTCGACTCGGGTGAGATGATGAATCAGCTCCCACGGCCATGGTCGACGGGCGATACGCACCACGCCGGCCCCCGGGGGCACCCCTGTATGCAAGGTGCCCGCCTCCCCGCACCGCTTCCCCTCTTTGGGCTCTCCTGTTCTTTTTCCTTTTTTTCTTTTGGCTCCCTTTCTCTGCACTTTTTCTACAGGACAGCATGACCAGGGCAACAAGACTCATTCAACATTGGCGCACTCGAGAGCGAGCAACATCACGTGGGGAGGCAGACAGCTCACCAGCACCGTCTGATAGTCTACTGTGAAAGAGGTGGTACAGCCGCGGGCACGGAGGGGCTGAGGGAGTCTGAAGCAACCTGTGGTGAGAGCAGTACCTAACGGTACGGTGCGCCCTTGGCATTCAGGTACCGGCGTCTGCGTCGACCATTATTGGACCGCTGATTCAGGGGCTCGCCGCCGCGCCTTGGTTAATTTTCCCCGAACGCCAGCACACCAGCACTCCAACGGCGAGACGCATCTTTCACTCCTGATGATTGCGGCCGTTTGACCAAGCCAGTGAGGCTGTACAACGGCAGTCTCGAGCCCTCAGTCGCTGTGTCGGACGGCGACACAGGAGCCAAGGGGGAAGGCCCGATGCAAGTCTGCGGGAGAAATCGTATGCCTATCTACGGAGTTATATTCAATAATAAATGGAGAGAAGAGACAGAACAAAGAATCCACAAATTACGCGCCTCGAATGTAGCTCTCCCTCCGAATGGCGCCGCTAGTGTCCAAGCCTGTTTGCTTCTTGTCTCCTGTCATGGATGGATGGATGGATGCATCATGAAACCTGCATGGTGCATCTCGTTTGCAGCTCGTGCAGAATCGGAATGATGAATGGCACCCAGAACATACGAAAGAGCCCCTGCCCACTTGCAGTGCTGTGAAGCGACGAAAAGTCCTTCAAGTAGTATTTTATTACAGGTTTAATCATCCAAGGTCGGGAGCTTAAACTGCGTCCAGTTTAGCTCCGACCTTCCGGGGGCGCTAGGTGGGAAATTGAGCAGCAAGCTCCAGGGCCCCCTGCAGCCCGCCCTTTCCTATTCCAGGCCCGCTTCCTCTTCTCGTCTCCTCTCCTCTCCTCTCCACCCACTCTCCTTCTGCCATCCCTCTTCACTCACACGCTCCCTCACTCAACAACTCTGCCACCGCGCATTCCTCTCCTTACCCCCCGAGCCGCACGCTCTCTGCGAGTTGCCACCAAACCATCTTATTTGTACACCCTTCGCTCCTTCACGTCCGCACGCCCGCTTTCGTCGTCTCGCCTGTCGTATCGCCTGTATCGCAAGCCGAAGGCTCTTGAGAGACTTGTCTCCTCCCTCCGCACCTTGTTCGTCACGACCCCCACTCCTCTGCTGCGACAAGGCCTCTCAACCCCCGTGGCACCGATAATCGACTGTACATTCCATCGCTTCTCTCATCTTTCATTCGCCCTGCCGGTCAGCTTTCGTCGTCCGCTTTATGGAGAGCGTCCACCCTCCGACCGCTCCTTTACACGCTTCAACACCCCCGCGCAGCACCTGCTGCTAGCGCTGTGACGAGACACCCCCTGATCCCCAATCACTCCGTACGTTGCTTTTCGTCTTTTCAGAGTCGTAATCGCGTCGAGGTGCTGGCTGCTGGCTGCGGTCTTGTTGACGCTGCCTCCGGCCCCATTGGGAAGGAATGCATACACGGCTACTTGCTTGCAGAATGCAGAATGCACCGCTAACTCGCAGCTTCCTATAGAAGCCCCTGCTGCGTCCACCCTCGCTTGGGACGAGCGGTGAAGGTCCTGCCAACGCGCCTCTTCTTCGCCTTATACCAATCCGGGTTGCTCGCGCGCTGCTGTAAGCCACCCCTCACACATCATGGAGTCCTCATACGTGCACTGGCGCTATCGCGCCAGGTTCAGGCGCCTGCTACTCCGACTCGGATTCGCTAACTTTGTCCAGAACAACATGAATCGTTTTCTCACTCGGAAGAAGGACAAGGGGGACGACATTGGTGGGAAGAAATTCAAAAAGGGGAAGAAGGGCCAACAACCGGAGCCTGAACCTGCGCTCGACCTTGCCACTGCCCTCCCCTCCAATGACGATTTCCGAACCAGCTTGATTATGCCCAGTTTGTCCACGCGCTTCAGCATGCTGCGAGAGCAGGACGACCCAACCTCCAAGCTCGGCAAAGCCAGCGACGACAGTGTGTTACAGCCAAAACGTCAATCCCGCCTGCATGAGTTTGGTTTCGTCCCGGGGGGCCTTTCTGATATCGCCGAGGTTTCGTCGCTTAACGGATCAATTCGACCACCCTTCGCTGCCGAGAGGCAGGACTCGTTTGACAGCCACAACACCGAGGACAGCTCTGGAAGCATCATGAGCCGGGCAAGACCCGGAGAGGGCAACGTTCTGTTTGGAGGCCGGCAGAAGATCTACAAGGTCTCCAATACAGGGTCATCCAAGGGCTTGGGCAAACTGTTGTATGAAGATGATGTGCATATGTCCGCATTCCAGCGGTTGAGATTGCAGGAGAAGGAACGCAAAGAGCAAGAGCCTGACGCGCAGTTGGAGCAAGAAGCCGAGACAGAACAGCAGCCGTCTAGCCCTACCAAAGACGCATACTCACCCTCAGTGTCTGGTTTCAGCCAAAGACGAGAAACTTCCTCGTCTACCAACTCTGCAAATGCCAATGCTCGCTCTTCCACTGCCGCGACATCCATCGCTTCTCAAGGCGCCGGCGCTGTGGCCCCTGCTTCTTCGCCCTCTGTGCCCAGCAACAACACCCCGCTCTCTCCGACTGACTCGAATCGCACTGCCACCAAGGGCAGAAGGTTATATGAGCAAGCGTTGGACCAGCACATGTATGATCAGCAATCATCGGCCATCAATCGACTCAATTCCATCCAGAGGGCGCGGGCGCCAACGGGACGCTCCACTCCGCCACTGCTGTTTTCGCAGGCCAGATCTGCGACTAATCTGCACGACAGATTCAACCGAGGTGCTCCCTTGAATGCTAAGGATGCATCCTCGACGGGTTCCAATAGTAGGCCGCAGTCTCCGCCTCTCGTCAGCCCCCTCGGCAGCGACAATGAGGATGCCCAAGTGCTACACTCTGCGCTACAGCCGAATGATCGTGGTAAAGCCACCGCTATGGGCGCCTTCAATAAGCCAAAGCAAGCCTTCAGCGAACAACAGTATGCTGAGCGCCTGAAGCAGCTACAGCAGGACCGCGATATTTCCATACCCAGACTCGGAAATCCCTCGAAGCCGTCTCTGAGGGAACGCGCGGAATTGGAACGGCGGAAACGGACAGAAAATCCAGCGGCGGAGAGGAGCGTGCCCAGCTCGCCCGATCAGCAAAGAAAGACGTCACTCGAGTCGACCACCCGTTCCGAGTCACGACCCACTGAGCAGCGCGAAACTCAGATCCCTCCCCCAGCACAGCCGAGGTCCCCGTCACCGATAGCTGAGAAGGAAGAGATCCCATCGCCTTTTTCAGTCTTCCAAGCGGCCGCCGAGCGCATGAGGAATACCACCACTGTGCCTACGCCTTCTCCGGCAGCGCACGGTGGATCAACGCCTCATGATTTGCTGTCTCCGAATTCCCATCAGGGTGGGACATTTTTTGCTTCTCCCGGCAGCAGCGATGATGAGGACGAGGTCACGAAGCCAAACTTGGCCAAACCTTCCGAACCAGAGCGTCGAGGTCGGCCCCACAACATTCCAACTGCAACAGGCCCTGCTCCAGACATACTGGACCACCCCGCTCTCCGGTCCAGGAGCAACTCTCGCACGGAACCCCTCCAACACCCGGCCCTCCGCTCCCGGAGTACCTCTCGACCTCCACTAGCTACCACGGAGGAGGAAACGTCCATCCCTAAGGATACATTGGACTCTGCGACGGTTAGTGAAGATAAAGGCTCTGACGTGGACTCACCGACGCTTGGGCCCAATAGCGGTGGACTGAATGTTCTTGTCCGGCAACATCTCCGCAACCTCAGCACAATCTCCTCCGACTACGGTGAGGATAACCAGATTGCAATGAGCCCACCAGCTCTTTCGACGACTAAGCCTATGCCACTGCAAACACAGAATGTTAAGCCTCAAATGCGTCAACCTGGGTCGGAGACAAACACCACTACACACTCAAGCTACACGGGGTACTCCAATCCTTGGGACCTGGATGAACTTGATAAGTACGGGGAAGAGGAGAGTATCAGCTCCACCAGCCCCGTCGACTCACACAAGCCTAGATCAACTGCTACCAATGCTGCCGCTCTGATCACCCCCCAGGCTATCAAAGAGACGATCAGCGAATGGGAGCAGGAGATGAAGAGGTCTCACAGACGCGAGCCTAGCGTTGAGGAACGAGAGGCCTTCCAGCGTGAGCTAGCTCTACGCCAGCGTCAAGTACAGGAGAGCCTTCGCAAACAGGCCCAAAACCGGAGTCGAGACGCGAGCCCAGCACCCGGAGGTCTGAAGAGTGCATTGAACATGCTTCGCGCCAAGTCGAGCAAGGAATCATTCGCTACTGTCGACCAGAAGTACACTGATCCGTCCCACAAGGCTATGAGAATGTTGGGACTTGGCGCGAACTCAGCGAACGCTAGCAGTTCGTCCTTGGCTGGCCCGTATGGGTCAGATCATTGGAGGTCAGAGGACCGGCTTGGGCAACGGGAACCTCCAGTGCGCCGTCTGCTACAGCAAAGCGAACAAGATGCACAGCGCGAGCTGGAGCAACGCCAACGCTCTGCTACGAACGACAGTGCTCGTGAGCCCATGTCCAAGGGCAGGGCGCCGCCAACATCAAGCAATAGTTCCACGAGAGCAAGATCCAGCTCAGAAGTCTCGTCTGGACGTTCGCACAGTAGGCCACGGCAGTACCGTGACGACTTGGAGCAAGCAATGGTCGAAGGTGCTGGATCTAAAGCCACAGCGTATGCTCCGAATGTCACACCCTCCATCCCTGGTTATGTTGCAAATCCTACTCAACCCCTCCCGCCCGAGAAGGTGTCTCCTGACAGCCAAGGGCGTATGAGGTCACGCAGCAACAGTCGAGCTGCGGCTGCGAGTTATTTCGAGTCGAAGCATCTGCAGCCCATTCACACCAGCCATGGTGCCACAAATGGGGCTTCCCCACGCCTGAGTCCAGCAGCCAACCCTGGAATGCATCAGTTCTCTCCTGGTCTGCCGGTATCCCCTCGCCCGTCACCTGGGTTCCCAAGCCCCAACATGAACGCGTTCCGCCCACCCGCCTCACCAGCTCTGCCGTCATCCGCCAACAACACGCCGCCCGTCTCTGGCACTTCCACTCCGGTCGCGTCAGCATTCGCCAATGGCGCCGCAGCTAACCTTCCCGGCACTGGTACCCTTCGCAAGAAGTCGATCAATAAATCTGATATCTCTGAACCCATTTTCCTCTCCACAACGTCGGTCATTGACACGGTCAACTTGCCACCAGGAGCTTCTTTGAAGAACGGGTCGGAGGTGCCACCACCTCTTCCTCCTATTAACCCCATGAGGCGCCGGTTCGGATTTGGTCGAACAAACACGGACGACCCCGCCGTCCACAGTCCTTCTCCACCCTATAGTGATGCAAGTTATACCAACTCCTCGGAGGCTGTGGGAAACAAAGTTCCAGCACCCCGTCAGAGATTGAGGAAGACATCCAGTGAAGGCAAGAGTCTGAACGGGAAAGCTCAAGTAAAGACGGGACCCAGCCCGGCGGTCCCTTCGATGCCCTTTGGCGCCCGCAATGGCTCGCCACCTCGGCCCAACAATAACCAACCCATATCTCAGCAAAACATGGACGGTGCCATGTTTTGAGTGGCCGTTGGTCTGTCTCCTGCTAGCTCGGTGCAGCTGCCCTACACGATTTTGATACCCTTTCACAACTTAACGTAATGTATTTCCGAGGACATCTGGGTTTGCGCAGAGATACACGGCCGGTCGGACTGTATTTTCTTTGTTTTGCTAGCCATATACCTCTGTCTCATCTTCCTCCTTGTGGCTTTTCTGTTCTAGCGTTGGATGCGATACTTCGCCATTATAACTCCGTAGCAGGGACTTTCCGGGATTTATCTTCTGGGAACACATGGCGAATAGCTGGTTTCTATGCGGTCCGGTGTTTCGAGTATCCTGGTCTTGTCTACTGTCATCGGGAGCGAGCAGTGTGTTATCAGGCAGGGATCAAGAACTAGAGGGCAACCCTTTTCTTCTCTTTTGTTCTTAAACACTGTCAATTGCGCGCCATAGGTCGCGTGGAGGTACATATCGGAGCCAATCAACTCGAAAATGTGCAATGTGTTCTATAAATTTGAACTGGAAATCGCAAAATACTCTGTTTGTCTGTCCCGCGCATATTTGTCAGTTTGGGAGTGTACTGTGTGTAGTACATGTGTGCCTGTACGGCTGTGGCGCGTCGCAACATTGCGCAGCAGCGAACGTCGATAAAGCACAACATACATCAACATGCAAGTATACGGCTCTCCCATGATCCCAATAGTCACTCCCAGCGAATCATGCCTTGTCCGTTGCTGTGTCGCCAGTCCCTGCGTCAGGCAAGATCTGCAAGGAGGCGGTGGTATAACGTCGCCGCTGACGGGATGTTCCACGCTGGCTGTAGTGCAGTGGGTTGAAGAAGGAGGCGTGTGATGTTTGCTACTCCGCTTTTTGTGACCTGCGACTACATTGTTGGTTCTGCGCTTCCGTCCACGGCGAAATGAGAGTCTGGAGTGTTCATCTTCCTATTTCTCTACCCCGAGTCGCAGGTGTCGAAGCCCATGCCAATTTCCTACATTGCTCTCCTCCACCGACTCTTTACCTTGTTTTTCCATAGAAACTCGAATCAAGGAGCCATGATGAGAGGATCATTCACCGCCAGCGTCGCCTTCGCGCTTCTCGCCTCGGTCGTCCTCTTCTCCACCGCTGCTGTTGGGCAAGATGCATCTGGTATCCCAGCCTGTGCTGTACGTTGGGTCCCCATCTCGGCTTTCTCCTCGCTTCTCCTTCCCCCTCTACATTTCCCACTTCTGTTCCCCGTGCACTCGGCGTCTCTCATGAATGACCTCCCCTGCTCCGTATCGAGTTGCTGACGACCTTGAATTACAGATCTCCTGCTTCATAGCTGCTGTGCCGGCCTCGCACTGCTCTTTGGATGATAGAGTTTGTCAGTGTACCACGGGGAGGGATGCGATTCAACGGAGCGTGGCGCAGTGTGCGCCCAAGGTCTGTGGGCCCGATGACCTGGCGAGTACGTATATCCCATCCCATGGCCCGTAGAAAAAGGGGCCGCCATCTCCTTTCAATCGTCTCTCCTGCTTCTTGATTTGCTGTTATTCGAAATGCTTCTCTTTTCCTCCTGTGTCTCCTGTCGTGTTCCTGAATGGGTCCCTGGTAATCATTGACCCGGTGCTTGTCGGAGAATACATGAAGAAAAGAGAACGACTGTCTGATGGATGATGTCTGACGTAATCAACAGAGATTAAACCAGCTGTCAAAGCAATCTGCTTACAACACGGCATCACGCTCGATGCGCTGCCGCCCACGCCTTCGCCGGCCGCGGCTTCGACTGCGATGCCCAGCGTGCAAGCGGCTACGACTGGGGTGGCCAGCAACGGGACCGCGAATACTACGACGAGTGGTGGGGTGCCAAAGTTCACGAACGGCGCTACGGCTGCGAAAGCGGCTAGGGATCGGGGAGGTTGGGTGTGGGCCGTTGGTGCTGCTGTGGGTGTGAGTGTGGTCGTTGGAATGGGGATTCGAATTGGAGGGTTGTGAGGCTGTAGGTGATGCAAGCTGAGTGGAGGTATAGGATCTTGTGGAGGCGTTACGCACGAGAATCTATGGAAGGCTTCGGGAGTAATGTCCAGCAAAAGCGTCTTGGAAACAACAACCAGGAGGACGAGAAGGTTGCCGTAATGACATATCATGACATTTTCTTTTTTTGGACTTGTCTCCTGCTTACACACAACGAACGACTCTTAACTCTTTCTAGTTTTGATAATCCTAGTTGTTACAGTATTCTCCATCATCTTTACCGACCTCATACAGCGTGAAGTGCGTCCACCCATTTGCTTGACCATGCGGTGAATTCGTCATCTTGACCCGTCCAATTCTGCTTCACGGTGTCGATGGCGCTTCGCGCTTCTCCGCAGCATTTCTCCAAGACGCGGGTTGCTTCCTGCTCGTCAAGATCGTAGAAGGAACTTGCCAGATCGTCCACAGTTTCGGGTATGGACTTGAGGTGGACGAGGAGACTGTCCAATCGCTCCGAAGGAAGTCCCTCTGGATATATGATATTCGCTGCATCCCCGTTCGAAATCGCCGTTGATGTAGTTGACGGGGTGGATTTGGGGTAGGTCTTCAACCGCCTCTTGATCAATGCCTGATACAACATCCCCACCATCTTCAACCTCTTCACACTCCTCTCCAACAAGGCCTTCAGCTCCTTATCCCCTTTGCCGAGCTTATTTGCCGCAGCGAAAATCGCATCCTCGTCATCGGTATCGAATCCTCCATCCTCCCCATCACTTCTTTCCGCCTTCTCTTCTTCCCCTCTAGATTCTCCCTCCTCAATCCCCTCATCATCAACATCGTCTCCCCACTCCCTCAGCTCCTCCACCGCATCCATCAACACGGCCCTCCACTCCTCCGCCTTTCGAACCACAAGCCCCACAACCCCTTCCTCGCACACCTTAACCAATCCATCGCAAGCCTCCCACACTACACCAGTCGCGGCAAGGACATCCTGTCTCTCTGCTTCACTGGGCCCGTCGTCCTTGTTCTCGGCTGCGCGGCGCGAAGCGAAGCGCTGGACGAGAACGAGGATGTCGGACCACGAAGTGAGGAGGCGGCGGACCTGGGCGCGGAGTTCGGCGTGCATGATTTCCGGGAGTACTTGATTTTCCGATAATGGAGTACGACTGGTGGAAGGAGGGGCGGTGGCGGCGGCGACCATGGCGGCCAGCGCGCCGGAGCTTACATCTCCAATTTTGCTGATTACGGCGGACGGCGTGAGGGGCGGGGTTAGGAGGAGGAGGGAGAGGGTGGTGGTGTGGGAGCGGAGGAGGGCGGAGGTTGCTTTGATGACGGCGAGGGTGTCGGCCTGTTGTTGTTGTTGTTGCTGCTGCTGGGAGGAAGGTGTTGTTCCGTTTGATTGCTGAGGGGAGGATGTCTTCAAGAGAGCGGCGGTCGAGGAGGTGGTTAGGGAGGATTGGAAATGCGTGATTAGGTCTTGGGTGGATTGTATGAGAGCGATGAGGGGCCCCATGGAGGGGGGTTGGTTGGACGGTTTGGTTTTGGGTGGCATGATTGCTGCTTTTAGTGGATCAGAAATCGAAAACAGAATGGGACCAGCTCGCTGAAGAGAGGAGGTATAGTCGGAGGTGTATGAGAAATTTGGTACGAGATCGTATGCATTTGCAGAGGGGGGAGGGGCCGCGGAGTTTTTGCGGAGGTGTGCTCCGTAGTAATAAATAGCGCATCCCCGCAACGCACTACGGAGCAGGCCGCACCGCGTTCTTACGCGACTTCCTCGTGGAAGCTGCTTCAGCAACCTCCAGTCTCGGAACACCTCACACATGCCTCCCAAAGGATGGAGAAAGGGCCAAACGGCCGGCCCCAGGCAGACTCTTGTCCTCGATAACGGCGCATATACCATCAAAGCTGGACTGGTGACGACCGGCCCCTCCTCAAAACCTACCTACGACGACTGCCACATCTCTCCCAATTGCATCGCGCGCAGCACGCGCGACAAGCGCACGTATATATCCTCGGACCTGGATGAGTGCAGGGACTTTGGAGAGTTGGCGTTTCGGCGTCCCGTCGAGAAGGGCTTCATTGTGAATTGGGAGTCGGAGAAGGCGATCTGGGAGCATGAGTTTATGAATGAGGGTAAGGGAGGGTTGAGGGTGGGTATGCGCTTGCTGTGGTAGCTTTCGGCTTGTGTGATTGTATTGCTGACTAGACATCCTAGTGTGACCCTAAAGAGACGAATCTGCTCTTGACTGAGAAGCCGAATTGTCCAAAGGAGTTGCAGAAGAATTGCGATGAGATCGTGTTTGAGCAGTTTGAGTTTGCCTCGTATTATCGGAGTGTCGGTTAGTATCACTAGGTGTATGGACGGAGCACATCTGACAATCACCAGGTGCAACTTTCAATGCCTGGCACCCTTCGTCACTCCTCTCCCTTCCTCAGGAGTGTCTCCTCATAATAGACACCTCCTACTCCGACACCACCATACTACCTATATACTTCGGGCAGCTTCTCCAAACCGCAGTCAGGCGTCTCACAGTGGGCGGCAAACTGCTCACGAACTACCTCAAGGAGCTGTCGTCTCTCCGACATTATAACATGATGGAGGAGACGTATCTCCTGAACGAAATCAAGGAGGCCGTATCATTCGTTGCACCATCATCAGAGCAGTTCGCAAAAGATCTGGAACGGACATGGAAGGGTCGAGTAGGCGACAAGAGGACTCTCGATCCGAGCATAGTGGTCGATTATGTCTTACCGGACTATGAGCAATCCATACACGGGTACGCACGACCTCACGACCCGGAGAAATACAGAATGCGCCGCGGTCTGCAGCCTCAGCAAGGGCCGAGAGAAGATTTGCTTCCCCTAGGAAATGAGCGCTTTGCAGTACCGGAACTGCTGTTCAGTCCAACCGACATTGGCCTCCAGGAGGCAGGGATCCCAGAAGCAGTCATGCAGTCTCTCAGTGTTTTACCGGAAACATTGAGAGTGGGACTGCTGTCGAATATCGTGGTCGTGGGAGGGAATTCGCTCATTGAAGGCTTCATGGAGAGACTGGAGTCGGAACTACGCGTGCTTGTGCCTGCGGAATATGCGATGAGTTTGCGGAGAGGAGAGGACCCGATCAAGCATACTTGGCTGGGGGCCGCGAGGTTTGCGAGTCAACCGGAGCTGCTAAAGCAGGTGCTGGTCAGTAAGGCGGAGTATGATGAGAATGGCTCCGGATGGTTAGGAAGGAAGTTTGCGGGGGAGATATGAAAGGGTTGGATTTACTCATGCTGGAGCAAGACGCTCAAGAGCGGAAGATCGGGCCTAGTGATGCTGAAAGCAAGACTCATGATCGATGACTTGGGCTTTACTAATGATCAAAGACTGGTTTCATGTCATTATTCTCTGTATCTTTTCCGCTCCCTCTGCAAAAGCTCAGTCGACGACATAATAGCAAGGGTGCATCTATTCCTTTCCATGAAAGCTCCGCGTGTGAAATGATGTGATTGGCTGTCCACCCCCCGACGTTCAACCGAGCGCGCATCTTTTCCCGTCAAGCGTGCAAACAACACCCTTCCTCATCTATCGCAACCAGCTATGCGCCGAATACCGCAGTGCCAGCGGTCAATTGACCAGGCGCTTGCGTCCCCTCTCTTGTCGAGACAATGCATATCCGCGGCCCCAAGCCGTTCCGCCCTTAACCCAAACCTCCTCCGCACAACCTCCGCCCCGTTCTCCACCTCCCCACGCTTCGAAATTTTTGCGGACGCCAAACAAGATGCGAAGAAGAAGCACATGGCCATGGTGCGGAAATGGCAAAAGAGGATCCATGGTGACTCAGAGCCGATAGGACATCGCGTCGACCCCTACGATCCCACGTCCCCCGTTCGGTTAGCACCTGAGGAGCTCGGCGAGGAAATAGAAATTCTCGAGGAAGAGGAGAGGGGAGAGGGTGCTCCGTATGAGCCGGCGCACGAAGCGACAGGACTGGAGCGAGTCGGGGGGAAGGCATTTGTCAAGCAACATGAGGAGGCAAAGCTGGCGGAGAGGTTTGAGGTTTTGGTCGCGAAGCCTTCGATCGCGAGGTACAGGTATGTTGGATGATCCCCGGAAGTACCATTGGAGGCATAATGTGGGGCATGGGGCTGATTAGATGCAGCTTTGGCCGTGCAACTCCCCTTATGCAGCGGCGAGCCATTCTCAACCGTTTCCATCAAGCGGTCGTGGAGGTCTATACTCTCAAGGAGGCGGGCGCCAACCTGGATCTTTCGTCATACCCGCATGAAGGCAACTATGGCAAGCCGCCGTTCAAGTACTCTTCGGTGTCGATTTCTCTGTCGCCGGCCAACGAACCCGTCCTAAACTACCCTTACGCGGAGGCCAGGACAAAGCTGTTGGGTAAGATGCAAAATGCACTGTCGGAACGGGAAGGGGTTGAGGAGGAGATAGTCGATAAGGCGGAAGAGTATGCCGAGGAAGCGGAGCCGGAGGCGAAGGTCGAGACGAAGACCAGCAGGCAGTTTGACTTCACGTCTTCGCCTGTATCAGAGTCTGCGCCGGCAGCTGAGTCCGCCAAGTCTGTCAACCTTACGGAGATCGGCTTGGATAGCGCAGTTGGTACTGTGCAGAATGAGATTGCGAAGATGCGGCAAACCGTCCTCGAAACTGCAGCGCGCAGGTCCGAGAGGGTTGTTGCAGATCTACGTAAGGTCGTCGAAGCACACCTCATTTCGGCCGCTAGCGAGAATGTTACCGTCATCGAACCTGAGTTGGCGCCTGTTACTTATGGGCGTGTGAAACTCAACGATCCAGCCGTAAAATTTGCGGTAAGAGCTGATCTGTGCTGTCCTCTGCCCGCCTCATCCTAACCGCCACTCTAGATCTCCAAACGCCTCCTCCAACTCACAGGCCACCGCCTATCGGATCCTCAACTCATCGCCTCAGACACCCTCAGCGACCTCCTCCAGAACCTCCTTTCCCTCACCAAACCCAAACCCACCAAACTCTTCGACGTTGTCAAGAAGGAAAATACGCTCAGCAGACTGCCAAACGTGCAACTGTATCCTCGGAAGATTAGCGAGAGGCAGAGGGAGAAGCAGGTCGGAAGGTGGAAGGTCATTGAGTATGCTCTCACCGAGAGAGGCTTGCCGGTGCATTATAGGGATGCGCCGCCGAAGAATACGACGGTTGAGTCGTTTGATGAAAAGAAGGGAGAGGAGTGGTTGCGGCGGCAGTTGAGGAAACTGGACGAACTGAAGATTTAGATGTACGATATTTGGGTGTGTGTTCGGTAAGGTAAGGTTCTATGTGAGGTCTGCTTCGGTGGACGGCTTAGATGCCATAGTGTCGAGGTGTAAATGTATTGTAAGAGTTGCATCCATCGGCTTTAGGGCGGGTATATGTTGTTACAGCGATGGTCGATTGGGTGTAGGGCTCTCTTCCACATACATGTGTTTGTTTGGGCCAAGCCTAATGTCAAGTTGATTATCGGAGAGCACCTCGGACGTTCCATTTGGCTTTCAGGCACAGCCATGTGAGGCTTGGCTATGAACCCTCCCTGAAGCACGACGACGCAGAAAAGCTTAGTCACATGTTCGCTGTGGCGCACTGTGGCGCACCAGATGGAGGTGTGATAGGCTGGTACAACGACAGATGGAATACTGTTACGCATGTAAGAATCCTCAAGCTGCGCCGCATCTCATGCGAAAGCTTAATGAGACGTTCGATCAACAGGCGCTCGTCCGAGGATTGTTCCCTCTCTGTGCTTCTTCATCTGTCTATTCTACAGGTTGTTCTTGGGGTGGCGTGAGAGGTTCGTTTGACCATGACGGCCGTCAATCGCATCTTCACCTACCACGGATACTTGTAATAAAAGTCCTTGACACGCTGAACATTACTCATTCCGTCTAACAGGTCCTGCGTTCCGTTCCGCCTTCTTCCCCATGGGCAATTGATGACGGGGGGCGGACTTCGCGGCGCCGTCGACAACTCCCACAGCTCCGGCCGGACCGCACCAAGACGATAGTTCGGTCTCGGCATGCTTCCTGTTGCTGAGAAAGCACCACTGAGGGTGGGACTTTGCCTTTCAACTTCTCCTTCACTTGCAAGCTCGCCCCCACGCTAACGCCGTAAGAATGGCCAAAATCTTGTTCTCACAGGCGAAAACATGGTCATGTCGAAGCTTGCCGAAGGTAGCAACAAAGGCGTCCTGAGTAATGTTCGCCCTTTTCGCAGAGCCGGGGAGAGGTGACAGGTGTAACAGGAGTAGAAGGAATGGCGCTCTCACGGCCCTTTTATAACGCTAGTCGAAGCTGGGAATCCCGCTGCCTTCCCCGACATCTGGATCGCAGCCGTTAGCGGAGTTCCACTCGTCCACGGTAAACTCTCCAACCCCCTCAGTATTTATCATGACACGAAGTGCATGCCGGGAATAATAATGATGATGGGACGGATGCAATATCGAACCCACACCAGGCGCTTATGGCGATATTGAATAATAAGACGCCCTTACATGCAGGGGCCACGTGGTGATCCTATACGATTGATACTTGCTGATGAAGTGCCACACCTCGAAACTCTGCACGCGATCCAATAATCGACAAAGGCGAACCTCTGGGTTTGCCACCACAGGAATCTTGCGCGCTTGCATCACGCGGGAAAGCCAAAGGTGGGGATACCGGCTACCAGGATCGTGCGGAGAGAAGTGGATTCGCCTTGTCCCAGCCACGCAGCAGTCTATTCCAGAACAGTAGATCTTGATCAACACCATCGGCAGGTCCGCTCCTCCCTCCTTGTGGAACAGCGGCGAAAACGAGACTGCCAGTTCGGGGACGAAAAACAATCGTACTCGGATCAGTAGGACAGGGGCCTCTGCTCCTCCTATTTGCCTTGGTGAGGTGAGGCCCGGTTCAGCGGAGAGAGAGAGAGAAGACCTACCGTGCCGCAATCAAAGCCGATTGCAGGCAAACACGGCAAGAGCATTCCACGATGGTAGGGTCCAGGCTGCGGCGCTTAATTCGTTGCCGTTGGAGGTCAAGTGATAGGAGTGCGGACGGAGTACCAAGTCAGTCCTGTCGGGCGTTCTGCAGAAGGATTGGTGAAAGGTTGGCCAAGACCAAAGGATTCCAAGAAAAAACACGATGCTTTGCAGCTTCCAGGTGTCACAGGCCGCTCATCATGCTTCTACGAAGCTTCTACAATGTAAGCGAAACCTACTCCAGATGGGTGGTGTTGACCATCATCCGGCAATGGCCTTGAAGCAGCATGGAACACCAGGGTTCCTAGGGGTTATTACCAGCAAGAGGTCAGCAGCATAGCAGTATCTCCCAAGTACGACGTTTTGCAGTCATCAAGAGACGAATCTGAAGTGTAGCGATCCCCAACTTTCGCACAACATTATTGACGGAGTTATAGGAGTGTAATTTACATCCAACGAGCAGTCCAGCAGTCCTACAACGATTGGATCGGAGCTTCTGCATTTATCCGGCAGATAGATTTAACCTGCTGCCGAACAAATCCAATCCTTGTAGGGTTTTGCCAATCCAATATAAGCGGCTGGTACGGTGCCAGCGGGCCCTATGTCCGTCTTGGCCGGGCCCGCCCTCCGGCATGTCTGGGGTGGGAATCCGGGGAGGTGGGTTGGATGCGGGTGGATGGGGTTTCTCCAGACAAATGTTTATAAGGCCATGGGCCGGCGACTCTGGGGCTCGAAGAGATTCGTCCTTCGCCGTTCCTCCTTCCTCTCAGTCCTCACCCCAAGGAAGACCCTCCGCACGTCGACAACATGGTGGGTGTCAAGGGTGTCATATCCGCTCCCAAAGCGGCATTGTCCGATCCCATCCTCTCGCGTTTGGTCGCGGAGGATACGGTGCCATGGTACAGGAAGCCTAACATGCGTCTCATGTACTTGTGGCTCTTCCTGTGCTGTATGGGTGTCGAGATGACGTCCGGTTTCGATTCCCAGCTCATCAACACCTTGCAATTCTCCGACCCCTTCAACAGATGTATGTTATAAGAGTTCCGGCTTTTAGCGTCCCCAGGAAGCCTAATGCGATTCAGATTTCGGAAATGGCTACTACGACACCAAGAAGAAGAAATTCTCGATTGAGCCAGCCATGCTTGGCTTCATCTCCTCCTGCTACCAACTCGGCTCCATTCTTGCGGTTCCCATTGCCCCCTACTGCAACCAGCGATGGGGCAGGAGGTGGTCCATCATGGTTGGCTCACTCATCATGGTCGTCGGCTCTATTCTGCAAGGTTTCTCTCAGCACGGTATGTTGCACCTTGGAATATCGATTTGTTCGATTTTGATTGACATTGTTCAGTGGCCATGTACATCATCGCCCGCATGCTCCTCGGTGTTGGCATTCTCTTTTGCATCATTTCCGGCTCTGCTTTGATCGGTGAACTGGGTTATCCCAAGGAGCGCCCTATTCTGACCTCCCTATTCAACTCCTCCTATTTCATTGGATCCATTATCGCTGCCGCAATCGCCATCAAAACCGCCGAGATTAAGGGAAACTGGAGCTGGCGTCTTCCATCACTTCTACAGATTTGCCCGTCTCTGCTCCAGATCTGCACTGTTTAGTGAGTCGAACTGGGATTCTGGCGTTCATTCTTCATCTGGCTAACCTGATACCACAGCCTTCTCCCGGAGAGCCCTAGATGGCTTGTCAGCCAGGACCGTGAGGATGAGGCTTTCGCCGTTCTGACCAAGTATCACGCTGAGGGTGATGCAAACTCGGCCATTGTCCAAGCCGAGATGGCCCAGATCCGTTCGACTATCAAGCTCGAGTTGGAGCATTCCAAGCAGTCTTGGTGGGATATGTTCCGCACTGCCGGTATGCGTCGCCGTGCTCTCATCGCAACCTTCATGGGTCTCTTCACTCAGATGTCCGGCAATACCCTTCTGTCCTACTACTCCAACCTTCTCTTCGAGATGATGGGCTACGATACTTCCTTCGCCAAGACCAGGATCAACATCGCCAACCAATGTTGGAGTTTCCTCAATGCAACTATCATCGCTCTCATTGTTCCCCGCTTCAAGCGCCGACACATGTTCATGCTTTCGTCAGCGACCATGTGTTTGGTCTTCATTGCCATGACAGTCTCTTTCAACAGACTTCGCGTTGCAAAGGACGCGGGCTATAAAAACAACTCGGCGTCCATTTCCGCCCTGATCTGGTACTTCGCGTACTCGCCCTGCTATAACATTGGAAACAACTCTCTGACCTACAGTAAGTTTATCCCTGGTATCCTCTGTAACATTTCACTAACAGGTGGACAGCCTACCTCGTCGAACTCTTCCCTTACGCCCAGCGTACTATGGGTATTGGAATTGAGCAGATCTTCGGCAAGTGCGCTGGGTTCTTCTCCACCAACGTCAATCCCATCGCCCTCGATGCTATAGATTGGAAGTACTTGGCCATTTACTGCGGTTGGATCGCATTCGAATTCGGCTTCGTCTTCACTTTCTATCCTGAGACGCATGGTCGTACTCTCGAGGAGCTTGCTTTCTGTAAGTCCATCAAGTTCATCATCGAGAGCGGACGGACAGTGACTAACAATGTCCGACAGTGTTCGAAGACAAGGAGCTCGCCGACAAGGCCGTTGCAGCCGTCGAGAAGCAGATCCATGAGGTGGAAGCTGGGCATGAGAAAGGTAGTACCACTGTCGTCGAGCGCACCGTTTAGGTCCGGAGACTGTGTTACAGTTGGGTAGTTTTGCATTCTGTAATTAGGACGTCCACGTCTACAAGGCGGATCAGTCATTGCATCTTTTATGTTTGTGAAAGATGGAATGCGATGTCAGTGCCGAATCCTGCCTTCGTTGCTCGTGTTCATCCAAACGTGTATATGGGCTCTTTGAGAATTCAGGGACAATACAGCATGGCCATTCCAAAACGCCGCTGTACATTCCACCACCACAACTGCGCTCGACAATCCTTCCACTGGGGAATTCCACGAACCCCATGTTTGGAACCACCAACATGGCGCTTGGCGCTCACGTCGTCCCCGCACTTCCAACCCTCAAAACAATGAACGTGGTGCCGATCATTCCTCCATAGGAGCCTCGTTCTCCGCCGCCACGCTCGTATTGTTGTCCTCGGTAGTTCTGCTCCTTCTACCTACACAGTGTAGTGGGGCTTACTCGCCCGAGACCCTCAACAAAAACCGGGACGCCGGGCCGCAGGCATACGGTATGGCATGCTGACGCGACAGAAAGTGCTGGTGAAGGTTGTGCGTCTGGTGGGTGCTGCAGGAAAGCTACATAGAAAAGGGGTGAAGGGAAGAATGTTGGAAGGACTGAAGGGAGGGGCCTGCCTGTGCGGATGGGGTAGTGGCATTGATATAGCTAGGGTAAACGAGCGAACAGTTGCCCTACTCTAATAATCACTAAGCTGGAAGCATGCTTCACTCGAAGATATGAGAAGACTGGATTGTGTAGCAAAGTAAATATAGATGTATTATTGAGGTTTCTTGCCTGCCCTAAGGTATTGAGCAATGCAGAAACAAGAGATACCAAAGTGTGCTTCGCGAGCTTCCGCGAAACCGCTGCGGTTCACGGGGGTCGAGCATCTACTATAGCTCGGCCCAGTCATTCGTCCGTTGATGAGGTCGTGACAGAGGGAGGATCGTCCGCCAGTGTTTGAGAGTTTCCTCTTCAAGTGCACAATCCTTCTCCACCCATTCACGAAGTTCTTTCCAGTCCTTCTTCGTCTTTACGGGACGCCGAGGGATGATATCGTCCTTCGCATCCGGAGTAAGATAGCCAAGACGAGCAGTATGAGCTCTGGTCAATACTACAGTCCGTACTTGACGGACAACATCCGAGCGATCTGTCTGATAGTCGCATAGGGCAATGTCACCAAACTTAATGTTCCTCAGATAATTTTTGCCTTTGCCTGCGCGGACGCCGATGTGAATAGTGTCGCAGTTTCGCATGGCTTCTTTGATCACTCTGCGCTCGTGGGGGAGAGATCGAGCCGCCGATTTCATGCGTAGCGTGATTGTCTGGATAACCATGCTGGCGTCCTTCAACTCGCATAGCTGACCGAGATAGTACTCTCGGCGACCAAGAGTAGGGGTGAAGTATACTTTGCATTGCGCCAGACTTACCACCCAATTTCGCTCCCAAGAGTGGTCCTCCCAGCCTTCTTCGTTAGGGCAAGCATTTTTCCCCGGACAGTAGAGGGAGGATGAGCGCAGGTAACAGTCACCGTCTCTGGCTATGAGCGCGTCATTGGCGAAATCGGTTGTTTCGTCAAACCGTACTCTTCTAGGCTTGGGCTTGTTTTGCGTGCGCTTCTTCCAGTCATCAGACATTTTCCAGCTTGAAGGATCTAGATCTGCACCTGGGGACCTGCTCTGTTGCACAAGATGAACGATCTGTGCCTTGATATGACGTCCTTCACCCGAGAGCTCCAGCCACTCCTCGGGATCGCCAAGGGTCTTCCTATACTTATCCCAGGCTCTGTTGAGCCCGAGAAGGTCAAGGAGAGGTTCGGCTTCGACGTCTGCAGCTGCACCACCCATAAGGGTCCATGCATCTGCTATAAGGTGGAGGTTCTCTACCGCCGCCAGTGCCAGGCACAAGTCGCAATCATCGGATCCATCGGAGCATGGCTTGTCGTGTATTTGGCAACGGTCCTCAGACTCGATAGGCCAGTCCTCGAGATTCTCCGACTCTGTGATGAATTTCCGATATTCATACGCCAAGTGGAAGAGGGGCGACTCATAGACCCGTTCGGGTTCGTAGAGGGGTGGAGTGCGCTTTGACTCTACCCAGTCCCAATACCACTCAGTATCATCACGCCCTTCGTCTTCCACGTATTCCCAGTCGTCATCACTCTCATCAGAACTTCCATCCAACTCCATATCATCTTCGTCCACGTGCGTGGAAGGCGACGACGGGAGCTCTGCAGCCGGATTCGACACGTCAACTGTGTCCTCGCCCAGCGAGAATAGAGCTCGTCCACCTCAAGCATCTCAACATTGCAGTCAGCCATGATGGCTCCGTCGCCTTCCCGTCTTTAACAGGAAGGTTATCTGGCAAGTGAGGATTCTGCTGCAGTGATTGAGTTTGAAGGAAGGGTTGGCGTTGGCTTTTCTGGTGGTCTATTGCTTCCAGTTGCAGTGGTGAATGGATCTCACAAAGTACTCGTTGCAACACATATATATCGGGTGGGAGGAAACCCCATTCCTTATGTGCCTTCCCAGTGTCCCCATAACGGTAAACATTGTTCACAGCTGCTTTGAGTGGATCGATTGATCGCGAGGAACACTTGCGCAATGCTCACTAGAGAATACTATAAGTACACAATGTTGTCGGATTACTAACATATCTCTGTACAATGATATCGATTTATCAATTGCTTGTACATTGTAGAAAGCTGTGGGAACATTGGAGACTGATAAATGGGGCGGGGATACATCCGCACATGGGTCACAGAACGGCTACAATCCATCTAAATCAATCATGCAGGGTGTAATTTGGTGCTGAACAAAACATGTTGTAGCTAAAATGCCTAGAGAAGCCAATACTTGTAAAATACATATGGAGCATCTCTAAGATTGTACTCCTACAATCCTACAAGGTAGTAGTTGCAAAGAAAGAACAGTCTCTGGAAACAGCGCAAAAGTGTCGGGCGGAACTCGTCTCAATGAACTGTCTGCATAGAACACCTGAGGAAATACGCGTCTCTGTCCTGCGTATTGGGACAACTCTTACGAGAATTGTGGACGGGTCTTCCATACCTAGGACGGCTGGATGAAGTGAACCGCATGGATTGCCGGTTTAGAGTCTTCAATGCACAGCTTGACTTTACAGGTAGTTAGTGTCGAGGGAAGGAGTACATAGCTTCACCAATTTGAAGAGCGCGGATAGATCGAAACAGAATATGATCGTATTTTCAAGAATGATGAACGAGAAGGGATAAGATACGTGTCTCCACTCATATGGAAACTCGTCGGGGGTATCTAAGAAGAATTGAGGCTGGGCGGTGTGTAGTATGCCATCGTACGGCATGGTTACATATGTACGATATTGAGCTATTGCGCTCTTCATGGTACTGTGTGGCTTTGACTGGAGGTACTCATCGTAGTACTATGTGTGCTTTAGCTATGTTCCCTCACAGTGCTATCGAGTCAGGTTTCAGAACCATTCGCGATCATCGTCAATTACTTGAGGCATGGCCAGATCTTTGAACGACTGGAAGCGCGGGTCGTCTTGATGCATGGAGCAGAACCGACGCCAGTCCTCCATATCCGTGAAGGAGGATAGAGGAACCTGGTCACCATCCTCTGCTGCATTCACTGATCCAATTATAGGTGGAGTGCTTCCCGACATCATCAAGACGCGGGTGGAGCTGAACTCCTGGAAGCGGTTGGCGTCATGGCAAATGAATATAACGCTTCGAAAATAGAAACCCTTTCCCTCGGTATACACAACCTCCGACGGGTCGGCGACTATGATACTGTCTACGTGTGAGAGAATGTGGAACATTCATCTCTCTCTCGTTTCGTCTCGGCGTGGCTCAGAGTCTGGCGGAATTGCGTAAAGGCACTGAAGACTATGTCATGGTAGTGCCTGACATTGAAGAGATGTCCTAGATATAGCTCTTCAACTCCGAGAACATCCCATAGAAAAACCTTACATTGAGCGATACCAGCATCAAGGGAAGACATCCAGGATGTGTCTTGCCAACCCTCGGGATCTAGGGCGGCATATCGTCCCGCATGGTAAAGTGAGCTCTTTCGGTTATAGGAGAGCCTATTTCTACTCTTGTGAGTGTCGAAGTCCTGGGTATCATGTGTGAAGCTCACCGTTTTGATACTGTTCGCTTTCTTCCGCCAGGTCGGGGACATTTTGGAAGTGATCGGGTCTAAGCGAGCGCCTGGCGACCAGTTGTCTACACTGGCCGTTGCTAGACGGAGTGCTTGGTGACGATCTGGTTTGTCGGAAGCCTCCAAGGTGGCTAAGAACTGAGCAAACCAGTGCCAGGTCCGCTTCCAGAGACCTAGAAGACACCAAGTCTCTTTATCCATCGACGGCCCTCGAAGCAGTAACCAGGCATCAACACAGCCTTGCAAGATTTCGATATGGTCTTCCACTACGCAAACCGAACACGAAGGCCGATCAGAGTCAGAGCCGTCGCCGTGGATATTGCACCGGTCCTCAGCCTTGATAGGCCAAGCTTGGCCCTCCGCATCCTCGGTAGGAGATGTGAGGAACCGAAGTTGCTGGATTGCAGTGCAAAATAAGGGAATCTCATAGAGGACAGGCGTTCTGTTCCGTTCCTCCCGCGCTTGCTTTGCCCATGCCCAGTACTTATCCGTGTCGTCGCTATCAGCGTCATCCTCGAGCTCGTCATGGTATAAGCTGTCCTCACCGCTATCGCTACGCAAGCTCGCATCAATCGTGCAATTGTCTTGTGCCACCGATACCGGCTCTGGTGGCACTGATTCAGTAGAAAAGTCAGACATGGTTGGTGCGCTTGGAGTGGAATGGGAAGTTGTGGTGCGCAGCGCCGGAAATATATGTATTGAGTGGACGATTTGTGCATCTTCATGTGTTGTCAGCATTGTCCATGAACATTACACGATCACTTGCGTCCTTCTTAATTTCTCTTACTATGTCGTTAAAAAACAATGTTATTGTTATATGCCAAGGGCAGGATTATAACCAATATAGCTGCTTTGAAACGCATGTATATATATATGGCATTTTTGTAGATCAGGTAAACGAAAATAGAGTTTGCTCAATCAAGACTACAATTTTGCTCGCTTGATGTAGTAAGTAGTGATTATTCTCTCCACGCAGATGTGCATGGACTGTGCAATTCCTAGCTCTACACAAGTGGCGTATTACCTAGGTAGTCTTCTGCTCGGTATTAACAGCATGTTTGATTAGATGATGGACCAAGTTTTACTGTAGAACTGAGGGGACATGCACTATGATGCAATATTAACTCATCAATGCCTCTACTCTGACCTTAAGCTAAGACGTCCCAGAGATGCTCTTAAGTCTATAGATATCAGCACCCGCTCTATGCCTGTGCGCTTGCCAAAAACTGTTTGCTGAATGGGTAGTCCACATAACCCTCCTCGGCCTTAGGAATGTAGAAGGTATCCCTATTGTACTCGTTGAAATCGATACCTTCCCTCAATCTGAAGACGAGATCCGGTGTGCTGATGAAATAGCGACCAAAGACGACGATGACATTCTTGTTGGGATATTCCTCCTCTACGAGTTCCTTCGCCGACTTCGGATCGAGGCCTCCTGCGATGAGAACGGGTCCATCGAAAAGGTCGACAAGAGGATCCAAACGATCCGTTCTCTCTTGATCTATGATGCCCGAGACCCGGGAGTCCACCAGGTGGACGTAGCCAAGACCGAGTCTGTTCAGTTTCTTGATGATATCTGAGAACTGCGGGAGGGGATCTTTCATCTTCATGCCCTGGAATTCGGAGAAGGGGCTGAGGCGCATGCCAGTGCGCTCAGCACCGACGGCTTCAACGACGGCCTGGGCGACTTCGAATGCGAACCTGGACCGGTTTTCGACAGTGCCGCCATACTCGTCTGTCCGCTGGTTGACTTTGTCTTGCAAGAACTGATCAATGAGGTAGCCGTTGGCGCCGTGGATCTCGACTCCATCAAAGCCCGCTTCGATCGCATTCTTCGCAGCTCGCGCATATCTTCCGACAGTCTCCTTGATTTCCGGGATAGTCAACTCCCTCGGCGTGGCATGGTCCTTATCGAGAGGAACGGCGCTGGAGCTGGTAATCTCAATACCCTCCACTTTCGCGAAATCTGGGTTGGCTACTCTTCCGAGGGCCCAAAGCTGGAGGTAGATAAAGGAACCTTTCTTATGGACAGCGTCGGTAACTTTACGCCAGGCATCAATCTGGGCCTGGTTGTAGATTCCAGGCACGTTAGGGTAACCACCGTTTTTTGGGTCGATAAAGGTTGCTTCAGTGATGAGAAGCGTGCCCGGAACTGACGCCCGCTGAGCGTAATAATCGACCACAAAAGGTAGCGGAACGTGATTGTCGTCTGCTCGGAACCGGGTCAACGGTGCCATCGCAATGCGATTTTGGAGGGTGACATTCCCCACTTTGACAGGAGTAAACAAGCGGCTAGTCGACATTACGAATGATATACAGGCGGACAAGGGGTCACTGGTCTCGAAATAATGACTGAAAAGTTCAAAGAGTCTATGGCTTAACGGGGTGTGAGTCGCGAGGAAACTGATATTGTTGCCAATGGGAACAAATTTTTGGAGCTGTCAAGTTGGCTAGATATACCTGGGTACCTGGGTACCTGTTGCCCAGGAAGCTCGTTCGAGTTCGGCGTTAATTTGCAGAGCCGAAGTTTCCTGTGTCTTTTTGCCCGAGGCTTGGAAATCATAGTCCTCGCCGGTTGACGCCTAAGCGCGGTTTCCAGGGTTGTCAGCGCTCCGCCGAGATAAATGTAGAGAGTGCATACTGCGAAGTTCGCAGATATAATACCAATTTGGAAGTGTGCGATTACTAAAAGGTGGTTTCTAATGTCGGTATCTCCGATTTCACCGACTATCTTTGTAAAAGTAGCGAGCACTGCGTTTGGGATGTGCGATCACTAAGATGATTTTCCCTATGCATCCCGGTAGTTCCGATTCCGACGACCTCGGGATGCTTTGTAAGAGTAGCGGGCACCGCTGCTAAATGTAGGTACCGTATACTCTTTTCAGGCCTACGGCTTCTGCAAACTTGAGCGCTGTTTCGCGTGCGTGCTCGTCCGTTACCCATGTAAGTGTATTTCTCAATATCTACGCCCTGCGTTATGCATCGTTGGCTTACCAATCGCAACTCCATAGTCAGCTTAGCCATGTCTCACCGTGGCACAGCTTCCCCTTTTCTCCTCCCTTTCTCTCGGGTTCTCTTGCTTTTGATGCTCCAGTTTCAACGACACACCTTCAACTGAGGAGCACGAGAAGCGCACACATGGCGCTCGGCACTATACTTCCCTTTTGGCCGGCGCTGCTGTTCACGTATCTGGAGCCACTAGCATTGTAAGTATCTAGACCCTTCAAGCAGGAAGTCCATGTACGACAGGACACCTCCATGCTTCGATTCGAGCTGATTTTGCAGCTCTGCCGTTCAACGCTAATATGCTATTGTAGAATCATGGGCTGGAATGCCGCTTGGAACTCGCCGTCGGAGTTCGTGTCTCGTCAAACGCCATCGCCCTCCCTCTCAACGACCGTCCCAGATGGTGCGCTCATCCTCTCTTACACGATTGGCAACGTCTTCATCCTGCTTGGAGCTCTAGCGATCGTCTGCACGGCCATAACCCGCGACCCACGTGTGGCAAAGAGCTATCTCCTAGTGGTTTCCATCGCCGACCTCGGGCACATTTACGCTAGCTACAAAATCTTGGGCCCTAGCGTATTCTGGAAATTCAACGATTACAACGACATGATGTGGGGTAATATCGGTGTCAGCGCGTTCCTTCATATCAACAGAATTGCCACTCTTCTAGGCGTCTTCGGACAACTGGACGAGCAGCATAGGGGAGTTTGAGATTGATCAACGGTTGACGCTCGACCGAAGCTTGGCTTACCCTCCTGCGAGTTGCGGTCCTGCATGGATGCACGAAGACAACCGTTCTGCCGTAGAACCAACAAACAACATGAGCATTTCCCGTTCCTTTGCATCTCTCTCCGACGAACAAAAAAATATATTCGAGTGGTTCGTAACTCAAACTAAAAAACATACAACACCACGCTATTCGCACCTGGTCACCCACGGTACTACTCAACGGGCGCTACACGGCTTGTGTATGGTCGATCGGACGAGAGGCCCAATTCTCCGTGTGCTATGGTCGTATGTGCTAATATCAGATTGGAATTAAAAATATAAGCTACCAAAAACACAAGTGTGTATATTTCTGGAAGTAATCGAGGCGCATCACATAGCCGTTCATGTCTGGCCCAGATGTTGAGGACAGTGTTACCCACATGAGCCAGAACAAAGCTCTCAAAAGAGGTAATCAGCTTACGGACTCCAGAGGTCATCACGCGCAGGTCAAGGAAATACAAACTGGCGCCCCCAAGAGACAACCAATCCTTCCGCTCAATTGTGATTGTTCGTACTACCTTGGAATCCGAGTGGCAAGTTAGCAGTCTAAAAATTTGAGCAGGACTGTCCACTCTATATAGATCAGCATCAAGGCTCGGGATTAGGACGACACTTGATAGAAACCTGTATGAATACGTAGCAAGAAACTGCAAAAGATTTGCAATGGAAATATCGGCATGATTAGGTTACTAATAACGTTGCAAAACTTCAGTAGATGGGTTGTTTGGAAAGCTATTTGAGGTTAAAAAGATTGGTGATTTTTAAAACCTTCCCTGCGCGCGTTGTCTCATCTATTCTACCAATAGGTATAGCAAAGCGTACCTCCCGTTGTGTCTAAAAGGTCCTTCAGCGTTGCGTCACCTGCCAGTTTGCCCATGTTGATTTTGTAATCCAGCGTGACATTCTCACCACTGTAGTCGAACAGTAGAATCGGCCCACCGACTTGGTTGAGGCGTGCTCGTACGGAAATACATCAAGGGGGAAATTCCCTATCGTCGCGGCGGGTCGGCTCTGTTGTTATTGGTCCTTTCGTAGCATTCAGAAGACGACCACACCTACATGTGTCGAAGTACGGAGCTTATCAATCGATTGAAAAGGGAAGCAGTCAACTTTCGTACCGGAACCTGGGAAGTCTACTGAGAAACTCAAATCCGCAACGCTTATGCTGTGACACCAACGTCGCATGCGTGCTTTATCCTCGGCAGTAACTAGACACTCAGGAACCATGGTAGGACATGCGTCCTCCGGAATTTGCCTATGCCTATGCCCAATTTTGATATTTCAGCAACTCCCCTAAACATAATATTGACGATATCGAAAAGGCAACAGGCCTAAGTGTCGAATACGCACGGTTTGTGGGATCAAAAATAATGTTGAAGAGTAATGGTCTCGCATCAGGACAATTCGGATCAGGTTGAGAACGGATATGTGTATGTTGGGGGTTGTCTGCTTGAGAACTCTTCACCTGCGATTTTCTAGTATCTTCTGTCTTTCTCAAATGCCTATCATCTTCTTCTCGATGGTTCAATACCTTAGGCATACATAGTAGGATGCTTATCCCTGCAAATGACTTTTAGTCGGACTTTCTAGGCCCATCAGTATATATTTAGTGGCGCGATGCGAACCCCGCCGTCTACCCTACTCTTTGTCCTCATCGACAGCCTACTTCTGCACTCTACACAACCTCCCCTGCTGCGTCGGCAAACCCCCCGTGCCTTCGACAAACCATCTCTCACTCCCCACCATCGTCACCGCATAAAACACTTGCCACGGGTCTCTCTTATCCTTGATCTCCAACAACCGATCATAATTCTTCCCATAAAAGCTCCACTGGAAATTCGGTTCTTCAGTATCCGCCTCGTTCATGTACTATTCTCATCGTTAGAAAGGCCTGCAAGGAGGGCAGGGAAGGGTGGTGGTTGCGGATTGATTGAGGGGTGGAGTAGTGGGTTGGATGCTGCCCAGGTGGGATGGTGGTGGAACCCTGTCATTTCAGGAACACCGCTCCGCCTGGCAGACGAAACCCATATTTCTGTATTCCACACGCCCATACAGCATCCAATCTACATCTGCTTGCAAGGCTGTAGTAGAGGAGAAACTTTTCACTTACAGCGCCTGCCCCAGGGGAAGCATCCCTCCACTTATTCACGTACTCGTTCAGACGGGCGTGATTCTTAATCTGGTCTGCGGGGCTAACCTCCGGGCCGTAGGAATTGGTATCGTAGCCTGTAGCGTGCATGATGGCGTTGCGCAGGTGTGGGTTCACGGCCGAATCGCTGCCGGGCCATCCTGCAATCTCAGTCGTAGGCGTGTAATCGACGCTGTGGAAGTTGTAGCCGCCTTCTTCAACGAAGGCGCGGATGGATGCAATTGTCTTCTGGAAAAGGGGCGAGGTCTTGTCTTCGAGATTCTTGCGAGGGAACAAGCGAGAGCCGAAGCGTCCATTGGTGACGCTCTCGCCAGGGCCCTGAGGGCGGAAGGCTTGCTTGGGGTACGTCTCGTACCAGTCGACGTAGACTTTGAGGGGGATGCCGACATCGTTGAGTTCCTTGATCATGGGGGCTAGGAAGGCTTCTGCCTCAGGTTTGGTCATGCCGGGCAGGTTGATCTGACTTCTGAGCTGATATGTACGGGATGTGTTGGCGGTCGGGGCAATGGTGTCAATGTAGTTCCACCCGACGCCTTTTGCGGATGTGACCTTAGGCAGCCAGGAGAACCAGATGTCGATGCCTTTCCAGAACGCCGTGTCGTTCACTTGCACGTTGTACGGGGCTGTGGTGGGATTGGTGACGGGGCTGGTCTGAAAGTAAACTTGACCTTGGGCGATGGGCATTGTGTCGTGAGCTTTGACGATGGCGGACGTGACAACTCCGAAGTTTCCTTCACGTTATTAGGTGCGTTGCGCTTTAAAAGAAGGAAGAAGAAGAAGAAGAATCGAACGAGCAAAAAGAGAAAAAAAAAGCGATACACTTACCAGGACCTCCACCACGAATAGCCCAAAACAAATCCGCGTTCTCCCAAGGATCGGCGTGTACAAACCTTCCATCAGCGGTCACAACCTGCATGCGGTCCATCAGTACAACCTTCTCACCTGTCGAGGATGGTTTCTTACCTCCAACGAAAGCACCTGGTCACTCATTAGGCCAAGCTTCGAAGTGACCATCGTAGAGAAGCCGCCGCCTTGCATAAACCCCCCATAGGCACCGACTGTCGTTGATCCTGGTGCCACCAAAGTCATGTTATGCTGGGTCATGTACTGATGTAACTCAAACTGCTCGAGAGCAGCCGTGACCTTGGCCGCTTTGCCATTGTACTTGCCGAATTTATAAGAAGGGATATATTCGAGCTGCTTCAGGTTGTGTGTCCAGATCTGAAGCGCACCGCCGCCGGTGTTCCGTCCGAGAAAGTCGTGGCCAGTATTTCTGGTGCATCAGTTAGCCGAAGAATCGGAAGTGGGAGTGGGGACACAAACTTGATTGTGAGACGGAGGTTGTTGTTGCGGGCAAAGTTGACGGCTAGCTGGATTTGCTTTACAGTAGTCACATTGACAACGTAAGCAGGGAAGGCAGTAATGTTGCAAGAATATCCGGGATTGGGAATGGGAGGCACGGGGCAGGGATTTCCCAGCTGCCACTGTCCGTTGGGAATGGTCGGATCGGCTTTGCTGTCTGGTTGTGAGGGGAATCCCGATTGTCGTCGAAGCTTTTCCACTCACGTAAAGTTGGTGCTACCCTGGATGGATCTGATCTGTTCGCATCTCGCGGGGTTGTAATAAGGCCCTTCGTAGCACGCAGCCGCAGGAGGAATGCCCTTCAGCAACGCCCCTCCCAGACTCGCGTTGAAGGCGTTCCACCTGTCGGTGCTGGGCCAATTGGCATCGCTAGCGTACGTCTTGCACCTTGCCTTGTTCACAGCAGGAACAGGAAGCTTTCCAAACGCAAGATCCTTGTTGCCCTTGACATCGGCTTCACTCAGCGTCGTTTGTTCGAAAGGAAAGTTGACAGCGAGGGCCGATTGCGCGAGGCAAAGGAGGGAAACGGCTTGTAAAGGAGACAACATGGCGATAAAGAGGGCTACCTCTCCCAAACAGCTCACAAGGAAAGCTCCTGGCCACGACGCAGAAGATTGGAATGACGGGACAGGACGAGGCTTTTGTAGCATCCTTGGGGGGCAGGGCTTTCCCGAGGCCATCCCTATCTCCGCCCAAGGCTGCTGGAGCACATGCGAGCGGGAGTTGAAATGCAGTGCCTTAACTGGTCTAGGAGGGCTCCTTCCATGACGCCCAGACTGACAACATGTTGCTTTCGCCGCTTGGGTCACTCTCCCCACAAGAGCCACTGTTGAGCCAGAGCTCGTGCGATCCGTTGTTGGGTGCAACGAGTCAGATTTGGTCGCTCCCAGAGCCGCGGGATGCGCATATTACCCAAATGAAGCGTACCTTGTTGCTGTAACTGTGGAGCTATATTTGACGCAGCCCAAGATTGGATGCTTCTACGGGAGCGGTCAAGGCGCGTATTACCCAATGGCGAACGAGTAGGGCTGAGCAAGGTGCTAGGAACAAAGGCATTCTTATTGTCCGCAGAGACAGAGAACTACTTGAAGAAGGCTGGATCCCCACGGACGGGATGCGAGCGGCGGCGTGTCAGACGGAGTATTCGGCCACGTGGGGAGGCCCGGCATAGATCGTGTTGGGGAGGAACTGGCGGCCAGGCGTATGACAGGGCGACTCGTAAAAGCGAATCCTTCGAAAATCCCTTTTGCAATCAGCAATTAGATATTCATGCAGGCTGGCAAGTACATACTTTGACAGGTACCAGGGCAGAGTCTTCGGCCAATGGCACACTGGGTGCTGAAAAATCCGATGCAGGGGAATGTTCACTGTTTGCGCAGTGCAGCACGGGTTGAATCTCACCGACATGCATCATTGTACCATATGCATACATCAATACATACAGTACCTCGAGCGCAGCGCGCGTCTACCAGGCGCGGGAAGATATGAAGCATCACTATGGGAGATTTGTAGGCTTCTCCGGGTCTTTCGTATGCGCAAGAGTGTGCACCTAGCCATGTGAGGTCGTGCCATTCACAGTAGTAATACTAGTAAGTAGGCTAGTGTGGAGTGGAGGGGGAATGGGGCGCGGGAGCTTGTGGGGCTGCCGCAGGGACCAGCAGATGGCTACGGGGAAAACGCGTCCAGTTGTCGTCCCCTTTAAGTTAATAATTCAATTTTTTTCGCGGATGTGGGCAGCCAACATGCGGCGGAATGAACTCTACCTCGCTACGGCATCTTCCCAACGTCTGACGAGCAATCAGGGGCATGGAGAAACTATTATTACGTTTGTCTATTGCCTTCATTAAATCTGTACTAACGCACCCATTCTCGCATTTCCATAGACTGACAGGCAGCGGGCCCCAAGAGGACCCCCATCTCTTGACCATCTAGACGAACACAGAAACCTTGGGAAACATCAGAGTCAGACGAGACCTCCATCTGGGCGGAGCCTTTCCCTCCTAGTCTATTGTGCAATGCATCGAATGCCCTAGCAATGAACCATCGTCTGGCGAATGCTGCTGTTACAGCCTGCCTGCTGCTGCTCCTCATCATCCTAGGTGGGCTACCGCGAGTGCCACGGCGCGATCGTCCCCGTGACTAAGGGTCAAGTCGACTCGCGCGACACCAGCTGCCTTCGCTGCCTCCGCAGCGTCACCGTGGAGCTGTCCCATGTCAGCCTTCTGTACAGAGGGAAGCAACAAAGGGCCCACAAAGGACCATGGCAACATACCTTGACCACTGGTGCTCCAGTCTCATCGTTCAGAATCTCAATCTCCTTCATTGCGGCACCGCCGCCCTTACCCTTCACGTGAAGCGACTTGAAAACGGCCTCTTTGGCGCACCACTTGCCAGTGAAGCTCGCCAGCGGATCCCCTGCTTTTCGGCAATACGCAATCTCTGCTTCCGTGTAGTTGCGTTCCAGGAAAGTCTCGTTCGCGATATTCAGAGAGCTCAGCCTCTCCTCGTCATACCCGACCCTGAAACCCTTGTTCCCAGCTGACGCCTGGAGGGCCTTCGCGATCATCTCCACCCCCGGCGCACTCGTGTCTCTCACAGGAGCCCTAGCGGACTTCTTGGAGCTGTTGAACGTATACTTTGACGTCTCCTGATCAACGCTAGCGCGAGCCTGCGGATTCAGGAATACCTCCTCCATCTTGTCGTCGGCATAAGGTGCCTTGTCCTTGGCACGGAACAGGTTGTTGTTGATGAGCCCGTCGTGGAAGTACCTGTACGCCTTCTTCTGCCGCGCCTCAACCTTTTGCTTGTAAGCAGCATACTCGGCCTGGTCGAGTGTGGCAAAAAGGTATTTCGGATGAACACCAATCACTTGAGCACCCTTCTGGCCGAATCCAAAGGAGGTGACGGAGAAGGCTTTGACACCGTCCGTCTGGATGGTCCGGGAAGGATAGAGAATGTAATCAAACTTCTCAAGTACCTGGTCGACGTTGTCCGCATTACGGTTGCCAGGGACCAAGCCGGTGTTGAGGACTTGCAGGCACCCATTCATCATCCACGCGCCTGCAGCGCCCTTGGGGTGGCCAGTGAGCCACTTCTGGAAGATTCCAAGGAGCGCGTTGCCTTTGGACCGGCCCAGGTGGGACATTTGCTGGTTGATGACGTCGGACTCGTTCTTGTCGTTTGCAACGGTCGAAGTGCCGTGGAAGGAGGCAACGCCAAGGTCGTCTATGGTGAGGTTCCATGTTGCCAGAGCGCCACGAAGGGGCGCAATGGTCGGGTCTTGCTTCCAGAAGCTGTTGCCATAGTGATTGAGGGCTTCCTTCTCCGCAGACTTGGCCTCTTGTCTGATCTGAGCGACGCGATGCTCCCAATATGCCGACTCATCGAACGGGTGGGAGGGGTCAGCACGCGACTTGTGGGCTTCGATCTCGTCCTTCAGATCGCTGATATCGGACTCGAGGTTCCGCTGGATGGCTTCGAGCCGCTTTTCCAGACGGCGCCTTCTGTACTTGATGTCGAGCTTCGGGGAGGGGAATGCCGAGGGCGACTCCCGGGCCGTGGTGAGGACACCTTTGCCTGGGGCAGGAACCGAACGACCAATCTTGTCGGTTGCCGTAGTAGTCAAGGCGACGATTCCGTAGATGGGGACACCCATATCTAGGGCCAGCCTGGCATCCATGAGCACCTGGACACCACAGCCCTGAGCCTCCATAAACCCGTTCCTGGTGGTCGTCGTGGGTCGGGACATCTCTTTCGCGGTGCGCCCACGGGCAAACTCGTCGTCGGCGTTGCTAGTGGCCTTCATGTTGGCGAATTCGTAGGAACCTTCCTCCTGGAAATCGTCAAACCCTCCCACGAGGCACATGCGAGCCTTGCCCTGCACAATGGTATCGTAGCCAATGTCAATCGACTCAACAGCAGTAGCGCAGGCGCCGACGGGCGTCTTGATGGGACCCGTGGAGGAAAGCAGCAGCATGTTCACCCACGCGCTCATCGTATTGATGAAGGACTCTTGCAGGATGTCCTTTTGGAGCGGTTTGTCGAGATATCGGTCCTTGTACATTCCCCGGAGGGCACTTGTACCACCGATACCAGAGCCGATACAGTTGCCAACCTGTGACAGGTGCACATAGCGGTACAACTCATATGGGTCGGTGATGCCGCTCGTCAAGAGCGCCTCGGACACGCAGACAAGGGTGAAGAGGGTGACAGGGTCCACCTGGGAGATGATGTCCTCAGGGACGCCGTATTTCCTTGCATCCCAGCCTGTTGGGATCTGACCGGCGACCAGACGGTCAAACCGCAAGGCCTTTGGAATCTGGATAATGGCACCCTTCTTCAGCCGGACCGAGTATTGGTCGGAGCCGGGAATTTCGAAGATCTCCACATGGTCCCCGTGCTTCCGCCGGAACTCCTCAGCATTCTCCTTGGATGCTTCGAAGGGGTCCAGATCGGCCTCGATTTGTACTTCCTGGAGGAGCTCCTTCTTCTCGGGGTCGTACCCGTTGAACAGCTCCGGCTCGATGAGACGGATGCCCGAATGCTCAAGGATGTACTTCTCGTACTTGGCTTTGATGTCGCGGTCTTCGACAGGCTCACCGGACTTGGCATCGACCCATCCAGAGTAATGGTTACCCTTGTACGGGCCATTGTGGTTCTTGATCAGGCCCATGATCCAGGCCATCTCTACACAGCCTTCCAGGGTGAACTGTCCATGAGCCTCCATCTCCCAGCGTGTCCTCGCGTTGCCCCAAGGTCCGACTTCCGAGAAGCCGGTGACGACGACCACCCTCTCAAGGTCAACCATACCCTTCAAGTCCTCGTTCAGAGGCTTGACTTCCTTTTCCCAGTCTGGAAGTTTGGGGAATTCGAACTTCAGATTGGCTCTCGGCTGGACGGTGACCTTGCGGTACAAGGCCTCGTTTGCTTCCCCATTGACAACTTTGTTCTCGATGGCGTTCTCCTTGATGACGGCCTTGCGCACCTCGCTTGTCTCCATGTATTCTTTGCGGAGGTCGGTCATGACGTCCTTGAGATTGTGAATGTATTGGAACCCGCCGTTCAAGTCAGCCCAGACGGGCTCCACCTGGCAGAGATTGGCAATCGACGGCGCCATGAGGCCGAGCAAGTTGAAGGCCATCTCGGCTTGTGAGAATGTCCGGACGCCGTACTTCTCAATACCCTCGGCGACAATGTTGTTGCCCGCCATCAGGCCGGTACCGCGGGTCCAGCCAATGACTGCGCCGCAGATGGTGAGGAAGTTGCCCCAACTCTCCGAGTGCCATCTCGTGAACAGCGTCTCGAGAGCGATCTTGGACTCTGGATACAATCCATCGTTGCCAAAGGTGCCGTGGTTGGGCGACAGAGGAAGAATGACCTGGGCGGGCCGGGTCTCGTATCCATGGGCTTGCTTCTGAGTCTTGATGGCACCAAGAAGACGGAGAAGGTTGGTCAACATGATGCGATGAGCGAGTTCGGACTTGGAGTCGAGACCGTCGATTTCTCGGCCATTTTCCGAGATGGCGGCGAAGGGTATGACAATGTCCAAATCCCAGCCGAGGCCGTTGTTGGAGTCGTAGATGTAATCCACCAGGGCCTGGACGTCCTGCTTGCTGCCCTGGTTGAAGGGAACAACAATCAATTGCGAGCCCTTGGCGCCATATCGAGCGTAGATGGATTGGTAGTATTCGTTGACCTGACGCGAGAATCGTGAGGTGGTCACGACGACCTTGGCACCTCCACTGATCAATCCTTGCAGCACTTCGGCGCCAATAGACCCGGCGCCTGCACCAGTCAAGAGAGCATACTTGCCCTGGAAGCTGAGGCCCTCGTGGGCGGCCTTCTCCAGCGTGCTGAGATAGATGTTGGTCAACCTCTTGCTGTAATCCCAACCATTGTCATCCTTCCTCTTGAGATGGATGTAAGGGACCGTCTCCACCCTGCCCTGCTTCTGGGGGCTAGGCACGCGACCGTTACGACCCTTCTTGATGATACCGTTCGGGGTTTTGCCGTTCTCGTTTGGCAGCATCTGGCCCTCGTTCATGGCGAGCGCTCGCAAGACGCTCCCATAGAGGTTCTTGACCTGCATCTTGGAGGACTTGGAGAGTTTCTGCTGTCCCTTGATGAGTTTGTAGATGCGTTGTAGGTCGTACTGGACCTTGGTGCGGTTGTTGTATTCGGAGAGCTTGCCGCCCTCTGCCATCTCGGTGACGTACTGCTCGAACTTGCGGATATTGGCTCGGGGAATCTCGCTGTAGTTGAGGTTTCCCTTGGCATCGATCTCGAGGTGAGGGGCGGTGGGCTTGGAGACTTCCTTGTACACGGTCAAGCCCTTGTCGAGGATCTCTCTGCAGTTGTTGATGAGGTCTTGGCCCAGCTCCTTTGCCAGCTGGTACGTCTCGCCACGTTCCGTGGGACAGTGATCGATGTGATACTGCATGAATTCGAGAAGTGTGGGGTTCGCGCGATTCATGATGGCGATGCAGCGGCTCACAATCTCTCGATCGACCGTCTTGAGCCGCCCGAAGATGATGTCGTAGTACATGCTGAGGGCGTCCTGACGGGCCCAATTCCAGGCAGAGTCGTAGACGCGAGCCTTCTTGGGTGTGAATTGCGGCTCAATTCCCGCGGCATAGAATTCGCCGTGCTCTGCGTTCCACAGGTCGAGCTGGTTCTGCAGAACGGCGTTGGCTTGCTCGGTGACGAAAGCGGCCTTGTCCCCAGCCCGAAGGTCCATTTTGAGATAGCTCGCGAACAGCTCGAGCTGCTTCTTGAACAGCATGCGCTGGTCCTGGGTCAGAGCATCGATGGCGGCGGGATCCATCATCATGCCGGCTCCTGGGCCGCCAGCATCGCCTCCGGCGGCGGGAGCGGACAGGTTGATGCCGGCATGGGCAGCATATTTGTTGGCCATGTCGTCCAGCCACGCCTTTGTGTCATTGTCGGATTTGAAGCGCTGTGCGGGTTCGAAGGTGATGGCGAGAAGAAGGACGCCGTTCTGGCGACCCTGGGGGAGCCCCCACCTGGTCTCGAGGTATTTCCGCACGCCGCTCATACCGAACGAGTTGGGCACCTTGGACGAGACGACGCGGGCGATCAGGCCCTGGGACGTCTTGCCGAGCTCACCGTTGAAGGTTTGCTGCATCGATGCACCCAGCTCATCCAAGGGCGTATCTTCGGGCTTCTCGGGGGTGGAGCCAAACTCCTTGCCCAGGTCTCCGAGAATCTCATTCTGGAGAGTAGACTTGCCTGCAAGTGATGACACGGTCAGCGGGTGTTACAGGAAGGGTGTTGGGAAGGGGCTGTGTCTCACGCACCTCCAACGAGGTCCTTGATGGCCTTGTTCAAGGGAATTTCCAGCAGAGGCTTCTTCAGCTTCTGGGCGATGATGGCCCGCAGGATATCCGTGGCCGTGACGGGGGCATCGGCGACCTGGGCGGCGGGGCCCACGCTGGCAGCGGGAGCGGGTGCTGCAGAGGGAGCGGGGGGTGCGGATGAGGGAGCAGCGGGCGTGGCGGCGGGGGCGGCGTCGGCGGCAGGTGGGCCAGGCTGCTCGTCGTCGACAACCGGGTCGACATCGTAGTAGATTTCCTTTGCGTCCTTGCTGTAGGAGAGGATCTGGCGCGAGATGTTTTTGGCGGCATCGTGGGGTTCCCAATGGAATTTGAGGGTCCGCCTTGCCATGTTGGCCAGGGTCTGGTCGGGCCCGACTTCGACGATGCGCTGGGTGCCATGGCCGAGGATGACATTCTGAGTCTCAATCCACCTCACGGGCGAGGCGAATTGGTATGCCAGAAGCTCGACGAGCAGCGTATGGGCGAGCTCCTGCTCGACTTCGGGCCTCATGTCGGCGGTCTGCGGGATGGATGGGAGACGTGCCCGTGGGATGGGAGATGGGGTATAGCGGAACGAAGCGGCAACGACGTCGTCGGTCGAAGAGGAGAAGAAGGGAAGGACGACGACGAGGGTATCAAGGGGTTGGGCAGGAGTGGAATTGGCGGGAGGTCTGCTCGGGTTGGTGTTGAGGTGGTGGTGCGTGGAGGAATGTGGAATGTGCCCAATGCAGCCCTTGCTATAGGCAGGTGCGAGGGGAGGGGGAAAAGAGGGAGAAGAGTGAGGAGTGGTGAGTGGGTTGAGCAATTGATGACGAGGCGGAGGAAGGAAGAGGAGGGATGGAAGCCGGGCCGGAAGGGAGGGGGATGGACAGTAGAGAAAAGAAGTTGGTGGAGGAGGGGAGGGAGAGGAGAGAGGAGCACTTGAGGAGGAGAAACGGCCGTTGGTCCGAGTGATAGGGTAGACTAGGAAGACGTCTTGTGTGGGCCGTTGTTGCCTCAATCAGACATGGATGATGGATCGCATCCCTCTCTCTCTCTCTTTTCTCCTCCATCGCAGAAATCCGCGGGGCCCGTGCGCAAGGGTCTGTACTGTGGTAAACATTGCGAAAAAAATTCCATGGGATGCGGTCAATCGATGACTACGCTAAGCCCGTTGCGAGCAAGCTTGCGAGGGGGCGAGGCTAGCGTCGAAGCTTGCGATTGGCGAGGCCCCGTTCCCGCAGGCCTGTGGGTCCTCGTAGCTTGGCCAAGGCTCGCAAGCTTCTCCCCCAGCTGTGCCCCGGCCGCCCAGGGCCCCATTAAAAAAAAATACTGGACCTGCATTCCGCCGCCTCCCGAGCCATTGCCGGTGTACACAGTAAGTATTACACCGTACTGTACACAGGACGATACGCAATACCCCTCCCCTCCTCCATCCGCCCATTCTTCTTCCTCTCCTCCGATCCCTTCCTATCTACCGCCTCTCCAAACTGCCATCCTTCTCCTCCCCTTCTCCGCCTCTCATCCTTTCTTTACTTTCCCTCTCTCCCTTCTCTCAAGCATTCAATTGCACCCCTCCTTCCTCCCCTCAACAGACGGGAACCTGGAAGCTGTCCAAACCATCATCCGAGCCCCCTCAATTGCTCATCTCCTCTGCCTCTCTCCTCTCCCCTCTCCTTCGTCACCAACGCCAGCTCGGAGCGACGGTGTACTCTACACAACTGGGTCCTGGGTGACAACTCGATCCGACTTCTCCAACTCTGTGCTGGTAGATTAGCTTCTACCCAGCTCCAAGAGTCCTTAGGCAGTGTTTTGCTTCTTCAGCGTACGTCCTCCCTCCTTCGTTCCTTCCTTCCTTCCTTCCTTCCTTACTTCCTTCGCTCCTTCCGCCTACATCAATCCCCCCACTCCAATCCACTTTTCGGCTCTCCGAACCTCTCAAAACATTAAACCCCCCCCCCCCCCCCCCAAACACTCGCTCACACGCCCTTTGCCAGCTTCCACCATCCCCGAGTTCCGCCTCTCCCCCCCGCCGCTCCTCGCCCACAATGTACCCCTCCGGTCCCCAAACGGGCGTCTCGACGCCGCGCACCCAGGCCTCGCCGCGACCCCTCACCCTCTCCCACGGCTCGCTCGAGTACACGCTCCTTGTCCCAACCGCCCAGCACTTCCATGCCCAGCAGTTGCGCGACGCCTTCAAGGCCACCCTTCCCGAACCCACCGACGAGCTCGCACAGGACGATGAGCCCTCTTCCGTCCCCGAGTTGGTCGCCCGCTACCTCGGTTTCGTTGCCGCTCAGATCGACGAGAGCGACGACCCGGAAATCCTAGAGTCAATCCTCAACACCGTCCTCAACGAGTTTGAGCGTGCCTTCCTCGGCGGAAACGACGTCCACGCCTTGGTTGCCTCGCTCCCCGGCATCACCCAAAAGAAGCTCCTCACCGTCTCGTCATACTATACCGCCCGTTCGGCCACAGACCGCCCCATCAAGGGCCATGAATCCGCTCTGCTGCGCGAGGCCGCCGAGGGAAACGCCCGCATCTACGCCGTCCTGGGTGGCCAGGGCAATATCGAGGAGTATTTCGACGAGCTTCGCGAGATCTACACCACCTATCCCTCCATGGTCGGCGATTTCGTGCGTGAAGCCGCCAAGCTGCTGCTCGCTCTCGCCCGCGACCCCCGCGCGGAGAAGATGTATCCCAAGGGCCTCGATGTCATGCGCTGGCTGAACAACAAGGAGTCGCAACCAGATACCCCTTATCTGGTTTCCGCCCCCGTCAGTCTGCCCCTGATCGGCTTGACCCAATTGTCACATTACGTCGTCACCTGCAGGGCCTTGGGCTGCACGCCAGGTCAATTCCGGTCGAGACTGACCGGCGTGACCGGTCATTCGCAAGGTGTCGTCACGGCTGCCGCCATTGCCGCCGGCAAGGACTGGGACACGTTTGCGCTGGCGGCCAAGAATGCCATCACCATACTCTTCTGGATCGGGACCCGGAGCCAGCAAGCCTATCCCCGCACCTCGCTGGCCCCGAATACGCTGCAGGACTCGGTGAACCATGACGAGGGCGAACCTACGCCCATGTTGTCCATTCGGGACCTGTCCAGGAAGGCGGTTCAGGACCATGTCGACGCAACCAACGCCCACCTCCCCGAGCACCAGCGAATCTCCATCTCCCTCGTCAACAGTGCCCGGAATTTTGTCGTCACGGGTCCTCCCAACTCCCTCCACGGCCTCAACCTGCGTCTGCGCAAGGTCAAGGCCGACACGAGCCTCAACCAGGCCAGGATCCCGTTCAGTGAGCGCAAGGCCCGCTTCGTGAATCGCTTCTTGCCCATCACCGCGCCTTTCCATAGCCCATACCTGGCCGAGGCGACCAAGCAGCTCGAGGATGACCTGACAGATGTCGTGATCCCCGGGAGCAGCCTTGGGATCCCCATGTACGACACCAGCACCGGCAAGGACGTCCGCGAAGAGGCCCCGGACAACATTGTGCCCAACCTCGTCCGCATGATCACCACGGATCCGGTGGACTGGGAGAAGGCGACCGTTTTCCCCAGAGCGACGCACATTCTCGACTTTGGACCTGGAGGCATCTCCGGCCTGGGCGTCTTGACCAACCGCAACAAGGAAGGTACAGGCGTCCGTGTCATTCTGGCTGGCACCATTGACGGGTCCAACCCCGAGGTGGGCTACAAGCCCGAGCTATTTGACAGAGATGCAGAGCACGCTGTCCGCTATGCTCAGAACTGGCTCGACGAGTATCGCCCGCGCCTCGTGAAGACGTCAACGGGCCAGACTTTCGTCGACACCAAGATGAGCAGGATGCTTGGTCTTCCGCCAGTCATGGTCGCCGGTATGACGCCCACCACCGTCCCGTGGGACTTCGTTGCGGCCACCATGAATGCCGGTTACGTCATCGAACTCGCCGGCGGTGGTTACTTCGATGAGCGGATGATGGTTGCGGCGATTGAGAAGATCGAAGCCGCGATCCCCGCTGGTCGTGGAATCACGGTGAACCTCATCTACGTCAATCCGGTTGCCATGCAGTGGCAGATTCCTATGATCAAGAAGCTTCGAGACAGAGGCATCCCCATCGAGGGTCTGACCATCGGTGCGGGTGTGCCATCCATTGATGTGGCGAACGAGTACATTCGCACGCTGGGAATCAAGCGCATCGCTTTCAAACCCGGCTCCGTGGAGGCGATTCAGGCGACGGTCAACATTGCCAAGGCCAATCCCGGCTTTCCCGTTGTGTTGCAGTGGACTGGTGGCCGTGGCGGTGGCCATCATTCCTTCGAAGACTTCCACCAGCCTATCCTCCAGATGTACAGCCGTGTTCGCAAATGCGAGAATCTCGTCCTCGTCGCAGGGTCCGGATTCGGCGGCGCCGAGGACACCTACCCTTACCTCACCGGAGAATGGTCCACACGCTTCGGCTATCCTCCTATGCCATTTGACGGCTGCATGTTCGGTAGCCGTATGATGACCGCCAAAGAGGCCCATACGGCAAAGAAGGCGAAGGAGGCCATTGTCAACGCGCCCGGCGTGGGAGATGAGGAGTGGGAGAAGACGTACAAGGGACCTGCGGGCGGCGTCGTCACCGTCATGTCCGAGATGGGCGAGCCCATTCATAAGCTGGCCACGCGTGGCGTCCTGTTCTGGAAAGAAATGGACGACAAGATCTTCAGCCTTTCCAAACCCAAGATGGTCGAACAATTGAAGAAGAAGAGGAATTACATCATCGAAAGGCTCAACAAGGACTTCCAGAAGGTCTGGTTCGGGCGCAACAAGAAGGGCGAGTCCGTGGATCTCGAGGACATGACGTACACTGAAGTTGTCGAACGTATGGTGGAGCTGATGTACGTCAGACACCAGTCGCGCTGGATCGACGTGAGCTTGATGCGCTTGACTGGCGATTTCATCCGTCGCGTCGAGGAACGCTTCAGCAAAGAGGATCGACCCTCCGTCATTCAGAGTTTTCAGGAGCTCCTGGACCCGTACGCTGTCATCGCCAAGATCTCGGAAGCGTACCCGGAGGCGTCGCAGCAGCTGATAAGCGCCCAAGATGTCCAGCATTTCCTCATGTTGTGCCAACGCCGTACTCAGAAGCCCGTTCCGTTCATTCCTGTGCTCGACGAGAATTTCCCCGTATATTTCAAGAAGGATTCGCTCTGGCAGTCCGAGGACCTGGACGCAGTTGTTGACCAAGACGTTGGACGGACATGTATCCTGCAAGGCCCCATGGCGGTGAAGTACTCGACAAAGGTGGATGAGCCGATTAAAGAGATCCTCGACGGCATTCACCAAAAGCACATCCAGTATCTTCTGCGCGATGTTTACGGCGGTGATGAGTCGAAGATACCTTGTATTGAGTACTTTGGAGGGAAGCCAATAGGTACGCCCGAGGCCGTGGATGTGGACGGCCTCGATGTCTTGGAGAAAGAGAATCGAGTCATGTACCGCCTTTCCCACGATCCCAAGTCTGTCCTGCCGGATGTGCAGTCATGGCTGCAACTCCTTGCTGGCAAGACGTATTCATGGAGGCATGCCTTCTTCACTGCGGACATCTTCGTCCAGGGAAAACGATTCCAGACCAACCCGACGCAGAGAATATTTGCCCCCACGCATGGCATGACGGTTGAAATCACGTATCCCAATGAACCAGCCAAGTCCGTCATCACGCTCATGGAGCCCAATCATGGCAAGTTGGTCAAGACCATTGAGGTCAGCATTTCCAAGGGTAACGAAATCCAACTCAATCTGTGTGAGGGACGGACCGCCTCGGGAGTGCCTGATGCGCTCCCTCTCAAGTTCCAGTACCGTCCCGATGTCGGCTACGCCCCAATCCATGAAATCATGGAGGGCCGCAATGATAGAATCAAGGAATTCTATTACAGGATCTGGTTCGGTGACGAGGCTTGTCCCTTCGATACTCCCTTGACTTCTCGGTTCGACGGTGGCCGTGCCACCGTCACCAGCGAGGCCATCAACGACTTTGTCCACGCAGTCGGCAACACCGGCGAGGATTTCGTGGATCGCCCCGAAAAGGAAGTGCTTGCGCCAATGGACTTCGCCATCGTGGCGGGTTGGAAAGCTATCACCAAGCCCATCTTCCCTCGGGCCATTGACGGCGATCTGCTCAAGCTCGTTCATCTTTCCAATGGCTTCCGCATGCTACCCGGCGCCAAACCGCTCAGGAAGGGAGATGTACTGGATACCACCGCTCGCATCAACGCGGTTCTCAACCAGGACTCCGGTAAGATGGTGGAGGTGTGTGGGACCCTTACGCGGGACGGCCTGCCAGTCATGGAAGTCACTAGCCAGTTCCTGTATCGTGGTGCGTACAGCGACTTTGAGAATACCTTTCAGCGCAAGATCGAGACGCCCATGCAGCTCCATCTTGCAACCAAGAAGGATGTCGCCATCCTCAGCTCCAAGGAATGGTTCAATCTGGAAGAGCCAGGATTTTCGCTCTTGAACGAGACGTTGACCTTCAAGTTGCAGAGCTTGGTAAGATACAAATCCAAGACGGTCTTCAGCAGTGTCGAGACCATTGGTCAAGTCCTGCTGGAGCTTCCAACCAAGGAGATCATCCAGATTGCCTCCGTCCACTACGTGGCTGGCGAGTCGCACGGGAACCCCGTTCTGGACTATCTGCAGCGCAACGGCTATGCCCTTGATCAGCCGGTCCATTTCGAGAACCCGATTCCTTTGCACCACAAGACACCGCTCACACTGAAGGCTCCAGCATCAAATGAAACCTACGCTCGCGTATCCGGAGACTATAACCCCATCCATGTCTCGCGCGTCTTCTCACAGTATGCAAACCTGCCTGGCACAATCACCCATGGCATGTACACTAGCGCTGCAGTGCGTAGCTTCGTGGAAACCTGGGCTGCGGACAACAATACTGGTCGCGTTCGCAGCTACCACGTCAATCTCGTCGGGATGGTACTGCCAGACAATCTGCTTGACATCAACCTCCAGCATGTAGGAATGGTCTCCGGCCGCAAGATTATCAAGATCGAGGTGATCAACAAGGACACGGAGGAGAAGGTCCTTGTAGGTGAGGCTGAGGTCGAGCAGCCGACCACGTCGTACGTGTTTACCGGCCAAGGTTCGCAAGAGCAGGGTATGGGTATGGATCTGTACAACAGCAGCCCCGTTGCGAAGGAAGTGTGGGACCGTGCTGATAAGCACTTCATGGATAACTACGGTGCGCATTCTTCCTGTGGTGGATGCGCGAATGCAAGCTAACATTGGATAGGTTTCGCCATTACAAACATCGTGAAGAACAATCCCAAGGAACTCACCATCCACTTCGGAGGTCCCCGTGGCAAGGCGATTCGTCAGAACTACATGTCCATGACGTTCGAGACGGTCAACGCAAATGGCGAGACCAAGACGGAGAGGATCTTCAAGGATATTGACGAGGACACGCCGTCGTACACGTACCGCGCACCCAATGGCCTGCTATCGGCTACGCAATTCACCCAACCAGCGCTCACACTCATGGAGAAGGCTTCTTTTGAGGATATGCGCGCGAAGGGCCTCGTCCAACGCGATAGCAGTTTTGCTGGACACTCGCTGGGCGAGTATTCCGCGCTGGCCGCGCTGGCAGAAGTCATGCCCATCGAGAGTTTGGTTTCCGTGGTGTTCTACCGTGGCTTGACCATGCAGGTCGCTGTGGAGCGTGACGAGGCTGGCAGGTCTAATTACTCCATGGTGGCGGTTAACCCGAGCCGGGTGCACAAGACATTCAGTGAGGAAGCGCTGAAGTACGTGGTCGGCATTGTCGCGGAGCAGACAAAATGGCTCCTCGAGATTGTCAACTACAACGTCGCCCACATGCAATATGTCGCAGCCGGGGATCTGCGAGCATTGGACTGTCTGATCAACGTCCTCAGCTTCATCCACAAGGAGAAGATCGACATCCAGGCGCTCCAGCAGACGTTATCCCTGGAACAAGTCAAGACACACCTTGTAGAGATCATTCGGGGCGCCGCGGAGAGAACCGAAGCCAAACCCAAGCCCCTCGAACTCCAGCCTGGAGTCGGGACCGTCCCTCTCAAGGGCATCGACGTCCCCTTCCACAGCACGTTCTTGCGTTCCGGTGTGAAACCATTCCGAAGCTTCCTGCTCAAGAAGATTCTCAAGACATCCATTGATCCCTCCAAGCTGGTCGGCAAATACATTCCCAACGTGACGGCCAAGCCGTTTGAACTCACCAAGGAATACTTTGAAGACGTGTACCGGCTAACCAATTCTCCAAGGCTCGCGAAGATCATTGCAAATTGGGACAGCTATGAGGATAAGGAGAAGGTGAAGCAGGCTGCATGAGATCGTCGGCGTCACGGACGGGTGTTGCGTTTGTTAGATGGACATTGTTACTGGAAATACTCCTTCAACGTAGGGACGGTTCTAGACGGATGTTGCCCTTTTCTGTTTTCAATGTAATAAGATAGTTTGTAATAGCCACCTTTGCTAAGGATCAAGATGGCACACAATCTTCCCGCGGTCGCCTCTCCTCCTGGTGGAGGAGCTCCATTGCGTGTTTGAAACACATCCACCGCCATTGTAGATCAAACAGTTTGACCATGCTCTATGATAATAAATGAAAACACAGCCCCAGATAGCGTGGACATTTTTGGCACCCCGCCCCAGCTGCAGGCACCCAAGCTTCACCTTGCCAAGTAGGTTGTTGGTGAGGCTCCAAATCGACGCGACGCCACAGTCGCAAGCCACAGACAGATCTATAGATCCCCGAAACCCCACAACTTTTGTTTACAGGGCAACGAGCTGCCACACGTTTGGCTCCCTCCCCCACAGGCGCCGCAACGGCCTTCCCCTCTCTCTTCCTGCCTCCGCCCATCGATTCTGAGTGGCAGAAATGGCCCGTGGATCCATTACGCCCATGGACTTTGAGTGGGACAACAGAACCGGGCCAATTGACAGCCACTCTCCATTGATCACTGCTGCCAGCGCTGCCAAAAAGCGTACGTGCCCTTCAGATGTCCTTTCCGACGCCCCTCTGGTCCACCGAGAGTAAGGCGGCAGCTAATGTTCAGGCCGACAGGTCCACACTCCGTACTCGACTCGTCCTCCAAAAGCGCTTTCCACACCCCGAACCGACCACAGCTGCGCGAGCCCCATTCGGAACACTTCTTGTTTTCGCAGCAGAAGCCATTGACGGCAGTGCCAGCGCATCTGCAGAACAGCCCTTGGGAGCCGCGTACACCCTCGAATACCTTTGACTTCAGTTCAGGCGGAGAAACGCCAAATACGCCTGCACAGGAGAGCGAGTGCGCGACACCGGACACACAGATAGCGGAGAGGATGGGCCGTTTGATGAGCGGAGAGGAGCTGAGCACAAGTCCCAAGAAGAATCGGCGTGACAGCTGGATGGCTCTCAAATCCGTGTTTTCGTCCAGCTCCAGCCCTGCAAAGGAGACCCGGAAACCGTACAGTACCAAAGCCGAACATCGGGTGATGAAGCGTCGCTCCAAGAACCGAAAAAGCAACTTGCGGGACGGCTATGAATCGGACAACACGCAGCTAGGTATACACACCGGTAACCACCAGAACACAGAGAGACCTGGCTACGCGCGCCAGGCCGGCGACCTCCTCTCCTGGGTTGAGGCTCACCCGCAGCTGCCATCGGTGTTATCGACCTGGTTTCAACTCATAGTGAACGCCCTTCTCGGCCTAACGGTTCTCTACATCATCTATATATTTTACTCTGGTGTTCAAGCAGACATAGGTATCGAGGCGAAGAAGCATGAAGCTGAAGCCATGCGGGAGATTTCCGTCTGCCACAAGTCATACCGCGAGAATCGCTGCGATCCCGACACACGAGTCCCCGCCATGGAGTCTGCTTGTGGAGCTTGGGAAGTGTGCATGAGTCGCGACCCAAAAGCAATCGCCCGAGCCAGCGTTTCTGCGAAAACTTTCGCCCAGATATTCAATGCATTTGTCCAGGAATTCAGCTACAAGAGCATGGTAGGCCTAGTCTTCTTCTTCCCCCTTTTGTACCTTTCCATCATCTTACCCCTGGAGCGAAATCGTCGTTTAAACTGTCAACATCGTCACGATGATTCATCACGTCATCCTCCTGCGAGTCCTGGGTCAGGCTTCTGGTTCCAGAAGGCGGTAGACGGACAAAAGTGGCGGATTGAGCAGCACGAGCAGCAGAAGGAGCGGAAGGGGCACAAGTGTGACTTGCCATTGCTGCGGCAAGAGTAGCGTATCTCTTCCTATAACTGTGGCTTGACGAACCCCTTGAGCACCATGGACTCGTACAACATTTCCCAATATGGCTGACCATTCCTCGTCTAGATCTTCTGCGCCATTCTCATCTTTGGCGGCTTCAACTTGTCCAACTGGGCTTTTGGCGTGCTACGTGCGAAACATCAACAGCAATATCATCCCACCCACACACAACCCGATTTCTTTGGGCCACCAGCGACCCCTCAGCGCCAACCAAGTGGCGGTTTTCTCGAACCCCAGAGCTTTTACACGCATCACACGCCGTTTCACACACCATATTCCACAAACTTGGCGGCTAAGAGCTTACCTGCGGTGCCATCGATACCGGATAGCTCCAATGGGCTGGTGGATGGAGAAAGAGAACCTGGGAAAGAGAAGGTGAAGAGCAGGAGCCCGGTGAAGAGAAGACTGTTTGGGTGAAACACCTATTGAGCATATTTTGGCAGGCGTTATGTGGGTTTCCTTTTCACGCGCAGGGCTAGGGTGTTTGCGCATGTACACTTTGAGGGTTTGTAGGCTGAAATCGGCCGGTTTGGATGGTTGAATGATGGCATGACTTATTCGTCTCTCACTTTCTGGGACCTCCTATCAGTATACTTGTGCACGTGAAGCCTTATGGAAACAAAACTGCGGGTCGAGTGTGGACGTAATACGGGGAAGGGTCCGATTCCGGTTCCCCCATCTTTTGTAAGCGACACAACATAACCTGCACGGAGTGAATTACAACTAGTTGTGCAAAGGAAAGACGACCTCAAATCATCTAAATCAATGCAGAATGTGGTCATTGTCCGTTCGAAACCAAAACCACTCGAATGGTTCTGGTCCGCCAAGTCGATCCGCTCACGCTACCCCTGTCGCTGGGAACAAGCCCACTTTGGTTCCATTCTTTGAGCAGCACGTCAAGGTCAAGCTCTCCTGCCAGACGCCACCATTTGGATCCCTACTTTCCAACCTTTCAAACTCCTGGACCAAGCGCACCGTCACGAAGCTTGCCTCGGTCAAAGCATATTGCTGTCCCAAGCAGATGCGGGGGCCGCCATTGAAGGGCAGATACTCCCATCCGGGTCGCAACTTCTCCCAACGCTCGGGACGATACTCATTGGCGTCAGGGCCATAGATGTCGGTCCGGCGGTGCATGGCATAAGGACTGTATGCTACTACAGTGCCGCGAGGCACAAAGAGTGGAGACTGACCATCTTTGCCGCCGCCGCAGGGCAGGACGGTATCGCGGATGGCGTAACGCGAGTTTCCGGGCACAACAGGGTGAATACGTAGGGCTTGATGACAGGGTCAGCATCTGGTACTCCGTAGGGATGAGGCAGATGATCAAGTTCGGCGACATTTGTGCGTGATTCGGCGATATTGGTTGACGACAAGGGGGAGAGAGAGAGAGCACAGACTTACACTCGTTCAAGCACCACTTTACATATTTCAACCCCCTCAGCTCCTCATACGTCGGCATGCGGCCTTGCAACACGGCCACCTCTTCCCTCATCTTCTGCCAGATATCCGGCCTCTTGGCAACCTCGAAGAACATGTTGCTCAGCAAGCTCGCTGTGGTGTCTCTACCAGCAAGCAAGATATTGATGAGCTCATCGCGGATCCGTTTCTTGTCTTGCGTCTGCTTGGCCAATTCGTGGATGAAGACATAACGCTCCTCCTTGTGCTTCTTGGGCTCCCCTGCGGCGGCGGCGCTCTCAGCATCCTGCTGCTGACGCCAGCGCACCGCATCATCGACCCACTTGTCCACATAGGCATGGCAGATGCGGATGGCTTCCTCGCCATCCCTGGTGTTGCCGAAGAAGCGGTACAGAGGCCCAAAGCGAAGACGCGTCAAGACGTCGGCCTGGGCGTAGTTGAAGGCTTTGGCGAAAATGGCGTCCTCATTCGCCTCCTCGTTTTGGCCAAACATGCGCAGGCTGTTCGTCGAATGGTTGAAGAGGAATTCCGTCGCCGTATCAATGGTCATGCGGAAGAAGAGATCCTGCAGGTCCACCGGGGATCCGTCCTTGGGTATGTGCTTGAGCAGCAACTTGAAATGCCGCTCGAAGCTGTCCAAGTCGGCGACCTGGTCGCGCGCAAAATTGGGCCGGAGCAGGTGACGCGAGTTGGCCCACCTCATGCCATCCGAGTTGAAGATGCCTTCGCCGAGCAGGGGCGTCAGGGCCGTGTACCGCGCCCCAAAACTGTAGTCCTTGAACTTGAGACTCAGGATGGTCTTGACGTTCTCTGGCTCAATGGTCACGATCAAAGGCATGGTTACCATGCGCGAATGGAACGTATTTGACCGGAAGTTCTGAAAGCGCTGCTGGTTGCCTTCCAGTATGGTACACTCACGGCTCCTCCTGAGTTGGTCGCGCAGCACATCGATGCCTAGGAAAGGGTCCTTGTTGTACACATGCGGACATGGTTCGCAGCCGTTCTCCTTGATGATGCGCCGCCGTGCGAGATAAAGGGAGAGTTGACGGACGAGGGCGAATCCTACGACGACGGCAGCGGCGAGGTACAAGACCATGATTCGGTCTTTAGAGGCTGTGGCCAGCAAAGAGGGGTTTGGGTGTCCATTGGAAGGGGGTGGATGGGGGTTCTTGTTGATAGGAACAGTCATGATCGGAGGGATGATGCGCTGGTCCTGGACTCTGCCGGGGGGGCTGTTCGGAGATGCCGAGCCAAGGAGACTGGGATAGGAGGATAGGAGGAGATCGAGTTGCCACGAGTTGACGGTTCGTTTAAGGTTCACCGCAGGGTTATTGCTGGTGATGCTGATGCCCTTGGTTGAACAAGAGCGAGAGCGTCAGGCTTGTTGAAGATCCAGCAGTCGCTGACACCGCCCGTATAAGTGTGGGTGAAACTGCGCCTCCACGTCGCGATCGATAGATACTGTATGGTCGGAGAAACCCGCTCCCAAGACTCCCTGATGAACGTTGGCGAGCCAAAGCGATATTTATTGCGAGATATGCACTCTCGGCGGAAAGGGAGGGTCAACAAGCTGTCTCTGGCAGATAGATTTCGTCCGTTGGGTTGGGGAAAAGAAGGTCAAGGTTCTTATAAACGCGGGCAGAGCCGTTCGAAGCACATGTGCTGTCGTACACAAGTACCAGGGCGTTGCGCGGGCCAATTTTCCACCGCGTCGGCGGCCGTCGTCATCAAGAGGTGGGGATACTATATCTACATATACTCGGTACCTAGGTATGCATCATTATTATTTCAATGGCAGCTGGCGCATGATCGCATTTGCTCTTCAGCCGAGGCACCCAATTGTCGCAGAAGGCCATTGGCTGGAGAGGCGCGGCTGCTGTACCGTGTCGCGCGTCTGACCTCAGCACTCCCAGAAGAGCAGGCAACTCGGACGCAAAGAAGGGGCTGTGAAGTGTGGGGATGATACCTATTATGGACCTGTACGCGCAACTCGGCCGACAACACCCATCATCACTCTTGAGAGACGAATCGCAATCTCATCAGAGATGCGCCGGTGGAAAGAGCAACGGCTGGATGTTACCCCGGTTCAAGGTGATATCGGCTGGATTGTTTGCAGGAGATGACTACTGAAGGTACTTAGTACTACCCTACATTAAGCCAGGCCTGCTGCGTTTCTCTACCCTATCCCAGAATGCGGATGCATTGTGAGGTGCGAATATGGGGTCTGGCCGAAGGGTCACAACTCGTTGTTGGGAGACTGGCTGTCACATCGGCACGGAGTTCGTCGATATTAGGGAAGACGTCCGCCCATCGAGGAGCAGAGTCTGTCAGGTCTCCGCCACCCTCATTTCGGTCGCTGTCTGGAGAGAGTGAAACGTATGGGACACAACCACTTGAACGGGGTACGTGCATGTATAATAAGGCCACCCCAGGAAGACGTCACTTCCCAAGGGTTGTCATTGGTTGTTTTGGAGACTGCCAAATGCGGTTGGCGTAAGTAATCACTCTTATCAGTAGCATACAACGTGCGGACTATCTCCATTGCTCTCTTGGACTAACTCGCAGCTAACCCGGTGGGAAGCATCTTGGCTTATTGCGGGGGAAGCACATTTCAAGTCGGTCATTGGTTTTTCCTTTACACCGATGTATTTCCCTAAATAGGGTTAATAAGCCGCCGCGTTTTCGCAGCAGTACTTGTGATAATAGCAAGGGATATTGTGTTTGGGGGTGATTGGGAAATTCCCCGAGCAACCCTACAAACCTTTTCTCAACAAACCGCGATCCTCCCCAATGACCAGCTACGTACAAGTATACCCTTACGCTAACCACAAATTCTAAATTCTGGCGACTAAAAGGAGGCTAGCGCCCTCACCCAACCTTGAACCCTGGAAACGCCAACACGTGAGATACCTCGGACACAGGATTCTCAACAAATCAATGATGTATATACGGAGTACCGCTACATTTGATATTTCGCTCGTAATGCCTTCTCTGAGAGTTCCCCACGGGAATCCGGCACTGGGGTGTGCGCAACTCTGTACTACCTAGGCAAATACCGAGTTGGAAAATAGCCTTCCCTTGTGCCTTTCGGAAGCTAAGCGACTCCACGACTCACAGTGGCCGCTTCCACCTCGCGTGAACAGCTACAGACGGGGAGGACCGCAGCGCACCACCCATATCCAATGCTGCTCCCCGGGTGACATGCACAGTGGAGGGAAGAGAAAAAAAAGAGGGAAAAAGAACACAAGAAGACCGCCAAGCGGGTCTGCACTCCCTCACTATCCTCCATCCACTCAGAGGGGCACGTGTACCGAAGCCTCCAGGGCTGCGGACCCGACCCCTCAGGAACATAACACAGGTTATATACACAGTAGAACCCATGCTGCCTGGAACGACAGACAATCCATCCTTGTGTGGACCTAAGCACAACCTCTTCACAGATGCTTTGCTTTAAACGTCTTTGCTTCATCGCTCTTCTCCGCCTAGGGGCCGTTGCTAGTGAATCACTAGACAATCCCAGTACGTCAATCGGACGGTGTGCAATGGCAACGTCTATGTATACGAGCAGTTAGCCGGTTGGGGTCTGTTCGCTTCCGATGCTCGCGACCGGTTTGGAGATACAATTGGAGGCATCGGCAGTGCAATAGCCCTCGAGGGCAAATCGTGGAAGAGGAAGAAGGACAAGGGAGAAGCTTATGAAGGCATTCTCTACGGTCTACCAGACCGGGGCTGGAACACTCAGGGTATTCCTTTTCCGAGAAGAAAGGGTAGTTCACGGACGACTGACGTGGACTCCAATCAGGCACTCAAAATACGCAATCCCGCATACACAAGTTCAGGATAAGCCTTGAAATTGTCGAGTCGTCTCTGGCAAATCCAGCCAAGGCCAACGTCCAACTGAAATGTCTAGATACAATCCTCCTCACTGGCCCTGATGGAACCCCAATGACTGGTGCGTCACATGGAGGCACCTTAACTCTTCAATGATTGACAACAGTAGGACTGGATGCGGACGTGACAGGGTACTTTTCCTACAAAGGGTTTCCAGATCTGCCCGTCGCCACCTTCACCGGAGATGGGTTCGGCAACGATGGACCTGGTGGCAGCCGAATCTCGCTTGATGCTGAAGGTCTCGTGCTGGGCAAGGATGGCACGTTCTGGATCAGTGACGAATATGGTACGGTGAGGATACTGGCAACAAAGAACGCACGCTTACGCAGTCCTTAGGACCATATATATATCAGTTTGATCGTCGTGGTAAAATGATCAAGGCTATCAAACCCCCCGATGCCTTGCTACCTCTCAGGAATAGTTCCGTCAGGTGAGTAGAGGAACGGGTCCATGTTGTCATTTCGGTGCCTGACGGTGCTCAACAGCTTCAATGCCGCGTCTCCGCCCATATACAACCCGGGTATCAAAACGGTCCCGGAGGCGCCCGAAACGGGCCGCGCCAACAATCAAGGCCTGGAAGCCCTCACCAGTAGCCCAGGCGGCGAGTTCCTCTATGCTTTGCTCCAGAGTGCTGCCATGCAGGACGGCGGCGACAAGTCTTCCACCCGTCGCAATACCCGTTTGCTCAGGTACCGGACCTCAGCCAAAAAGATCGAATACGATGCCGAGTATGTCGTGCAACTCCCGCTTACGCCTAGCGGCAAGGTTGCGGGGCAGTCAGAGATCCATTTCATAAGCCAATCCCAACTCCTCGTCCTTGCCAGAGATAGTGGTGCAGGTCATGGTCAAAAGGAATCGGAGTCGAAGTACCGCAATGCCGACATCATCGATATTTCAGGCGCCACGAACATCAAGGGCAAGGAATATGACTCGTTTGACGGTGCCGTTGCCAGTCGGAATGGCGAGCTGAAGCCTGAGATCAAACCAGATTGTACTGCCCGTGGATCTCGTACAACAACAACGAAGAGCTGGGTCGCTTCGGTGCTCACAACGGCGGAGCCCAGGACGCCGGATTGCTCAACGAGAAATGGGAAAGTTTTGCGCTAGCTCCTGTGGCTGAGGAGTTCCAAACGAAAGGAGAGGGGAGACAGTATTACCTAATTTCCTTCTCGGACAATGATTTCATCACACAGAACGGTCTGTCCATCTCCTCCTTCTGGCGCTGCGCTCTCGCTAACAAGACTGGTGCAGGCTACATCAACAATGGACAGCAGCGATATTCTGACGAGTCGGGTTTCAATTCGGACACGCAAGTGTTGGTTTTCAAAGTCCGTCTGCCTCGCGACGCGGATCCCCTGTTATAAGGTCGAACAAATACAACACTGCCACCTAAATGCCAGGTCGATTCATCAAACGGAATCTTGTCATCATGCCTCGATGCTGACAATAAGATGTCTTCCGAATCTAGGACCTTGTGCTGGTTAGTGGGGATAGGGATATGCCTATAGTGATAATTCTCAACGGGGTTTTTGTGCGAGGGAATGGAAACAAGCATGTACTGTACGGTGAATGTGTATTGTTTCTGGCTCCCGAGGAGACAGGTAGCGACCGGATCTAGGTATACACAGAGGGCGGCGAACGTTGTATTATTTATCAAGGTCGGCAGCTGTCGGGCACGGGAAAACTCCGGTCTTGGCGGAGCCATCCACAGCTCTGTAGATGAGTGACCCTTCGAGCCGCGTGCCGAGGCAAATTCAATGACCACTTTCTTTGTCGTCGTCAGTCGCGTCGACACTGCCGCATCGCCTGTTTCCGTGTTTTCATTTTGGGGAGAACACACAGGACGAGAGACGACAGACTTGCCGTCATTGCGTGACCCTCATCTCGACGACCCCGGTAGCCATCATGGTTCGAGACGACCTCGTCGCCTCTGCTGTAAGTGCCTTGCTGGTTCACCGGCCCACCATAGCTGAATGCCGGACAGGTTTCTTGTATGGTTTTGCCCGCCGCTGCCGTAACGTGCAAGCATACTCACCCTGTTCGCAGTCCTCCAGGATCCGTCAGTTGCCGGTGCGCCTCTGGAAAAACGGATCGCCTTCCTACAGTCGAAGAACCTCACCCAGGAGGAGATCGATGTAGCGCTCGCTCGCGCATCGGATGATACAAGTCATTCTGCCTCTCCCTCACCCCAGGCGTCTGCGCCTTCCAGCTATGCATACAGACAACCTCACTCCCCGCCGCAATATGGCGCATATTCCTCTGCGGGATACTGGCAGCCGGCGCCGCCTCCAGAGTATGGGAATGCTTGGTGCTCCTGTCTTTGCAGTTGGCTAATTGCTACTAGGCCGCCGAAGCGTGACTGGCGCGACTACTTTATTATGGCTACAGTAATGGGCGGAGTGGGTTACGGTCTCTATTTTACCGCAAAGCGCTATATCATGCCTCTGATCTCTCCCCCAACCCCTCCTCAGCTGGAGCAGGATAAGGCATCAATTGACGAGTCCTTCAAACGCGCATTCGATCTTTTGGAACAACTCAACTCAGATACAGCCGCGCTCAAGGCCTCTGAGGAGGCGAGAACAAATCGCTTAGATGCCGCCCTTGGAGAAGTGGAGAGTGTGCTCGGCACATTGAAGGAGTCAAGCCGGCGACAAGGGGATGACAACCGAAGGATCGAAGACGATGTGCGAGGTTTGAGAGACTTGATTCCCAAAGCTCTTGACGCACAAAAAGAGGCAACGGACACTCGGTTGAAAGAGCTGTCCGCCGAGCTGAAGAGTCTCAAGACACTGGTTGGTAACAGAATGGGTTCCGGGACACCTCGCCCCGCCAGCACAACCCCGTCCTACTATGGGTTGGGCCAAAGCCAGCCAACCCAATCCCACACCACCACCACGCCTTCTGCCAACGGCATCGCCGCAGCGCACAGTCCTGCTCCTCAGCAAGTCCCTGGGGAAGCGTCGATCGAGCGGCCAACCGTTCCAGCCGCGAGCGAAAGCCAGATCAGCGGCAGCACTGCCTTCCCATCAACTCCAGCCGATGCTCCAGAAAAGCCACAAACGCCCACCCCATACAGCCGGCTAGCGAACGGTCGTGCAGCGATCCCTGCTTGGCAGATGGCTGCAGCGAAGAAGAATGACGAGAGTAGGAAGGACACGAGTGAGAGTGGAGCAGCTGCTGATGCCAGCGCGCCCTCATCCTAAAGGTCGAGGGGAGCTATGTTTATCACAATTGTTGACATGATAGCGACTCAATTCTGTACTGTAACCTTTTCGGTATGGGCTATGTCTCTGCGCTTGAACCGGATAGGCATGTGTTGTATCTAACACTCAGGCGGACACCGGAATGTTAACCACGCGGTTGACGGGACAAAGTGTTCTACTGCGGTGGTCCGACCAAATTTTCATCCATTTGTCCACCAAGTGGGTAAAATGGATCTTGCACTTTATTTCCATGCAGTTGTGACCTCCCTTTTCAATAGATCGCCTTGATGGATGCTGACGGAATACGGCATAAGGAGAGATCCAACACGTATCATGATACCTAGGGTACATCTACTCACGCACAAACCCTCAAGCACCATGTCCATCCGCTCATCCTTTTCCACCAACCTCAACTAACCCCTCCGGACGGGTCTCATTCCCTTTATCTATGGAGGCTATCAGCTGCCTCCCCATCAGCCGACTGAGCTCCACCGCATAGTCTCTTCTACGCACTCTAGCCTCGCGGTCTGCGTCGTCCTCGGTTCCGGTGCCGTGTCTCATGGGGTCCGCCGAAACAACAGACTGCAACAAGGGTGCTGAAGCTTCGTCCTTCGCATCTGTCTCGTCCGGAGATTTTGGTGTGTGCTGAGAGGATATCCGCTCAGAATCAAGCCCGGATGTAGGAACGGACGGGCCTGGGTACGATTGTGCAACGGCCATTTCAATCGCTGCGATGTACGCAGCTTGGTACGTCGTTTGCCCTCTCTGGACCAGTCCTCCGAAAGAGCGTGACGGAAGAGCCTGAGAGTTTCAAAGCTTTTCAGGTGTAGACGCCACTAGTATGGTGATTGAATCGACAAACACCGGGCTACGGGGTGAAGAAAAGAAGGCAGACGGTGCTATATCACCCACGTCCAAAAAATGCCCAATCAAAAAGTATGCTGGGAGAGAACAGTCAATGGAGTTTGCATATTATAGTCACACCAGCACCGCTCTCTTATACTGTGTACATGTGATTTATCCAGCCTTCCCCTGGACGTGGAGTTCCACTGAAGGATGGGACCCAGACGTCATTTGGTTCAACGGACCTCGACGCTTTAGCCACCTTGCGCCGGATTCCCACATGCATGTCCATCGACTACTGTTCCGGGTGTGCGCCAAGTACCGATAGCCCATAAGGGTACCAAATCGGGAAGGTGAGGATACAAATCGGCGAAATCATGCGGGACGGGATAGAGCATCGGCGTGCAGTGGCGTTGTGAGTAGCGCGGGGAAACGAAGCTCAGGTAGCTCGTTCAGTAGCTAATGATAATGGGTAGCGGGGCATGATGTAAGGGCAGCACAGCATCGCGATCTGCTAGCGGTAGCATCACCACAACTCGGGATATCCCATCCCGTAAAATTATTGCTGCTCACCAGACTGGTGATTACTGTGGTTGATACCGGGGATAAGTTACCGCACGTCTGTATATCTAGACCTACCTATCTAGGTTCCTACGCTGAAAGGTGTCTTCCTTCTGGTCGACAGGTACCCTAAACCGGGTAGCTTATGCTGGGTTAGAATAACCCTCCTAGGAGTGGGCGCATCAAATGTTGAGATATTGGACGCCTCCGAACAGAGCCATACTCCTGAGTACCTGGGTGGTATTATGTATGATACCTACTGCTTTCCAGCAGGGCTTCTGATCTGTGACCGTTCAAGGACTCTGGTACAAATGGCAATGACCAACGAAGCAGTAGGTTTTGTTGAATATAGATTCTTGTTCTATTCTGCCATGGAAAGTGAACCTCATTCTTCACAAGTTCTGACCCGCTTGCATAGCAGTGACGGGCTGCGATGGAATCAAAGATAAGGTTGACGCTGGGGTCATCACTTTCTCGTGGCCATGTTACAGAGTATTTTCGAATCTGATGGCATGTGGCAATGCGTCGGCAAGCATCCAGCTTAATCGACGAACTGCGTCTCTCATGTATAAGACACTCGAGAAGCAGAAAGCCCGACAATAGGACGTTACCCGAACGAATACGTCGCCCTGCGATACGCGCAGCATGGCACTCGCACAGCTCTCTTCGGTCCACTCGTCACTTATCACACGGCCAGGTCTTCTACCCGGAGCAGGCCATCCCCCATGCCGGCGACCGCCCAAGTCCCAAATTTGATGTTCGGATTCCATGCTAGGGCAGTTATACAAGTTGGCTCCTCGAATGTTGTAATGGACTTCATATAATCCTTCGTCGGCGGTTTAGGCGCTTCTTTTATCGTTTGCAGCGCCGTCTTTTGGACCTGGTAGCCCTCGGTTATGCGAGCAAGCGGATGTGAGAGGGCATCTCGAGGTACATTGGATTGGTGATGATGTTCAGCGTCGGAGGTGACCGCCGTCTTGCCGTTGTTCAGTTTCAGAGGCAGCTTCTCACAAGCGCGCCTCCATTCGTGAGCAAACCAGATTTGTTGCCACGGAATCTCTTTGTAATAGAGGACCCTTGGAAGGGGATTACTAGCGTAGACTTTCCCATCAGCACAGCCAATCAATACGCCTGGATGCAACAGACTCGACGCGCAGCATACCACCTGTGCTTCGGTCTTCATGCTGAGAATGTTTGAATAATATCTCCGTATAGAGTTGCTGCGGAACAGCACTATCTCGTCTGATGTCATGAATGATTGACTGTGTTCGTGCCAGGCTTGTGTGATACCGAATATTCGGTCCCGATTCGTGGTAACCGTCTCCTTCGCAGGGTCACGAAGGTCGATGAGTCGGGACTGGCCGTCTGCAACGTTGACCGAGACAAAGGTGGACCGGGATGGATAGCCCGATTTGAGCGTCAGGATCGTAGTCTCTGCTACTTGCTTGTGAAACCAGGGCCTGGGGCTGCTATATTTGCCTTCGCGGGGGGAACCATGCGTAAACGTGTCGGCCCGAGTCAAAGACCATACCGCTAATGTACCTGCCGCTGTACCAACTGCAAGGGATGTCGCCGAAAGCCAGTGTATGCAAGTGGGCACGGTGTCTGGGAACTGAACTTCAACAGCTGCTCTGATATACCGGATATATTGTGGCTCGGACACAGTAGCTGCAGTTCTTGGATAAGACACTTCAAGTATCCTCACCTTGCCATCAGACCATCGACCGGCAAGAAGACCGAGATGAATCCGCCCTTGGTCTACGGTGTCGGAGAAATCCGCGGGCCCAAGAGGACACCACTTCAGTTCCTTCGGGGCGCCCCAATCTGTGCAGAGCATGACTTCTAGGCGCGGTGGCTTATCCGAGTCGGGTATTCCCAGTGAGGTAGCAGGGAATGCCCATATCGAAATCGAGGCAGGGAACCCCGCGGTCGGACTAAACGTCGGAGCCTGTAGGTTCTCAAGCAGACTGTTTGGGTTGTTCTCCTCTGGATGTTGCTCAATGGCGACAGCCAGATATTGAACGGTACCTTCCCCATGAGGTGCCCATTGTGCGTCTTGTATCTTGGAGCCGAGGTTGATAATCCACCCTCTACGGCCATCGTGGCCAAACGGGTCTGCAGAACTCAAAGAAGAGCCCTTTGGTAGCTGACGAAACTTGGGGTCTGTGATGGGTCCCATCAATAAGTTTAAAGAGTCATCCCCAGGATATTGCACGTAGGGGTGGGCTTGCTCTTTGGTCAGAATGCTGGATTTCTGGCCTTGTTGAAACCCTCTTGAGCCCTGGGTCAAGTACCATTTCCGCATTTTCTGGACCTCCTTCTGCCTGGTCCTGTCGGTCACATAGAAAGACTTCCTCAGAAAGCGTTTCCGGCTTGGTAGAGCATGCTGCTCCAACCAGTGATCCCTGGTCAACGTGACGGGCTCGAGATCGCTCGGTTCCGGGCCAAACAGATCTCTGATGCGAATCTCCAACCCACCACCTCTTGCTCCTTTCCCCCAGTCATCAAGGCCACGAGCACGCAACCGGTGTTCCGAATCGTCTGCCTTCTTCTTGGGGGGTTCTCTGCGGCGTTTCTTTGGTGTGGCCTTTTTCGCCACCATACCGGCTGCGAGGGCGGTTCTGATCACTCCCTTTGGTTGCTTACGCTTCCTCCGGCGCGAGGTCTCAGTTTCCCTTTCGAAGGCTGCATCGTCCATTTCAACGCTGGACTCGGCACCTTGATCAATAGCTTCTGACATGAAACCTGCACCCTGCCCATCGTCATCGTCATCGTCATCGTCATCGGCATCGTCATCGGCATCGTCTTGACCTTCGGAAGCGAATGCGTCGCTCTCAGTATCGTCGGCTTCTCCATGAATGTGCTGATTCTCTGACAAAGATTGGTCTTCATCGTAGTCAGTCTCCAAAGGCGGATAACTCTCCTCGGTGTGGTAACTCTTGGCGGATCTGTGGCGCATCGGACGCTGGGCCCTTGCTGGATGTTCACCATTCAGCATCCTAACTCTGAACACGTACAACCCAGATCGATGATCCAGGCAAGCGGCTCTTACCCTGGCGTGCCATAGCGGATGCAACTGTGCTTACGGTCTGTAGGGCGGGCCTTTAGAACACGTGACGACCGTGCCGGTCTATGAGTTGACCGTTCGCAAGCGCGTTGAACATGGAGCTTGACGCGCATGGACAAGTAGATGGCTGGAGGTGAAAAGTTCAAAATGTGGTCCGAGCGCCGTCACCCGCGTTATTCGAGGAACGGAAGGCGCAGATGCTGTCATGGCATCATCTGGAGGTGGCGGTGCCCTTGCGGGTTTTGTGCGTACCACAGTAGAGTAGACTAGGTACTGTATTGGTATGCAAGGCTTTTTGAAAAGTGCAGTCTGGTGCGCTTTTATTGCGCCGACAAAAAAGTGGTATATATATATGTATGTATAGGATTCTTTGCAATCAAGGTATTGGCCTCGGCCTCAAGACTCAGAGCCTCGTACGCTCTTACCCGCTCTGCACACGACTTCACACGACTTCACTCGCACTTGGGTCCATCAAAAAATCCCAGCTGCAGCGAAAGGGATCGGAAGATGATTACCGCCACTGCCACTTCCCTCCTGCGCAGGCCATTATGGAGCCGACGTATCTTGGCCAGGGCAATTGCTCCAGGCGGTCCAATCCGCATGTGCAGGCAGGGTTCTCTCGGTTCTCATCGAAGGCCAAAATCTAGCATGGAGAAGACAACAGCTTCCTCTTGCAGCAAGGCCGCAACTTCGTCTTCTCCAACCAAGTCGCAGTTCTGGACGTCGGGTCCAACTTGGAGACGAGCAGCACTGAATACTCTCCGATGCCTGGCTGGCTGCACCGTTGGCGACTTTTCGGCCATGTGGTACCTCCAAGCATTCCACCCAGCGATTGGAATGGAGGCAATCATGGTCATCTCAAGTACATCATCCTACTTAACCCTCTGAGTCGCCCGTGGCCATCTTCGCTGACCTGACCCAGTGGCTGCCGGCATATCCTCGTCCATGCTGTTAGAAACAGCTCTACTACGATTCGGCCGCGACCGCCTTCCTTGGGTGGCCGCTGCCAAAACAGCAGGGGGAATGAGCATCATCTCCATGGTGACCATGGAGCTAGCTGAAAATACTGTCGATTATCATCTAACCGGAGGACTCGTTCAGTTTGATTCTCCAGCATTCTGGGCCGCTGCTGTGCTTTCGGTATCTACTGGATTCATCGCCCCTCTGCCATACAACTATCTACGTCTGAGAAAATATAGCAAAGCCTGCCATTAAACAGACTATTAGCGAAGTAGAATAGGCTGCAGGAGGCACTATCTATCAAGTGTGTAAGAAATCTATATAATGTGACGGCTCAAGGCTCCGCTCGGCTGAACCACTTGATTGTGTGGTTGCCTTGATCAGTCACATGGCTCAAGTCACATGACTGTTCCTTTCACCATCCCATCTTTTCTGTACTGGCCTTCTGCTAAGCTAACTGCTCACTTAATGAGCGCACTCAGTGTATATAAATCGCACGGTGGAAGCAACCCTTTGCTCTCC